GATCTCTTCTCCTCCTCTTTGTTGTTGTCATGTGGTGTAATCTTTTTGTTTTTGTGTTTTTTTACTTTCTTTCTTTAATCATTTGGTTTTTCCAATGTTAATCAGACTTTTGTGTTCCTTAACTCAGCTATTGTTGTATGTTCTGGTTTCTTCTATCATTTGGTGTCTCCATGTTTTAATTTAGACATTGCTTCACAACTGCAAAAGTTTTCAATTTTTGCAATCTCAATCGCTAGAAGTGTACATGAAATCAATCAGGGTTGTGTAGAAAAGATCAAACAGATAGAGCTCGAAACACATTGCTATAGAATAAATTAAAAAGAAAGAGGTGTCATTATTCACTCAAAAACACAGTTGAACTAAATGAAAGAAGAATATGAAACCAGATTTTTAACCATACTACAAAAACAGATTACCAAAAATCCTTGAAAATATATAAAAGAAGAAAAACAAAGAGCAGCATAACGGAAGATTAAAACCCGGCTTGTGGAATGATCTTGAAAACCCTTCTTCTCTGAAAAATGATGAACTTGGAGCTTAGAAGCATTTCCTGTGAACAATCGATGGGCCTGACTCGTCGTACTCTGCCTTTGCGATCCACATCTGCACAAGTTCAAACACAGTTTCAGGTTTGTTAATGTTAAGGTAAGCCACAGGATAACTCGAAGAGACTGATGAGAACTGAAGTTACCTGCTGGAAGGTACTGAGGGAGGCCAAGATGGACCCTCCAATCCAGACAGAGTATTTCCTCTCTGGAGGTGCAACAACTTTGATCTTCATGCTGCTTGGAGCCAAAGCAGTAATTTCCTTGCTCATCCTGTCGGCGATCCCCGGGAACATTGTGGTTCCACCACTGAGGACAATGTTACCGTACAAGTCCTTCCTGATGTCGACATCACACTTCATTATGGAGTTATAGGTGGTTTCATGGATACCTGCGTTCTCCATACCGATCATAGACGGCTGGTAAAGAACCTCAGGGCAACGGAACCTCTCAGAACCGATGGTGATCACTTGCCCATCAGGCAGCTCGTAGTTCTTCTCAACAGCTGAGCTCGTCTTGGCCGTCTCAAGCTCCTGCTCGTAGTCGAGAGCAATGTAGCAAAGCTTCTCCTTTATGTCTCTGACGATTTCACGCTCTGCTGTGGTGGTGAAAGAGTAACCACGCTCGGTGAGGATCTTCATCAGCGCATCAGTGAGGTCACGACCCGCAAGGTCAAGACGTAGGATCGCATGTGGAAGTGCGTAACCCTCGTAGATAGGAACAGTGTGGCTCACACCATCTCCCGAGTCAAGCACGATACCTACACACATCCATAATCCAAAGGTTGAAGCTTTCTACATTCCGCAAAGATTGAAGCTTTCTACATTCCGCAAAGATTGAAGCTTTCTACATTCCTTAAAGACTGAAGCTTTAAGTAAGGACACAAAAGGAGTGTTCACTCACCGGTTGTACGACCACTGGCGTAAAGGGAGAGAACAGCCTGAATAGCCACATACATGGCAGGAGCATTGAAAGTCTCGAACATGATCTGAGTCATCTTCTCACGGTTAGCCTTCGGGTTGAGAGGTGCCTCGGTGAGTAGAATCGGGTGCTCCTCGGGAGCAACACGGAGCTCGTTGTAGAAAGTGTGATGCCAAATCTTCTCCATGTCGTCCCAGTTGTTGACAATCCCGTGCTCGATGGGGTACTTGAGTGTTAGAATACCCCGCTTTGATTGAGCCTCGTCGCCAACATAAGCATCCTTTTGGCCCATCCCAACCATCACTCCGGTGTGACGTGGACGTCCCACAATGCTGGGAAACACAGCTCGAGGTGCGTCATCCCCAGCGAAACCAGCCTTTTTCAATACAGACACATAATCTTAGAGAGGAGCCATATGATGTACATTGTTCATAGTATATCGACAAACGAATCAAACAAAGAGTATATTCACGAATATTATAATACCTTAACCATTCCAGTTCCATTGTCGCAAACAAGAGGTTGAATGTCTTCACCGTCAGCCATTTTCTACCCTTCTGAAAATCAAAAGATCAGATTTTTTTTGTTTTTTCAAATTTCTTCAAAACCGATTTGTTATTAACAGCACTCCAAATCAATCATTATGAGAATGTCTATTCAGTAGAATTGTTAAATAAAAGAAACAATCCTAGAAAGACAAAAATCAAACCTAAATGGAAGAAGAAGAAGGATATTCTAGATCCAGAATCACTTAAACCAAGTTACTAATATTATAAAAGTAAACGACATTAGCAAGAGAATCAAAGGATTTATTATTAAAAATGAGTTGAAAGCAACAGTGGCGGTTGCAGATTGTTCGATTAAACAAATCACAATTAGTGTGGACAATAGGATTATTAAATCGATAAACACAGATCGAAGATCAGCTGATGGGATTTGAATGTAGGACAAATATGCCACCAATAGAGGAAGCAACGATAACAAAACCCAGATCCAAAAAAAAAAAAAACTCACACTGAATTAAATCGGAACGACGATATGTATCAAATCGATGCAGAAAACAGAATAAAAAAAACGTAATCGGGAATGAGAACGGCACAATAAAGGGTTTCAAAATTACCTGAAATCGAAATTAATCGGCTTAAGGGAAGAAGAAGAAGGAGAAGACGAGAAACAATCGAAGGAGAAGAGGAAAATGAGGCAGAAAAATGAATGGCGAGTAAATAAAAAACGGGTCCAAAGGCTTCGAATTCGGCTCACCTCGTTTTTCGGTTCTAAATTTATTTGAAATTTGAGTCCAAAATAAACAAATTCTTCTGAACTGACGTTTTTACCCCCAACTTTGGTTTTTCTCCTTTGGTTAAGGCTTTGTGTTACACAAACAAAATTAATCATTTACATTAGAGTATTTAACCCGGTATGTAAGATCCATTAGTTGTGTAATCAAATTGGTTTACCAGTTAAATTTTCGATTTTGATATTAATAACCGTGACTTTGCTGTATGAGTAACCGGTTTACTTTCATAATTTTGAGGTTATTTCTCAAGCATGTAACTTCCATTTCTTTTGTGTAAAGAACAAATGGGCCTTACTGAATAGGCCTTTCCTCTACATGGGCTGAACATTTTCAGTCCAATTGAGCACCTAAATTAAATATTGCAATTTTATTGTTTGACAACGAATCGTAACGATGTTGGAAAATGGAAACTTCCAATATGATTTTGTATAAGCATTTTTACTTAGTTATGAATCACTTTACGCATCCATGATTCGCCTAATGTAACGTTAGTATTGTTTATCATTTTGTCGTCTCCAATATTTTCTCAAGCTCGGTGTTGAATTTTAGACATTGCTTCACAACTGCAAAAGTTTCCATTGTTTATAACTTCAATTGATAGAAATGCATGGTGTCTCCGATTTCTTTCAATAGAATATATCTTGCTAATTTGTTAGCTTTGTGAATTGCATTAATAATAAATTATATGTATTTGGGTCTTACAATACTCGAGAAAATGTAATAGAAATAAGAAGTATCATATTAGACTCATTCTAATGTTTGTTTTAACATAATAAAAATGGAAAGATATGTTTTCTTAAATTGCTACCATTCACACAAGATTTTATATTCCTGACTGAAAATAAATACCATGAAATTCACCAAGGTCTATTAAACAAAAAAGGGATCATAAAAGAATAACAAATATGGAAGAAAATTTTCTTTTATTCATCTGATTGTTTATTTTTCTCAAATTTCACTCTAAGTCATTCCTAAATTGTCTTGTATTTAATTTAGTATCTTTTTGGTTACCATTGGAATGCTTAGTAAGTCACTATAATATGCATGAATAAAATATGAAGTAATTATTATGAAATTTGATCATAACATAGCCTAATAGTTTATCTTAGTATTGTTTGTTATGTCACTACAGTATATGGATTCAGCCCCACTTAATACATATCATTAACAGAGAAACACATGTTATATATATTTAACAGTTTCATGATTGTTCAATTTTCAATAATTCCACATTGTTTTTCTATGTCTATGCATATTTTGTGTTAAATATAGTTTTTCATTTCATATGTTTCTGAAATATTAAATATTTTTCTTTCTTATATACATATATTGCTTTCTTACAGTTACAATGTATATAAGAAAGAAAAATATATACATATTCAATTGGATAATTAAATAAGATCTTTAAATCACCAACTCATCCAGAGTAACTCACCCAGAGTACATTGATCTACATAAAAGAAATTAATTCCATGAGATCGGGCCAAACATCATTTTAATTCCTTCCGAAACAAATTCTCAAATATTTGTTAGAACTTAGAACTAAGCATATCAAAGAAGTCATAAATCTATAAGATTTGGTCTCTTTATAAGTACACAAAAGCTGTTAACAACAAAATTAAGTGGTAATAAATATGAGTTAGATACAAAATTAAAGTCTTAACGGCAACAATGTATATTTTTTTTTTTCAGGGGAATAAAAGGTCAGAATGCAAAAAGCGCACATGGAGTTTTGGAAACGTAAAGGCAGACGTCAATTTTGTGCTTAACTTGCGAGAAGCAGAAAGGCATCGGCGAATATTTGATTAATTTATCGCCGAGATAATAATAACCGATAAATTTAATATCGTAACGGTATTATGCCGTATGATTTCCTTCTGAATCAGCCAGAGGGTTTCGATACGTTATGTATGCCTTTAGACTCTCTCCTTTGCCACAAGTCACACAACCAACCTCACAATAAACTCGCTCCAATCTTCTTCCATCTCTAAAACAAACCTGAAAAAATGCTAAAGAAAACAAAAAACAATAATATAAATATAAAAAGCTGACAATTTTCCTGATTAATATTCTTTACCACGTTGGATCTATCTACATCGATCAAATCATTCATTTTCCTCCATCTTCTCCTTCTCTCATTATCCTCTCTCTCTCTCTCTCAAGAACAAGAGGTGTTTGTTTGTTTCTTTCTTTCTGGTGCTCTTTTTTAGTTTCTCTAGTTTTGTAGATTGATAGTTATGTCGGAGATCACAAGCCTGAAGCAGGAAGAGGTAACGTTAGGTGAGGTTTCAGAGAAGATAGAAGAGGTGTTTTCCGACGATACATTCGTGTTGGAGATTTGTCGAAAAAGGAAGAGACCCGATGAAGAAGACGAAGAACAAGAAGAAGTTGTGGAGGAAGACAACGACGGATTTAGAACACCGACTCGACCGGAGAATAGAATCCCTGCGGTCAGAGAATGTCCAGGGGCACCGAAGAGACGCGAAACTGAATATTCGGTGATGCTCAGAGGTAAAACAATGCCGTGCCGGAGACGGTTGAGTTTCTCGCCGGGAGGTACCGTCAGCTCGTTTATAACGGATTCGCAGTGGAGGACGACGACAATGACGACGATCAAGAAATAATTAAGAGAGAAAGATATTTTAATTAGCTTTAGTTTTTTATTATGACCTTTTTTTAGGTCACGTTTGGAAAATATCTGAACGTTTTTTTTCTTCTCCCAAACAGACAAAAAAATACTTGATCAAATTGGTATTTTGTGTTTTTTCAAGAGTCCCAGACTCTCAAATATAGATTTCTGCTTCCGTAGCCAAGAAAAGATATAAATTTCTGTTTCGAGATGATGATTACTTGTCCACTGTTAGTGTTTTGTTTTATTACTTTTGATCTCGATGATTTTTTTCTTATATATTGTATTCTTTTGTGATAGTTTACACTCAGTTACTTGCTTGTGTTGTTGTATGTCTACATACTAATTTGGTTCTCAAAGTAAACATATGGTTTCTTACCTTGAAACGTACGATTGCTTGTATATAGTCTCACGTTCCATTAAAACTCGAATTATTCGTATGACACTAGAGCTCAAACGTAAGTGAAGTGTACATTCAGTTAGTATTAGTCAACGATGTAATCAAACCGATAGGCAATAGCCTTGAGATATATATGGTCATTGGTAAGCTATGTTTACATATTTGTTGACAATTGAATTTTTATTTACATAAATAAATACTTGTTTACCAATATTCACTCACAATGAACGAAGATGATATCATAAAGTTAAAGTAAGTAAAAGAAAGAGAGAGACAGAGAGAGAGAGAGAGAGATAATCAAAGTAGAAAAGGGAGAGAAACATGAAGAAGAAGACAGGACAGGAAAAGAGAATGGATATAGAATTTTATAAACGCTTTAGGGGTCGAGGCCTTATTTAAGTTCCTTCGACTTCTAAAGTTGGAACATCCAATGCTAATTTTTTTTTATCAAAAAAGCCTACGACGAGAACTCTCAATCGTCTCATGCCTTAAGCTTCTCCCTTTTTCTTATGGATCTTCAAAATCTTTTTTGTTATTATTATTTTTATTTTTTTTCATTTCTTTCTTTTGTTGCCGTTATGTTCGTTTCGTCTATGTTACTCTCTTCTTTTATGTAGCTTTCGGTTTTGTTGACCTGTCTCCTTATTTCTTAATTAATTGACCATTTAATTATTTGATTGCAGCTTGAATGAAACGTTTTGGTGATCTCATTCTAAAAACAATAAACAACCAAAAAGAGATGGGAAAGAGATATAACCTATGCCTAAAAAATAATAAAGATTAGTAGATTATCATGAAAATAAGCTATTCATTTTGTTTTTTTGACGTCAAAAGCTCGTATTATTAGATTCCAAACAAGGATGATTTAAAAGCCAGCCAATTTGGAAGGAAATTGTTTACATAGGAGAAAGAATAACCTTGGGTTAGAGCGCTCTTAGCGAGACAATCCGCTCAGGTATTAAGATTGCGAGAAATAAATTCAAGCGAGAAATTATGGAGATAAGATTTGAGAAGCTCAAACTCTTCTAATTCTGTTGCTAAAGTTGGCCATTCCTCTTCTTCTTCAATTAATCTTACCAACAGCTCGCAATCTGTTTGAAAGATTAGGCGAGGAATATGGCATGGTGTGAGGACTCGTATAGCCCATAGTAAGGCTTCCATCTCCGCATGAAGTGGGGATAAGACTTGGTCAAACGCTATCAAGCCCACCGTTCGACTCCCGTCTTCTCGCTCCAAAAAGGAGCCTCCTCCAGATAGTATACCCTCATGGGTCCAAGAGGCATCAACCTGACATCGCAGTCCCTAGTTCTCTGCTTTGTTCTTGTAGTACTTGGCGTTCCTCCAAACATGATGCCGAACTGTTCCCATGAGTTGGGTTGGTTTGGTCTACAAGTTGCGCTAATTTCCACGACTCAGCTTCTCGCATAGCAGTCTCGAGTGTCTCAGCTGGTGAGACATCCTTATTGTTAAATACCTTATCATTCCGAGCCTTCCATATATACCAGATGATCCAAGGGAACACCTCTAGGCATGTTTTCGTAGCTCCTTGTTCGGAGGCTCATCCGGTAAGGTAAGCAAAATTTTGTGATATAACCGGGCACGGGAATATTCCCAGAGCAGACGGTATCGAACTAAGTGCCCACACCTGTGTAGCTGGAGGACATTCGAAAAGAACATGATTGATTGTCTCTTCTGTCCCTCCACACCGTGGGCACTGGCGATCTGTCCCACAATGATGGTTAACCAGCTGGTCGTTGGCTGCTATACATCCTGACAAAGCTTGCCACATAAAGTGTTTGATTTTCCCTGATGTCTTTTGTTCCCATATCCTCGTTTTTAATAGAATGAAACTTGGTTCGAGGACTGGTGATCTGCGTCCTGCTTCCCATATTTGGATTGCCAGGTCATATCCTATTCTGACTGAGTACATCCCTGACTTTGAGTATGCCCATATAAATCTGTCTGGTTTATATGCTCTACTGGGACGTATACTCTTTATACGCAGAATTTCCTCCAGATCAAAAAGGGTATTCAGAAGAGGTGTACGCCATGCTGAGGTGATTGGGTCAATAAGATGATGGACATAAAGGTTTATATCTCTCTCTCCTCCATTATCTTGGGCCAGGCGGGGTGGACAGACTGGTATCCAGTTATCATACCAGACCCTTGTACAAATTCCTGAGTTTATTGATTTCCTTAGTCCTGCAAGAAGTAGCTCTTTACCCGCCATTATGCTCCGCCATCCGTAGGAAGGGTTACTTGCGCGTTCCACCTCCAAAGGTGAAGAAAATCTGTAATATCTTGCTTTCAGAACGCGAGCCAGCAAAGACGATGGGTAGTAGATTAAACGCCATAGTTGTTTTGCAAGCAGCGCTATATTGAAACTATTTAGATCTCTAAATCCTAGACCACATTTGCTTTTGTCGCTGCAGATTTTATCCTAGGCTATCCAGTGTAAGCCTTTATTTTTTTGTTTTGTACTCCACTAGAAGTGGGATATTGCTCCGTTGAGCTTCTTCAGAATAGATTTAGGGAGCAGAAAACATGACATGACATAAGTAGGCAGCGCCTGTGCTACTGACTTAATCAGAACTTCTTTTCCTCCCTTTGAAAGAAGTTTTGAGGACCAGGCGTTAATCCTTTGGCTGAGGCGATCTTGAATGAATGCAAATACTTGTTTTTTTGAACCACAAATTGTCTCTGGTAATCCTAGATAAACTCCCATACCGCCTTCTTGCTGTATTCTGAGAGTGTTTTTGATCTCATTTTTGCATTCTGTCCCTATCTTACTCCCAAATAAAACAGATGATTTTGAGCAATTTAGCTTTTGCCCTGAAGCTCTACCATAATTCTCAATTATCTTAATGAGTTCAGCGCATTCCGTCTTGTCCGCCTTACAGAAGAACAGACTATCATCTGCAAAAAGGAGGAGGGATATACTTGGGCATGTTCTCGCGATTTTCAGGCCTGTTATACGCCCCTCTTCTTCTGCTCCTCCTATCTTTGCTATAAGAGCTTCCGTGAGTATTATAAACAGAAAAGGAGATAGGGAGTCTCCTTGTCTTAGACCTCTCGTAGGGATAATGTTCCCTTTTGCTTCCTCGTTAAGCAGCACTATGTATGTTACGGAAGACATACACCATTTCATCCACTTTACCCATTTTCCTGCAAAGCCCATCTTGAGCATCAAAGCCTCCAGGAATGTCCACTCAACTCGATCGTAGGCTTTACTCATGTCTGTTTTAATAGCGACGAATTTGCTTTTGCACATCGGGTTCGTCCGTAATGCGTGGAAAGCTTCTTGCGCCACTAGTATATTGTCTATGATTAGACGTCGAGCCACAAAGGCTGATTGAGTCTCCGAAATTAATTTCGGGAGGATCTTTTTAAGTCTTGTACTTAAGATCTTTGAGATAATCTTGTAACAAGCATTACAGAGACTGATGGGTCTGAACTCAGACATTTCAGTTGGTCTCTTAGTTTTGGTATCAAGCAGATATCTGTTTGATTTAATCGTGTATCGAATCTATCCTGCTCGAAAAAATCATGCACCATCCTGATTATGTCTCTCGAGAGGACCTCCCAGAACCGTCTAAAGAAGAGACTTGTCATGCCATCCGGGCATGGGGCCTTATCTGGATGTATTGCAAAGAGGGCTTTCTTTATCTCGGCCTCTGATGGTTTACAAGTCAGCTTCTCATTAGTAGATGAGGTAATTGCGCGGTAACGTACCGGAGGTCTTCCTCAAAATTCTGGGGATGTTCTGTAGTAAAGAGATCTTTAAAATAGTCTACAAAAACTTTTTCAATACCTTGCTCATTCTCGACCCATACTCCATTGCTGTTTTTTAGTTTAAAGATCCGATTTCTTGCTTTTCTCTGTTTGGTGGTAGCGTGAAAGAACTTTGTATTCTTGTCCCCTTCTTTTAGCCAAGATATCCGACTTTTTTGCTTCCAATAGAGTTCTTCCTCTCTGAAAGCGCTACAGAGATTCCATTTTAGGATAAGAAGCTCTTCATTTGTAAAATCATCATCATCTTGAGCTAACTTTAGCTGTGCTTTGATCTCTTCGATCTTCTTGATGGTGCAGGACGGGTTTAGGCGTCTCCAACTGGAGATTGCTCTTCGACAGTTGCCCATCTTCGAAAATATGTTGCTTCCTTCCGTAGGGCCTGGGGATCCCCATCCCTCAATAATAGCCTCTATCAATCCATCCTTTTCCAGCCATCGCTTGTCAAATTTAAAATTTTTTTTCACACGTCCCTTCCTTGATTGGATGCGGGCTTAGACGGGGCGATGGTCAGACCCCCATAACTTTAGATACTCCACAGATGTGTGGGAAAAGTCATGATGCCACTCTTCATTACCAAGGGCTCTGTCTAGTTTACATCGAACCCGGCCACTCCTGCGATTGCCCATCCATTAAAATGTACTTCCTTTAGCGGGGAATTTCATCATCCCACAATCGTCCAGCAATGTATTGAAAGGGATAAAGGATGCGTCCGAACATTTTCGTCCCCCTCGCTTTTCATGGTGGCCTGTGATCTCGTTAAAGTCTCCAATCATAAATCAGTTTCCTGATCTCGTAGTACTTATATGTGTCAATCTTTCCCACACCAGCGCTCGATACTCAGGGACCGGATCTCCATAAACGAATGTCATAAAGACTTTTTTCCCTTCTACAACTGCCTCGATGTCTATCAGACGATCATTTGAGAACAGGATTTTAACATCAAAAGCATCCATATAAAACAAAGCAAGTCCTCCGTTTTTACCTTCCGGTTCCACGGTGAACAATTTATTATAACCAAAAGAAATTTGAAAGTCTTGCATAAAAGAAAAATTATTTTTTGTTTCTGAAAGAAAAAGAAAAGCAGGTAAAAAACATCGGTGCAGCTATCGAAGATATTGTTTAGTCAAATAAGCTCATGCACCTTGACAATTCCATGAAATTGTATTCATATTCTCTTACTGGGTGGTTTCTGAGACCCTACCGAACCAAAATTTGTAGTAGTCTTATTGCGTAAAGCAGAAGGGAACACCTCATGACGAGGGACAGATGGTTTGCGAGAGGGATTCGCAGAACTCGAACCCTGTCTTTTCTTTGGTGATGATCGACCTCTCACGCCTTTGAGGATTTTCAAAGCTCCACCACCTTTAACTTTTGGACTGCTTAAAGTTCGACGTTTGTATCCAGATCTATGGGAGGGACCCTTACTCACTTGTTTCTTCGTTTTTCCTCCTGATTGGTCAGGGAATTCAACTTTCTTTTCTCGATTCTTCTCCATAGTTCTGGATTTTGGTGATGGTGTAAGTTGTGAAATAGCATCAATTACACCATCGTCTTCGTCTAACTCTTCGCCCAACAAATCTTCATTATCCATCTCCTCTTCATCCATAGCATATTGGTTTTCCTCCACTACCATCTTGTCAAATTCTTCTAGCTCTTTGTCTGTCATAGATGGTGGTGAGGGAGTCAGATCTTATCCCAACTCTTCCGACTCCACTCCCGCGTCTAACCCCATCGGAGTGGTTACAACCTGAGTCTTCTTTCGTGCTGATGTTTACCCTATCGAAGTCGGCGTGTGTTGATTCCCCGGTTCTTTTATCACCAGCGTTTCCGGTTTCCTCCCCGGACTATTCTTTCTCAACATAGGCTGTCTTTCCGAGGTTGGAGTATCCGAGTTACCAGGTTCACGTATCATCAGAGTTCCCGGTTTTTTCAAAAATCCATATTGAACCATCTTTTGCTTCTGAGTATCATGTTCGCTCACTTTAGCTTTTCCTTTCAATCTCTGTTTTCTCTCTTCCTCTGTTTCAGCTTGATATACTATTCTTATATTCTCGAGATTTAGCCCTGCTATCTGGTCAGATATTGTACGTTGGGAGTCCGAGATGGCAGTTGTCACACCCTTTATTAGCCGGGGATCCTTATTTGGGGAATAACGTGCTGTCTCTTCTGATCTGTTTTCCATGGATTTCGGCTTCCACATCGTTTTACGCCCCACTTCTTCCCTTCCTGTCTGGTTCCCGAACCTGTAGTTAGGAAGTGTGTTAAAGCTCTCGCGATTACACGGAGGGATCTCGCGATTTCGCAGAAAAGTCTCCTGGATAGGCTGATCAAGTCTATTCCAGACCTCATGACTCCTAACTTGTCTCTTTTCTCTAATGTTCTCACGGAGGTCTCGGTTCCTATACCCTTCATACTCTTCTTGACGAAACGTATTAGGGGCATTCCAGCTATTTTTCCGATGGTGAGAGTCATAGTTTCTCCATTCTTCTTTGTCACGGGACATGTTCATGTTATAGCCAACGTTAAGCTTACTAACTTTGTTGGGTTTAAACTGGTAGTTTTGACCTATAGTGGAATATTTCTCCCATGTATCCTTTGATAAATCTCTTGAGGAATCTCTTTGCCTGAGTTGTATCCTTTTATCTCCGTGTTCCTCTCTTTGCGGAGATCTTAAACGTTTCAAGTTATCTTTCATTGCGGGCATAACCTGTAGTGGGGTCTCGTGGGAGCTCTTCACTTCGTCCTCTCTCCCTGGTTTTTGAAAGCGTTTTTTTTCATCTGCAGTCAAGTCGGGGCATGAATATTCCTCGTGTGAAATGCGTTTGCATTTAAAACAGTATCGATGCAGCCCTTCATACTCAAAACTGATCTTGCTTACATCACTGTTTGGGAAACTCACACGCCTTTCAAATTGGAGGGGTTCGTTCGCGTTGATAGATACTTGAACCCTGGCACTCTCTGAATCGGTGAGCATGACCCGTCCAAGGGCTTTTCCGATGGCTTTAAAGGTGTCATCATTCCAATAGTGTACTGGAACACCAGTAACTCGAAGCCAAAACGGCATTGTGTATGGGAAGTCCTCCCTTGTAGACGGCTCCTATTTTTCAAGAGCAAAGCTCCATCGGTTGAAGTGACATGGTCGTTTTGCTAAAACCTTTATCATGTCCTCCTCCCTTTCGAAATCAAATTGAAACCTTCCATTTCCCAGATTTGTCCCCTTTACTCTCCCTTCCACATCTCAAATCCTTGCTCTTGGCAATTGAGCGAGAAGGGCCTCAGTACTTCTACCTTCACGGTAGAACATCCTACCAATAAGGGTCTTTTTGATAATGTCATCCTCCGGCAATTCTAGGCGTCGCCGTGTTTGGGATGTAGCTAGACCTTTTGAAATCATCCTTGATTCCGAACTCATTTTGAATCAAGCCGTACACTCTGGATGGTTTCTTAATCACGTAGCTTATGTCTTCTTACTTCTCCCATACGATATCAGTCAAAACGTAGTACAGAGACTAGAGACTGAGATCGCCACACCAGTGTAGGATAAGAACGTACGTAGCAGAAGCTAGATTCTTCCGGACAGTAGATCAAAGCAATCACCACAGTTTCCAACCAAAAACTTCAAAACAGATAAACAAACGAGAGGAGATCCAATCGAGACAATCTCGCCAACACCTTACAAAAGAGATATGGTAACGTAGCACTTAACTTGTTTGGAGATCGGTAGAGAAAGCTGTAGATCCGTTGCTATGTGTTTGTTTTTGGTTATGAAACTAGCAATCGCTTTTTTCGTCTCGAAAACCCTACGGTGACCATAATAAGCTATTAATTATATAATTCAGATTGGACATTTCACACATAAGTTTAATAATAAAAACTGTGTATGCATGAGAAGGGGTAATAAAGGACACTATTGCATACATAGAAGAATATAGGGATCAAATTTTGCAACAAATCAATTAGAGTCTGTCATAACTTGGTTTCTCATGAAAGACAATGTTGTTGTTAAGGCATTTGTTTTTGGGATTTATAGCATATGTATAATTTGCAACTGATTCACTAAAATATGTCGTTAATTAATCCGTCTACAGTGTACTACAAGAAAAACCATTCCGTAATGACATAAGATCCAAATCTTTACCCTCAAGTTACTGCTTTTGATTGCACAATAGCCAAACTTGTCTTTTACGTCTCCTACTTAACTTATCATGCATTATGTATATTTCATTTATTTAACCAGATACATTACATATCTAATGTAAAATGTGTTCAAATATAAAAACGAACGACTACATATTGCACATAAAATTCGATTCAATACGAGCATAAATCAATTTCGACCCAAACCTTCACCCACTTTACAAGACCACAACATTAACCTTTTTAAAAAGCCCAGAAAAGAAATGACAATTAACCTTGATTACTTGGGCCTTGTGGGCTTATCCCATCAAATATAAATCGGTTCTAATGTTATTAAGTTTCAACAAAACCAATCTAAAGAGCCCAATAAGTATTTAGCTAACAGGCCCAAATCAGTAGAAAAATCCTAGGGTTTTCCTTAAGTTGCGGTATATAACTAAAAATGCCCTTTTATAAGCCTTCGTTGTTCTGCAGCGGCTGCTTCTCCATTGCAGGAGGTTGAATCAGAGAAGAAGGTATGAAATCTCATCAAGCCCATCTCTCTCCCTTTGATATCACTGTTTAAGTTGCAAAATCGATTTCTTCACTAGTTTCGTTAAGCTCATCTTTGAATCGTTTTGTGTTATTTGCAGAAAAAAAATGGCAACGCCACAAGTGAAGACTGGTTTGTTCGTTGGATTGAACAAAGGACACGTCGTCACCAGACGCGAATTGGCTCCTCGTCCTAACTCTCGTAAAGGGGTATTCGTCTCTTCTTCTTCCTCGATTTCTAGAAACATAAGAGTCTGTAAGATTGCTTGGTTAGAGCTAAATCTGTTGTGAGATGAGCTTAGAGATGAGAACATCACTTACTTTGATGCGTTAGGTTGTGGATTTATAGTTTATTAGAACTTGAAAATGTTGGATTTTGCATCTTTGATCTTGTTAATGTTGAGCTCTGAGCTAGGAAATGGTTGTCTTGAGCAGTTTCGTTATTGACATTTCATTTTTTTTTTGTTGTTTTGGATTTGGTGCAATCTTAATAGAAAACGAGCAAGAGGACATTGTTTATCAGATCGCTGATAAGGGAGGTTGCTGGATTTGCTCCTTACGAGAAGAGAATCACTGAGCTTCTCAAGGTTGGTAAAGACAAGAGGGCACTTAAGGTTGCTAAGAGGAAGTTGGGTACCCACAAGAGAGCCAAGAGGAAGAGAGAGGAGATGTCTGGTGTTCTCCGCAAGATGAGGTATTTAACTCAATCATTTGATTCATTCATTCGCTCGCTTTTTCTTTTTAATTTTGATTCATCTGCGTCACAAGAGCTTGTTATTACCATAGGAGATAGAGCGTTGTGATACTATTCAGAATAAGTTGTGTTTCTAGACTGAATTTTGGTTGTTTTGTATCACTTGTAGGTCTGGTGGTGGTGGTGTTACTGAGAAGAAGAAGTAAACGTCATCATAGTCTTCTGTTTTATGGGAACTTTGTTATTTTTGAAACTCGTTAAGTTTTGGTTCGCTCTTGCAAATCAGCTTTATGCCCGAAAACATTTGTGTTGTGTCTTGTTAGGAATGTGGATTAATTCTGTTCTGTTCTGTTTTCTCATTAAGCTTTTTAAACTTTCGACTTTAATCCCCATGTTTTATTCCTCTTTGTTCCGTTTTACTCATAATCATAGTAAGGCCTAATAATCGTAGCCCAATTCGACTTTGTGGCATTGAGCTACGAAAATCAAATTTAGTTTGGGCCTCTTCATGCTCGCTCCTTTGTAGAATATGAACTTCTAAATATGTTATTGGGAACTTTTGATTTCAATAGATGTGACTCTTCACTTGGATAATGGATGCTCGTTTCTCACAGGCTCTACATGTTTTATTAAAATATTGATACTGGATTTATTATATTAGTGTCATGGGTCGTAATCCTATGGTTTTGTTGCTTCTTACTGGTATACAAACTCGGCCAATGTGAGTTACATACTTATCCAAAGTTTAATATAAGTTTCTGTTTAAAATATGATTGCCTAAAGTGTATATAGGATCAGTAATAAAAGAGAAAAAGGGATTGTACATGTAGATGACATATGCATGCAGTATTATGTAAATACAGATGTACGCTTTGTACTTTTAAAAGTGTATGGCTAATAAGGAATCTTTGGTCTGAAAATGAAGAACGTGTGTGGTTGATGACAACATGAGGAAGAAACGTGACAATGCAATACTACTAAGAGATTATAATCCCTTTCACCACTTTATCCACATGTATGATCCTTATATTTACATCGATCAATAAACACCCAAAAGATGATAGAGACTCAAGATCCTTTTATCTATGCACTTATGCACAAATCTAAATATCTCTCAATTATATATGATCGTTCATATGTCATTTGATGCGACTTGGATAAATTATGCGAGACTTCTAGAGAGAACCAGTTATAAAATGATTGCTTACACCGTGGATAAATGTGAAGTGAATATATATATAAGTATATAACTACCAATCCATGTTCAACTCTACGTTGGAGAATAAATTTAAAATACATTGTTCCCGACAGAAATAGATTATTAGTATGAATTAAAAGGTCGATCATTTTTTGTTTTTGTTACAAAAGAAAAGTCCTTATTCAATTTAAATCTCTAGAATATCCATTGGAAACTTGTGGCATACACATGTGATAGAGATGTTATTGTCCAAGCCGCCACAATACCTTATCTAAAACAGACAAAACAAACTCCACTACAAAAGCGTGTGTAGCCAAAGAAAAAAATGAAGGTTTTGATATTTTGCTACTTGCAAATGCCGCATATGAGTTTAATTTGTTTTCTCAGATTCGGCAAAATAACTAAAATGGAATTCTCAAAGTTCTGATCTCCATTGGGTACCAGTACCAATCACACCCTTTGGTATAGCAATTTTTTTAACAGATTATGTCATAATCCAATTTGTTATCGTTGTTCTTTTTAGGTTTTTATCTTTAAATTATATTTATTCAAAAGTATGATTATATCTATGGACTGTCTTGAGCAATATTCCCTTGGGGACCTAGTACAAGTGTTAAGATTAAACAAGAGTTAAACTAGAGCATATATTCCGAAGATGGAGATAACTTTCTTATAAATTCGTACACATTTACCATCAAGAACTATAATTATTTTTCTTATTTACAGAAACTTTTAAAAATAATTTATGTTTCTATATTTTATAGTCACAGAGAAGTAAGTTAAAATTGTACATGCTGAAAAAGTGAAAGCTAATAGTATAAGCTAATATTATTGTACACAAATATGCTGGTCGTCGTCTATATATGCCTAGACCTTCGCAGAAATCAATACATAGATGTGTATATATGTGCACAGAAATACATACACTATCAGGTGACAAAATTTAGCTTGGATTTCTGAGCCACATGATACAATGCTTCTGTTGGGGATTCCTCACATATAACTTATAAGTACTTATATATATATATATATATAAGTTTCCAAATTTTCTTTTTGTGAACAATTTTTAAATCATTTATTTAACTTCGTTTTGAGTTAAAAATTGAGTTTAACCCCCTAAGTTCGAGTGTTTGAGTTCTAGCTAAGTAACCCAATGTATCAGTATTACTGGTCACTTCCACTTATTCAAATCATGATCTTACTTTGATGATGACTGAAGAAATAAACAATTCTTATACTATGTTTTTTCTTTTCTTTTTGGGATAAAAGTCGATAACTATGTTTAGTAAATATTAAAATCAAAATAGCTAAGTTATGGGAGATCGGGCAGGTTTTTATTATGCGGCCTAGCTTTATAAGTTTGAATGTGCTTTATTCCATATTGGTGAGCAGCCTTGGTACTTGCAAAAGCAGAACAATCATCTAATTTAGATTCCTTTCTTTCACTATGAACCAATCTTCCATTTCTTTAGGACCCCCCCCCCCCCCCCCCCCCCCCAAAATTATGAATATATAATAATTCTTTTTTGTCTATTGGTTTTTGAATTATCTTCTTCGAGAGGGATGAAGACTCCATATAGTACTCAGTACTCTTCTTTTTTTCTTCCAATTTCAACTTCATAAGTGATCAATATCCCATTTGAAAAAAAAAAGTGATCAATATTCCTTGACCAAAAAAAGAAGGTGATCAATATCCATAAAACTTCAGTACTTTTTAAGCAATTAAAATAAGTTTTTGAATTACCGGTTTTTTTATGTCAAAAGAAACAAGATTACCGTCTAAAATGTAGAAAGAAATTATGAATAAATAATAATACTTTTTGTCTATTAGTTTTTGAATTATCTTTTTCGAGAGTGATGAAGGACTCTATATAGTACTAAGTACTCACTCTTTTTTTTCTTTCCAATTTTGAGTAACAAATTGAGTAAGCAATTAAAATATTTTACGTTTTTAAATTATCGTTTTTGTTTATTTGTCAAAGGAAACAAAATTACCGTTTAAAATGTAGAAAGAAATTGTCATGAAAGGAGATAAAAAAAAAGTAACGAGGAAACTCTAATAATGACCAAATCAGTAGAGACTTGAGAATGAGTTCTTCTAACACTTAACAGTGAAAATGGATGACGTGGCCCACATAAGCTGACGAAAAAGTAAATTTGTCGCCTAGTGAACTGTGTACACGCGTTCCAAAGCGCGTCAAACTGACATCTTAAGATTAAAATCTCGTCCCGACATTGATTCTCTGCTTCTGTCCTTCTTAAATGTCTCATAGTCTCATGTAAGAAAAATCCTGCCGTCATCCTAATTCTCAAAATTAAATTATCATGTAAATTATATACTTTTGTTAAAATGTAAATTATATACTTAGATCTTTTGAACAAACTAAAAAATATTTAAAGTCTATTCCACAAAGAGAATAACACACAGTCACAGAGATATTACAGTAAATCAAAACACATAAAATTTTGGAAAAAACTCACACACATACATCTTATTTATAGTATTATGTCGTTCCGAAATCAAGCATATTATGCGCAAGAAAACTTTTACTTTATGACATAGAGAATGAAGGATGTAATCATTAAACCTAATATTCCTTACTCTTAATTTGGTTTCGTCAATTTGTTGTAAATAAAAAAGTTGGTTTCGTCAATTTAACCCAACCCGCAACAATCCATTCTTTTTTTCTTTCTTGTAATCATCTCTATCAGGATCTCTTTTGTTCCTCCAGTATATTATATAACTAATCTCAAGAATTAAACAATATTCCTAATAAAACACGGTTTCTTTTAGTGTGTACAAAATTACCTTTTAATTAGACCCCCCAAAAAACGTTTAAATAGAAAATTAGAAATTTAAAGTAATCCATAAAAGTGTTATTTTTTTATAGTGTTTGTATTATTTTTTTGTTAAGAAGATTAACGGATGAAAGATATACACGCATGTACGACCCAGTGATACAATTAGAATAGTTGTTTACGGATTCCTGAGTTTTGAGATTCATTTATGGCCAAAGAAGAGTTTCGAGGAAAATGTATACGATGTGATTCATAAAAACACACATAGACACGTCTATTGTTCATTTCTAAATATCTCTCCGACAAATTTCACCTACATCTTCAGATTTGGTTCCTAAGACCTCTCACTTTATCATTAGGACAATTCGCAATTTGCTTCGTTCTAGTGCTTCTCTTTTCATTGAGTTTCATGTAAGTAGATATTCTTGTGAGTTTCGTTACAATAAAAAAGGTTCATGTTATTTCATTCAAAAACGTGGGAATCTTTTTAATTTTTCATTTTCTGGTTTAGTACAGAGGTTAAACTGGAAAAGTATAATTAGCTACAGTGGTAATTTTCAGAATCAACTCTATAGTGATAATTTCTAGACACGGTTTCTGACGAGATTAAGCTCTATCATTACGATATGAGGCTGATTAACTCGTTAAAGATTCATATTCATTTACACTTTTGGTCTTTTTTTTTTCAATTCTATAATTTATTCAAAGTCGAGAGTGAGAGGAGAGCAAACTAGTTAGCTAGGAAGAAACCCTTGACCAAAATAGTGTTTTTGTTGTTGGTGGCTTCGGTTAAAATAATGTAGTTTACAAATTAAATATACATCAATTGGCTTCTAAGTACAGCCGGTATAACAGAAACCACTAACACTAATTAACAACACGCGATAAGGTGATTTAAAAATCAATGAGATTAGTGAGAAATAAAATTAACTCATAACATGATGGTTTTAATTAAGGTCAATAGATATAGATACATCTAAGAAATTAAGTCCATTCGATAGTGGTGATCAAACTCCAAAGATAACAAAAGGAACAGCGTTCACAAAAAGAACAAAGGAACAGTCTCAATCACATCCAATGGCCAAAGGTACGTACCTAGAGCCATAGATCGAGAACAAGGGAAATCGTAAACAACATAAACTAAACAAAAAAAGTAAAACAAGACAAAAACAAAATTAACCTAATAAGTAGTAACTAGGGTTTTCATCAATAAGTAAGCACCCTCTAGTTTCTTTTTCTATTTTTTTTTTGGGTTGAAAACTCAACGAGAAGAGCCGAAAGTAGAAAGATCAGTCCAGGAAGAGCAATTGCCATTGACATTAACCCATTTGTAAGGATTATCTTCAACTTTAACCGAAGAAAACTGCGACGCCAAAGCAGAAGAGATCGACGCAGAAGTTATCCTCTGAGACTCAAAAGGGTAGAATCCATTTGAAGATGGGTTAGGATTAGAAGAATCATCCAAGTTTCCACCGCCCAAACTCGGTTGCTGGTAGTGAGACGACGATCTCCATTCATCAACACAGCTCATAAGCGAGCCACCTGAAGTTCCCATGTGGACTGACGACCTCAAGTCTTGACTCAATCCTCCATAGTTCAACAAGCTCATGCTGTTGTCTGATTTTGTATTATCTGTGAGATCTCCGAGATGATGATTATAAGTAGGATTCATAAGCCTCACCGGAGACAAAATCTGGCTCAAGATACTCTCTTGGTTTCCTCCGTAGTTCGAGGAGAGAATCGCGCTGATGGTGGATGCATTCCCTGAGGCGGCCGAGGAGAAGCTTGTGTTGTTGCTAGTGGCAGTGCTGTTGTTGTTGTTGCTGCTGCTGCTTTTAGTACGCCTGTTTCTCCGGCAGCCACCACCGACGGGGACGTTGCGGAGGGCACCGCCACGTGTCCAGTATCTCCGGCAGGTTTTGCAGAAGTGGCGTGGCTGAGTGAGGCTGTAGTTGTTGAAGTAGCAGAACTTGGTGTTGGTTGATTCGCATCTTGGACATTTCAGTGCCGCTTCGGGCATGGCTACGTTTGCTTGTCTTGCTCTGTCCACCATCGATCCTGGTCGGATCGAGCCGCCGACTCCGCCTCCGCTCCCATTAGACGGCGCCGGCTGCGGTTGTGGCTGAAGTTGAGGACGAAGAATATGACCTCCGGTTGCTGAAGCTCCAGCGCCGCTCTGATTGTAACTGCTCGGAGGAGCCTAAATTAATTTTGAAAAAAAAAGGAACAAAATTGAGGAATTATTGAAATTGAACAAGAATATTCAAGAACATCCTAAGCAAGAAGAACTTTTTAATTTGTGTCTTTTATTTTTCTTGCTTGGAATTTAGATTTCTCTTCTTTTATTTTGATTCAAAAATTAGAACATGTAACTGCTAAGCAAAAGGAAAATTTGTTTGTGTTCTACATAAGAAGTGAATATGTGGAATTAGTAAAGCACTTACTTGTTGCCAGTTGGATGAATCAAGATAAGCTTGGATGGAGGAGAAAACCATGGTTAGTCTCTTTGTTTTTCTCTTTTGATTTTATTCTTCAAAAATTCTTAAAGTAAAGTTATATTCTTTTCTTTTTCCCCCTCTTCTCTTTTTTTCTGGTGGTGATATAAGAACTAGATCAGTTGAGGAATCAGATCAAAGAGAAAACAAAGTGCAGAGAGAATGAGAATGAAGGTGGAGTGTGAGAATGAAGATGACTAAAATTTAAAGTGGATGAACCTTTATATATATATTTATGTCCATATATACGTGTCTATACACTATACAATATATGTGTATGCGGATGTAAGAAAATAATTGTCATATATGTAATAATTAGGGTTTGTGTTCCATATGGTGTGGGACTGACATGATTCTTTTTGTTTTCTTGCTTTAGTTAGGGTTTAATTTTCTTATCGCTAGTTTCATATATATATATATATATATATATATATATATATTTATAAGTATATTTTTCTTAGCACATAAGATTTTATCTTGTGCCCTGTAAGTTGTGATGATCATCACTTCATAGATCCACACATTTAGACCGAGATTTATAGAGCAAAACCAAGATTGCTCCATAATTATTTTATTGACTTAAGTATTATATTCATAAGAAGATATTTATTGGCAGATGATATTATATTATAGAGTAGTATAATCAACTCTAATTAACTAATTAATAACTTTGGATGCTCATAACAATTTTTGAAAACATTTCAAAGACAATGGTGTAATCGAATTGGATCGTCCTTATGGAAAGCTAAGCTAAGTCCCTTAAAATAATGACAACTATGTTTTTTACTTTTTTGTATATAGATTGATTCAACTTAAAGAATCGAATCATCTCTCGTTAACAGTGATGATATAGTTGATATATCTGTGTAGATAGATCCGAGTAGAATATATGGAGTGAATTTAGGAGACAAAGGTGTTATGTAGACCAAACTTCGAGGTGTTACATAATGATTATAATAGGATCGTTGATCATACAATGATGATTTCGTATTTAATAATTTGAATAAAATAGAAGAAAGAAAAGAGATTGAAAATAGGAAAAGTGGGTAAAATGGGTGCTTTGGTCGTTGGACGACAGCCGAAGCATCGTGACCGGTCCATCATGTTCCCTCTCAGTCTCTCTCTCTCTGCTCTGCTTTGCTTTTTTTTTGTTTTTTTTTCTCTGCATGGCAATATCTCGTAGATGTGATTGATCTTCACGCTCCCTCGAACCGCGTGACTCTTACTCTCTCCATCTCCCTATACATTGAGGTTTGGGCCTTGGGGTTCACTTTCCAAGGTTTCTTTTCTGAGTATGTTTTACCTTCCACGCAAATAAAACATTCCCCACACAGACTTCGATAGATTTTATACAGACATGGTGGATCTCACCTAGTAAAACTACAAACGGCAAACAAAACTAACTTGCAGAATTATATATTTTTATTCAACTGATTAAGGTGTTTTGATTTTTAGTTTTAGATTTTCTGTAAACTAGTGTCGTGAATAATGTCTTCGATTTTGTAATCTTTAGGATCACAATAGAATGGTTATGCTTTTCCACAATTCTTTGATTTTGTAAGTTTAGGTTTTCTTTTTATAGCATTGTTATTTTTTTTTCTATTCTTTTCCGCATATTTTGTTTTACATGATTTTGTCATTCTGCACCTTTACCAAACTGACATGATTTAGCAAAGCCATTTTAATAATTCGGTTATATTATCAGTTGAGCCAAATAACATTTTGATGATTCAATTATATTATCAGTTGAGCTAAATAACATTTTGATGATTCATTTATATTATCAGTTGAGCTAAATAACAGGACCTACATTCACATTAGGACAAACACATTTTCAAGATGATTATTGTTAATAGTAAGTATCCATTCCAACTCCTTGATCCATATTTATTTTCTTACATCATTTGTAAGTTAACATACATTCACATTAGGATAAACAAATTTTGAAGATGACATTTTGGAACAAAAAACTAAACTTTCTAGTGTTTACACTTTACAAATGCGGAGGGATTCTTTAGAGTTTAGACTAACGAGAACAAAGATATTCCAAGGCCATTCGCATGGAAAATTAATCTCGAAGAATAAAATCAATAATCAAGAGTTAATCAACAAAGAACTATTTACATTGCTTAGCCCTGAAATTCTCATGATCAAGAAGCCTAACCATTAGCTTCTCAAGCCTCTTCCAGCTCAACGTTGGCTTAACAACATCCGGAGCCTTTAACTCCGATCCGCCGTCGGTCAAAGCAAGAAGCTCGGCGTCGATCTTATCGAGTATGACATCATCCTCTCGAAACTCCCTTGCAAATGGCGCCCCGCTTTGGACCATATCGTGGAAATCCTCGATCGTTAGATTCAGCGCGCGCTGCTGGAGAAGCGGATCCCAGTGCGTGTAGTGCAGGTCGTGGTTAACCGTTGTGTTCTGATAATCTTTGTTGTTGCACACGACTGTCTGAAAATAGCCTTCAGAGGACAAAAGGAAGTTGGTGTAGTACATCAACAGCGTCCTTGGGAGATTGTCCCATCCCCAGATGCAGAACTCGAGGAACGGTCTTGTTAGAGCTACGCTCGTTGACCCTATTACACACAAAATGTAAGGAGATGTGAAGACAAGCTTAGATAAGAGTGAACATGCAATGGAATTTTCAAGAGTTGTTTTTTTTACCCATGAAAAGTTTGAATGAAGCAGGCAAAGATCTTCGTTCTTTAGCCCAAAAGACACCAGATTTCTTCATATGGTAAAAGCCAGGATCGATTATGATTGGTCTTGCTCTTTGGTTCCTGCAAAATTTATAGTTTAGAGCTGTTATGCTAGTGTTCTGTTTCTGAATACAAAACAGAGAACATAATATTAGCTCCCTCACTCTTTCCAACCGATGTTGCTTGTGTGCTCAATGAAGTTCAGGTAGCGAGGCAAGTATGAGAAGATATGCAAAATATCTGAAAACCAAAAGTACAATAAAATCACTGAAGTGTAGTAAAACAAGAATCTATAAATTGAAGTTAAATCCCAAAAATTTAGACACCTTCTTATGTTTTACATTCAAGTTCAGTGTTCAGAGACTATTTATGTCAACACACAGAAACCAATCAAACATATTTATACATCACATGTCTTCCTGATTCTTGTACAAGTCAATAGTGCAAGAAGACCGGAAATTCAAATTCTCCTTTCATTTACTTTAATTTAAATCTCTATTGTACTCCATTACCAAACTTGCTATAATCGAATACCCTTGAAAGACACATCAAACAGAGATTTGGATAGTAGTAAGCATTACAAACAAGAAAATGAATTTTCCGGTTAAATGAGGTTAAGAAGCAATCAAAAAGCATTGAGATTCTCTGAATTCCTATAGAATGCAATATTGTCTACAAGAGAACCAACCAAACCATATATGAGATTGGGCTTTGTTGCATATGATGCAGAACACTAGTTCTCTGTAGACATTAGTTCTCTGTAGAATAGACTTCTGATTTATTTTCACTTATAATCTCCATTGAACTTAAAAACACAGACTTTTCAAAAAGCATCCAAACATGAAGCAAATATTTAGGGAAATGGTTTAAGATTGAGTAAAAGTTACCATCTTGAGGCATGAGAGGATAATCAGAGGAGCTGAGATTAATAAACCAATCCCAATCCTTAGCTCTCTTCAACAGAACCGCAACACCGTGAAGCGTGCTTGCCAACATCGTCGGACCTTTCTCCGTCACCAAATCAGCCAGACCCATCACCATAACGTTCTTAAACTTCTTCTTCTCCGACCTCACATACTTGGCAAGCTCCATCCTTTCTTCGTCCGATGCTTGAAGATCCAGATGCAGAAGATAGTAATTTCTCGGATGGTGTATTGCCCCGAGGAGCCGCTTCACACGTTTCACATCTCCTTTCGTCCCCGTTACCAAGTAGGCGAGCCTCGGAATATCCGATTTTCCGGCTAGTCTTCGGTTCGGAGCTAAACCGGATGGTTTCCGAGAGGTTAGTGTTAAACCCAGAAGAAACAGGAGGAAAACGCCGAGCGCTGAAATCGCCGGTCGAGAAAAAGAGCGAGGAGAAGAAATGTGAGATCTTTTCATGATTTTCGATTACACAAGTCACTACTCTACGATTCTACGGGACATAAGTGAGAGGACAGATCTGAGCCGGCCGGTGGAGAGAGAGAGAGGAAAGCCGGGAAGGAGACGAAAGTTTGGGTTTTTTTTATTTTGAAAAAGAAAAAAATCGGTTACGTGGTGAACTTCAAACGCTGTCGTTTTGTGAGAAGACGTTGATGAATATGAACCGCCCGATGATTCTGGGATTTTTATATACCGTAGGATGAGGCTATCTGTAGTGCGTTTTCTGTGAGTTGTCGAGAGTCAACGTCAACGTGAGATTTCCCATTACTGTTGCTTACGGAGTTACGAAGCAACCAAAAAAAAAAGTACGTAAAATAAATAAATTAACGGACGCATTTTTTTTCGAAAATGAAGTAATTTGTTTACAGTCACAATAAATTTTTCAAAAATATCACGAAATCGGAAAATACAAAAACAGGGAAAAAATTAAATAAATAATCAAACTAAACTAGAAGCATCAGGCAGACCTTGACGCCAATCGTCATCTCTATTGGTCCCCGAAACTCGGCGGTTTCCGCCACCGCTGCGATTCACGTTATCGTTACCGTTACTGTTACCGTTGCCGTTAACGTTATCGTTGGCTTCGGTCTGTTTCACGGAGACGACGTCTGCTCGGCAAATGGGACAATTGGGATGATCTTTGAGCCACGTTTCGATACAAAACACGTGGAACGCGTGCTTACACGCGCTCAGTTGCCGGATGTCCTCGCCGTCGGCGAACACCGACAGGCACACCGTGCACTCGTTCCCAATCTCCTTGGAATGCGTCTCTTTCTGGAATTTCACGCCGGAATCAGGTGCGGTGGGATCGGCCGTGATCGGCGGATAGAGCTCCACGGTGACATGATGTGTATCGTCGTCGGAGGAGCTGGTGCTGCGGCGGGATGAAGAGGAGTTGCGGCGGTCGGAAGAACACGGGATGGCGAAAAAGAGAGTGTAAGCTAAGGCGGGAACGGCGACAATCGCGATGACTGCGAAGATTAGTTTGAGAGGAGAGAGGTCGATGCTCCGGGGAGGAGCTGGGAACGGCGGAGGAGGTCCGATGATGATGAAGGTAGAATTGGAAGTGATAGTGGTGCCGGGGAAGACAGTGGTGGGTACTGTAGCGGAGGAAGTCGGGACGACGGCGCCGCCGCCGGAGCCGAAAGTAGTGGAATTATTGAACATTATGATTGTGATGTGAAAATTGGTGAGGAAGAGAGAGATGATAATGGAAAGTGCTTCTTACTAACTAAGCTTGGTTTCGTTTTCCAAATTATTTTTTTCCAACGAGGAATAGTCAAAAAATATATTATTTGTTAAGGTGAAATAAACAAAATCATAACCGGTCACGACTAGCACCAACGACAGTTAGATACATATAATCCAGTAGAATTATGGCAGGTTTTATAATTTGACAATTTCGAAATGCAACAATCACTTTCGTAACTATTTAACTACAAAAGCATCTATATAAGTCGTTACAGAACTCTTTTTTCTTCTTCAGTAAAACAATCTAAATTTCTTTCATAAGTTCAAATGGTTTATTTAATTTTGATAGCATGTCATGTCTACTTTATCTTCTCATATTTTTCCAATTTGATTTATTTATACAATGAGAGAAGGAGGAGGATCTTCTTTGGTGTTTTGTTATGATGGCTACATGGGAGTAGTGGTTGGAAATTTGGTGCTTGTCGGTGCCACCAAGATTGTTTATTCTTTATTTCCCACCTTGTAATTATCTATGTGACTCTTGGGTCTTTGGATTTGGGTCTTTGGATTTGGGTCGTAAACTAATGGGCCAGATAATTGAGCTTTGAGGTTTATTGGAGACTAAGCTCGACTCGTAACATCATAGTATTGCATATCAGGTTGCAACAAATGTGCACGAAACAGTGGGACACGTAAAACAGTGCAAGAGAGAGAGTTGAAAAACGTTTGGTTCATCTTTATATCCTATGATTTTACCCATTGTGAATACATTAGATGAGAATCGTTCAGCTTTTCAAGTGCTATTGCTTTGTGCAGTGGCGGAGCTAGAAAAAATATTTACAGGGATCAAATTTTTTTTTTTAATATAACTATATAAACTTTATTAGAGAAATTAATATATTATCATTAGATTTAGATGCATCACATATATATAAGTTTACTCATATCTCTTGAATCAGTTTATCATGGTCATACTTTGGTTTGTTAATATATTAAACACTTGTTTATCAATAAAACAAATTATACAATCACCTAAAAATATATCACCAATAAATAAGAAAATCTAGCTTATATCGTGAATTAGACTTATGAAAAAATAAATATTTACTTTTCATTTTATGTTTGATTGATAAAAATATTTAGTTTTACTTAATTAATGGGTTTCTTTTTGTTGTAAAATTATTTGAAATGATTATTGAGCTAACATTTACTAATATTTATTGAATCATGGATCAGTTAAAAATCTAGAAGGATCAATAATTATTTTGAACATGGATCAATTAAAAATACTTAATAAAAGTATAGTTATTTTTCTAATTTTTACATGGGTCAAATGACCCTCCTAATTACAAGCTAGTTCCGCTACTAACTTTGTGTGTTAGGTTTTCTAGTCAGGGGGTCCGATCAAAGTGTTTTCAAAATCATCATATAAACAAATTTTCAATTAGTCTCATAAAAATTATCATAAACAAATTATAAATAATTTATAGAACAGATAAAAAGACATATCGAGAAGTTATAAACGATGGATTTTAGCCACAGAAAAAGCCATATAAACATGTTTGTGAAGAGGTAGAACTTAGTATCATATTTCCACAAAAAAGAAACGTGTGCTGCTCAGTGCATCAGATCATCAAATTCCCAAAAATGGAATGTAGAAGTTGGTATGTACGTACAAGTCAGTTAATATTTGCCATTTGAAGCAAATGAAGAATATAAATAAACGAAGCTCTTTTCAAAAAAGGAAAATAATTAAATGTTGTTGGATTTGTGTAATTAAAAACAACATGTTCTGAAAAGATTGACATAATGTGGTTAAATGAAAAGATTGACATAATGTGGTTAAATGTTCAAAAAATAAATAAATAGAAACATAAGTTCTTAAAAAATAATAATATATATTTCAGTGTTATATCATAATTGATAGATGACCAAAATATTCATATGCAAATACAGCAAATTTTTGAGTATTCGCTAACCCTTAGGAAACATCAGTACTAATTATTATGTGAATAGTTAATACAAAAATAAGTTTAAAAAGTTACAATTCTTGAAATCATAGATGAATAGATGATATTATTATTATTATTATTATTATTATTATTTACACCAAAAAAATAGATGATATTATTACCAATGGTTATTACGACGGTCGAAAACATTAATAATGTTCATTACAGATTTAAGGCGACGCAAATCCTTGTCTTATTTTTCTTTCTATTAACGAAAAAGGAATCTAGTTGACGGCGTGTATATAAGGTATATATACATACATTCACACACACAATTACAAACAACGAAGACATAAACAAGCAGCCAATAAACAATAATCGTCACCGTTAAGTAACGGCGGAAACTTTCCATGGTTGCATCCAGGGCAGGCGTTTACTCCGGACCGTATCTCTCTCTCTCTCTCTCTCTCCAGAAAAAGAAGAAGAAGAAAACTAAGACTTGTTGTTGTACATAGAAGATTAATGATCGATTTTGGTAGCTAATGAGTAATGATGATGACGATACCATCTGCATCCTGCTCGTCTTAGCTTCTTCTTCTCTGCTTCTCGATTTATCTGTGCTTATCCCACACAAAAGGTAAACCATAAACCCCAAAGGAAAAAAAAAAAAAAGATCCTTAATCTTTCCTCCGTGTGTCCTCATCTCCAAAAGCTTAATCTTGTCGAGTAATCTTCTCCAAGTTTCGATTTTTGTGGGTGTTTTCAAGGATCTATGATAAGAATTGGGTAAAAAGCTATGTGGCGATTCGTTAGTATCTGGGAAGAGTAGATAAACTCCCTGTTTATGCAATTTCACGATTAGGGTTTTCTTCATTGCAGAGGCCTTTTAAAATTGGGAATCTAGGGGGTTTAAAGTTGGGTTCTTTTTTAGCAATTCGTTTAATCTTTGGGAGGGGGGAGGAAGATGAGACTCGTCTACGGTGTGAGCTGAAATGGTAGATACTTGGTTTAACGTCTTGACCATGGAGAATCATCATCCTTCAACGCTTTTGTCAATGGATTCAAGTGCTTCTTCTCACGAGGAGCTTGACCTGGAGATGAATAACCGGCAATCTCTTCTCTCTGGCCCTCCTGATATCAATCTGCCTCTCTCGGCTGAGAGAAGTCCTCCTCCGCAGCCATGGAACCTGGATTCTTGCGACATTTTGGATGTTGGGTTAGGCTCACAAGCCTACGAGACTGAGAATTACATGAGTGTTGTCCCCAAGGTTGGGAGAAAATGCGCTAAAAGGATCGATAGTATCTGGGGTGCTTGGTTCTTCTTCAGCTTCTACTTCAAGCCTGCGTTAAACGAGAAGTCGAAGGCGAAGATCGTCCGTGACAGCAACGGGATATCAGGGTTCGACAAATCGGATCTGAAGCTGGACGTGTTCCTAGTCCAGCACGACATGGAGAACATGTACATGTGGGTGTTCAAGGAAAGACCTGAGAACGCTCTAGGGAAGATGCAGCTTAGGAGTTACATGAACGGTCATTCTAGGCAAGGGGATCGTTTGTTTCCCTTTAGCGTTGAGAAAGGTTTCGTGAGGTCTCACAGGATGCAGAGGAAACACTACAGAGGCTTGTCGAATCCGCAGTGTGTTCATGGGATCGAGCTTGTTCCTTTGCCAAGCCTCACGTGTCTCGACGAGGAAGAGAGGAAAAGGTGGATGGAGCTCACGGGAAGGGACTTGAACTTCACGATCCCACCTGAAGCTAGCGACTTTGGCTCTTGGAGGAACCTTCCAAACACTGACTTCGGGCTCGAGAGGCATCCACCTCCGTTGAAGAATACTACTTCTGCAAGCCACTCTAAGAAGTTACTGAATGGATCAGGGCTCAATCTCTCAAACCATTCAAACGGTGAAGCTACTGATCTATCTCCTTCGAGCCACAAGAAGAGGAAGGACTTGTTCTCAAATGGGATCCATGAGGAGGAGTGTTGCTTAACCGTGAACCCGCCGCTTCCTGCTACCGAAGTTCACCAGAGTGAGATGCCGAACTGGTCGAATGACTTTACCGGGGCCATGAAAAACGTGTGTGGACCTGTTACTGCTGCGAAAACGATATACGAGGACGAAGAAGGGTACCTGATCATAATCAGCCTTCCTTTTGTGGATTTGAACAGCGTTAAGGTCTCGTGGAGGAACACTCTCACACACGGAATCATAAAAGTTTCATGCGTCAGCACATCTCGCGTACCTTTCATCAAGAGACATGACAGAACATTCAAGCTGACTGATCCAGCCTCGGAGCATTGTCCACCAGGAGAGTTTGTAAGAGACATCCCGTTATCAACGAGAATCCCGGAAGATGCAAACATCGAGGCGTATTACGATGGACCCGGTTCGGTTCTTGAGATACTTGTCCCGAAACTGAGAGCTGGCCCGGAAGAGCATGAGGTGCGGGTGTGTCTCCGCCCACATCTCGGAGGAAACGATCTTATGTTGACGTAAAAGGAGAGAGAGACATCTTTGTTACAGTTTTTTTTTCTTTTCTCGTATTTTAGAAGCTTATAGTAGTCAATATATCTCATTGATATTATTGGTCACTCATATATAGGCGTTTTCCAACTGTTTTAATGGTATTTTTCATCACGTTGCAATCTTTGTGTACGTTGTGTTGGAATCAACCTTAGCCGTAGATTCACTTTCTGGTTCTGTACAAAGAAAGAAAACATTGTAGTGATCTCAGAGATAGCACTAATCTTCAACGTTTATATACATGCGTTTTGAGTGCTGATTATAACGTGAAATCGAATATGTCAACTCAACAACTAAACCAGATTATTGAACCGAAATTGACTAAACCAGATTGATTTCCAGAAAATGGCGGCATAATGCGTTGGTCTAAAGAGTAAACATTTAGTCACGACAGTTTTCACTGGTCTAAAGAGTAAACAAATGACATAATGAATTGCAAAATCAGATAATTAGACCAGATTATTGACCGAAACTTCTATTATCCATCCGGTTTAGTCAAGTTCAGTGCCTTGAATAGGACGAAAACTTGAAACCCTAATCGTCCTCAAATCACCTTCAGAGCTAAACGCACCGTTTCTTTTCTTAAAGATCCTTTCCACTGATTCCTTACAAACTCTTGTCTGAAACAGAGATGGGGGGAAGAGGTACCAGCGGGAGCTTTCCTCGTCGGAGCTTAACGAATCTAGTTCTAGAATTAAGTGGGAGGGGATTAACGGTGGAGGAGATCGCAGATGACCTCCGTTCCAAGCACCGTGAATGGGCTCGTTGGAAACGCCAGATCCTTGTGATCAAAGTCAAAAGGATCGTAAATTCCGAAAGTAATGGAAGCAGGAAGAAACAGAGGCGAGATGATGATGAACTCGAACAGAGGAATTCGGATTTATGTATATCATCATCACCTTCTTCTTCCTCCACATCCGGAAATGTCTTAACATCAGAGGATAACAGTCCACACTTTGATATCACCAGTGATAGTCTACTTGTTTCTTACTCTAATAAATCCACGACGCCATTGAAGAAGAAAGCTGTGTCTAGCCAAGAAGGAAGTAAGGTTTATGATGAAGAGGTGAAAGGACCGACCTTTAAGGACTTGGGTGGGTTAAAGAGTGTTTTGGATGAGCTCCTGTTCGAAGTGAAACTACCTCTCTTGTGTCCTGACATTGTACAAGGCATTGGTATGAAACCACTCTCTGGGATATTACTTCATGGTCCACCTGGTTGTGGCAAGTCCACACTCGCTTGTGCCATCGCCAACGAAGCTGGTGTACCTTTTTATATGCTCTCTGCTTCTGAATTGGTTTCTGGTGTTTCTGGTATGAACGCTCTTTCTTTCTTTTCTCAAACATGTACACTTGTCTTGCTATGTTTATATATTCATTTCCCTTGTTCTAGGTGGATCAGAAGAGAATATCAGAGAACTCTTCTCTAAAGCTTATAGAACTGCACCCTCGATTATATTTATCGGTGAGATCGACGCCATTGCCTCAAAGAGGGAGAATCAGCAAAAGGCCATGGACACGCGTATAGTGACGCAGTTACTGAGTTGTATGGATGAGAAGTATATGCTCTTGAAGCAAAAAGAGAGCAAATCTTCCTCCGATGATGTGGCCGGTTCTAAGCCTGGACATGTGATTGTAATCGGAGCTACAAACAGGCCTGACGCTCTTGATCCGGCATTGAGGAGATCTTTGCGGTTCGATAAAGAGATTTGCCTCGATGTGCCTGATGAGAAGGCTAGAGAAGAGATATTTTCTTTGATTACACGCAACCTTTCACTTGAGAGCACCTTAGACTGTTCCAAGATTGCTCGTCTGACTTCTGGATTCGTTGGTGCTGATTTCCAAGTTTTGGCCAAGAGAGCTGGTATGGTGGCGGCGAAGAAGATTATAAATTCAAGAAAATCAGAGCTTTGTTCCGATATTGATTCTTTGATGAGGCAGGAATTGTCAGAGGAAGAGAGGAAGAAACTCTTTGTTACTACCTCAGATTTCGAGGAAGCATTGAAAGATATGCAACCTTCGTTAACTAGAGAAGGTTTCTCTAGTATCCCTAATGTAACGTGGGATAATATCGGTGGACTTGATCATCTAAGGGAGGAGTTCTATCATCATGTAATTCTTCCATTAAAATTCCCTGAAGAATGCAAGGTAAGATCAATAACTTAAAACAAAACCCTAGTGGAATCAATATGTTATGCCTTAAGATGTGGTTCCAAGAAACAATATAACGGTGGATGTTTTACATTGTTTTCAGGGATTTGAGTTTTGTTTAGAAACGGGTTTTTTGCTCTTTGGACCACCAGGTTGTGGTAAGACTTTAGTTGCACAGGCGGTTGCAAATGAGGCAGGAGCCAACTTTATCCACGTCGAGGTTTGTTTGGTTAAATATATTTTTTCTTACAGTTCTTTATTTCCTTTGTGTTCTCGTTTTTTTTTTTTAACATATTGTTGATGATGTGTAGGGTCCAGAGCTTCTGAGCAAATATGTTGGAGAAACGGAGAAGGCTATTAGGGAGTTATTCAGCCGTGCTAGGATGTGCTCTCCATGCATCGTCTTCTTTGATGAGGTCAGTGTTTCAAGTCACAAACGAGTAACGAATAGTAATAGGCAAAGCTCCTTTGTGTGATACCAAATATATTGTAGGTGGATGCTTTAACAACAAAACGTGGAGAGCAAGGTGCTTGGGTTGTTGAACGACCTTTGAATCAGGTGATTAGTTTTGAACCACATTCTTAATCATTGTACTGAAAACATCAAATGCTAACTAATGATTTTCTATATTGACAGTTACTCGTTGAATTGAGTGGCGGAAAAAAACGAGACGGTGTGATTGTGATTGCTGCTACAAACAGGTTAGGGTATTTTTGCTCTTATAATGTGTTTTGTTTAATTATTGTCACACTTTATTCGACTCTCTGTATTTTATTTTGATGGACGGACTGTACTAGGCCTGACATGATGGACCCGGCTGTTCAGAGGGCAGGCAGGTTTGGGAGACATATCTATGTACCGCTCCCAAACTCGGTACAGCGTTATTCGATTCTGAAATCTCTTGTGAGAGACGTTCGAATTGACCCGAGTGTTGATTTGAATGCCATAGCGAGAATGGAGAGTTGTGAGAATCGTAGTGGAGCTGATCTCAAAGCTTTGGTGAAACAAGCGGGTTATGCAGCTTTTAGAGATACAAACTCAGGCAGTAATAAGCGTACAATCAAGATGGTTCACTTTGAGCAAGCTTTCACTAATCTCAAACCTTTCTCTCACGAACCAGGTTAGTGTTTTGCTGTGGAATGAACAAATGACGACTCTTTGACAAATCATAGAGATTAATTTTGTCCTCACACGCTACTTTTGTGCAGCAAGTACGGGAATACGAGAACATATTCAGAGACTTTCAAAGCGGCAAGTGAAGAGTTATGGATTGTCGACATACCCCTTTCTTTGTCTAATTGTCACCAACAACAATCTAAGGTTACGGATTGTTTTGTTGTCTTTCTGTATTCCCAGTAGGCGTTTTCACTGTTTTAATGGTTGTTATGAGCTCAGAAAGTGTACGTTGCGTTGGAAACAATATGAATGCTGATTTTACTATATGAGTTTTGAATCATTGAATCAAGATATGTAACCATTTGAACTATTATAGCTCGTGCAAACCATAAAAGTGAAACATACATCAGAGAGGTCTGTGATACAACTGAGGCTACTGATTAAGATCAAGCAAGAGCTGTCGAATTGCATCCGAGGAGAGAGGTATGTTCAAACACTCTTGTCCATCGGAGTTTCTCTTGGTCTTAACAAGTTCGTGGTCTTTAAACTCCGTGAGATGAGAGTTCAAAGTCACTTGGCTGCTCACGAAGAAGCGTTCCCGAGAGGCTGAATACAGATCATCAGTGGGCATCCCGTCTTCATCTGGGTGAGAAAGTTGATACCCGGCAAGGATCTTGAACACGTTCTGAGCGTTTGGTGTTAAACTCTGCAAGACAATGGCCGCTGTTTTGGCGGTTTGGGCTGTGCTTCCCTGTGCAAGAACCAACGGGAAGAATACGCCTTCGTTCTTGTACGGTGCAAACGTTGGAACGTGGTGCCATAGCCAGTTAAACTGTTTGTGCACCATTTTCTTGTCCCACACTGCCAATGGATCCACGAAACATCGCATCAGGTCAAAGAAGCGGTACAGAAGCTCTTAAATGAAGCAACAGAACTCAATTAGAAGGACACAGACGGAGAGAGAGACAGAGATGGAGAATACTGCTTACGTAATGGAGCATTGACATGGTCAATAGAGGCAATAATGCGTATGTGTGAACAAGAAGCAAGCTGGGCAAGAGTTTGCTGTGATTCAGGATCTCTTAGAGCAGGGCCATCAATGTTATGAACAACAACGCATATGAAGCAGTCTTTGTCTTCGGACTGTGGGCCACGTAGAAAGGAAAGAATATCGTCAATGGAGCGTGTGGGGAATGTTTCTTGACCTTTAGACACGCTCCCAGAACTCTTTCTTCTACATTTCAACATCTCGGAGAGAAGTTCGGCTAATGCTAAAAGAACCTGCATCCAAAGGACTATTTTCTTGTTAACCAGAAAAAATGGAGCTGTGCCAGAGAAAGAATAGCCATTGACTTACCTGTTTTAGATTTACTGAAGGGAGGTAGCCATTGATGACTACAACGGAATACTCAGTCAAAGAAGCAGAAGCAAAATCTTCAATCAAACACTTTTTAGATCCAAAGCCGTACATTAGAAGGCCAAAGCCACACCTGGAAACAGCCAAATGAAATGGTAAACACACAAAAGCATGTGTTTATATGTTCCTGAACCATTTCTACCCTCTAAGATCAATGTTTTCTAGGAAAGAGAAGCACATGCTTTTTTGGAAAGGAAAAGCCTTCTCACCTGAGCTCAAAAACCCACTTTGAGTACATAGTCTTGTAATCATTCAGAAGCTCAGAGATCTCTTTCGTGTGCTTCGTTTCAATATTTAACGCTGTCTCTCTAAGTTCCTGAAACACATAATGTTTGTCCATCAACTCGTCAAGGAAAGCATTTCTGACTACGTACAAAACATTATGGGAGAACAACATCCAAAAAATCACCTGCTCATCAACAACATTAATATCAGAGAGCTTGTGCGCTGACCGCTTGCTGGACCCACTCAATTCTTTCGCCAGAAAGTAGTTTCTTGAGAACCCACATTCATCTTCTTCCATGTTTTCTATGTCCTCCATTGTCGTGGCACAGAGTAAAGAACAATGGCACCTTTACTGAATTCCTTAGTGGGGGAAAGTCTTTCCTGAGACAGCAGCCACAAGAACGCCACTAAGTCATTTACTTACAACAAGACAATGGCTACAAATTTTATCAAAAACTTCACCGAACCTTCTGATAATTAAAACTAACCGAAGTTACTCAAACTAGCATCGTTCCTCACAATCAAACTTAAACTACCTCTTTCTTCAAAGTATTAACATTTCAACCACTGATTTAAAGAAAACAATATGTTAAGTATCAATTTTCAGAATAACATCAATTTCCAGAAACAAGCCATTCAATGAATCGCACAGACGAAACTAATTAAGAAATCAGTGAAATCACAACATTTGAGCAGAAATTCAATGTCCTTCAATGATAGCATACAAAAGAATCAACAACATCTCTAATTTCACTAAATTGATTGATGACCCAGAAAAATCTCACTGGAACAAGTAAATGATTAGAATGGATCAGACCCAATCACCAAAATCTACACGGAAAGAGAATTACCTTTCACAGAATCGAAGAACAAAATCCCGAGAGCGATAGAGCAGAAAAATCAGCCAATCGATTGTGCCCCTCAGGCTTCGAAAATTAGAACCCAGAAGAAACAACAACTACAAAAAAAAATGCCCTACGATTATGCCTCTCAATTTTCCCGCGCGTTTTTTTTTCTCTTCCCGGTTAAACCGCTACGATGTCGTTTAGCTCTCTCTACAATACCATAAAATCTACGGTTCACAAATTCTAATATCCGTGTGACACGGATAGCAACAGATCCAACGGTCCATATGTTATGCTAAAGCATTAGCCAATGAATTAAAATCACGCGGATTGACGTTTGCAACCGTTGATTAAAATACAGATCCGACGGATTGTATCCTCCCTTAAAAGTAAAAAAACAGAAAACACAAGATGTGTGCTCCTATATAACCCTCTCGCATCGTCCTCTAAGATCTACACATCGCAGTCTCGTTTACACGTGTGAAAAATCTCTTCTTCTTCTTCTGATTTTAAAATTCTCTGAGAAAGAAAAAAAAAATGTCTGGGAGAGGAAAGGGAGGAAAGGGGTTGGGAAAGGGAGGAGCCAAGAGGCACAGGAAGGTTCTCCGAGACAATATCCAGGGGATTACGAAGCCGGCGATTCGCCGTCTGGCGAGGAGAGGTGGTGTGAAGCGTATAAGCGGCTTGATCTACGAGGAGACTCGCGGTGTTCTTAAGATCTTCCTCGAGAATGTGATTCGTGACGCCGTCACCTACACCGAGCACGCTCGCAGGAAGACCGTCACGGCGATGGATGTTGTCTATGCGTTGAAGAGGCAGGGAAGAACTCTCTACGGGTTCGGCGGCTGAGGGAATGAAATCGGGAGTTTGTAAATCGGTCTGTTCTTTTAGGGTTTGCTAATTCTGGAGTTTAAGATCTCTTAGCTGTTTCTGGGGTTTCGTTTGTTTGTTTCCAAGACTTGAATTGAATGAAAAGCGTTTATCCGTTTCGCAGTCTACTTGATTTTGCGTCTTAATTTTTTTTATCCATAATCTATTTTCTTCCGCAAACTTCAGAATCATTAAAGCACAATCATCGTGATAATTGAGAACTGTGTACAATAAACTTCACAACTCAACTGATTTCGTCTTTTAATTGATTATCGTTTCTCACGCACGAATCTTGGCTCAACCCGTCTCTGTTCGTTGTTGATACCTTGCTATTCCGTGAGTTTCTTGAATTGTTTCGATTCAAATACGAATCTGAATAGTGTGATATTAGAGCTCAGGTGAATCTGTTTTTCAAAGTTGTTCGTCATAAATCTAATGGTGAATGGCTAAATGCCTAAATGGTCCATTTAATTGCTAATTGCCTCGGGATAGTTGCTATTTGGGCTTTATTTTGTAGTTATGGTCAAAGGGTCCATTAAGTTATCGAAGGCCCAAGTTAGTAGGGTTTTATTATATCTATCATTTTCGTCATTTTTGCTTCAAGAAGGCAAGTATGTTGGATTCGGATCAAGCCCAGGCCCAACTCCGAGAAGCAATCAACATCGTAATGATGCTTTCTCACGTATGGCTGACGGACACAGAGTGGGACGGTGATTTCGTGGCAGAGATGCGGCGGAGAGCCCTATACGTTTGGGGCGTTTGGCCTATTTCAGGAGGTGGAGACTAAATACCAACCAGGCTCTAATATATGGAGTGAAATGTAAATACTGGAAGTATGTTGTAAACATGGGTCCATAGTTTAGTGGTGGAATCCCGGTTCGATTCCGGGTGGATCCAAAAGTATATTTTGGAGGAAAAAGATAAATACAGTCGATCTAGGTTTTTTTGTTTTGACTTTTTAATCTCCGTCCAGTAGTAGTTAATACATCTAAATCTAATACACATTTAAGATGTTAAAAAAACACACACACACATTTAATATCATTTTCACGAACCAAAAGATTGATTAGCCTGGAGATTTCCACCAAACTCTATCTTTTCCTTAATTCTTCAAAAGATCCTGAAAGTTGTTAACAACAAATCAATTGCATTGAAACGTTAAAGCTCATAATGTGGTGAAAGTTTGATGCTTTGTGGTTATTTGGTTCTCATAACTCCTTTGTAAATGTTGAAAAAACCCAAAAAAATACTCCTTTGTAAATTTTCAATTTTATTTATATTATTAATAACAGGTGAACTTTTCAGTGAAGCTGCCGCGAACTTCGCACGTGCCAATAAAACACTTGCAAAGAAAAAAAAAACGCGAGTTCAGTAGTTTACCACGTTAATTAGCAAACGAGCGAACGGAAAAACGCATCGCTCTCATCAGAATCTGGACCTGGATCAGATCTGTGCGGGTCGGGTCGTATAGGATCAGATCGGTATTAGTCGTTGATCGGAGTATCCGGCACTTATGGCGGCGGCGAGGCGATTACGCACGCTCCAATCTCAGCCGGAGAACAAGGTCTGTGTCGACTGTTCCCAGAAGAATCCCCAATGGGCGTCTGTTTCCTACGGCATCTTCATGTGCCTGGAGTGCTCCGGCAAGCACCGAGGCTTGGGCGTTCACATCTCCTTCGTCCGATCCGTCACCATGGATTCGTGGTCCGAGATCCAGATCAAGAAGATGGACTCCGGCGGCAACGAGCGGCTCAACAAATTCCTCGCGCAGTACGGGATCTCTAAGGAGACCGACATCGTCGCCAAGTACAATTCCAACGCCGCCTCCGTGTATCGCGATCGGATCCAGGCTTTAGCCGAGGGGAGACAATGGAGAGACCCGCCGGTTGTCAAGGAATCGAACGGAGGCGGGATGAACAGGAAGCCTCCGTTGTCGCAGGGCAGTGGAAACAATGGCGGATGGGATAATTGGGACACAGATGATTCCTTCAGATCTTCGACCGATATGAGGCGGAACCAATCGGCGACTGATTTTAGAGCATCCGGAGCTCGCGGTGCGCCGGCGAAGTCGAAATCGTCGGAGGATATCTACTCGCGGTCTCAGCTTGAGGCTTCGGCTGCGAACAAGGAGAGTTTCTTCGCGAAGAGGATGGCTGAGAATGAGTCTAAGCCTGAGGGTCTTCCTCCTTCACAAGGAGGCAAGTATGTTGGATTCGGATCAAGCCCAGGCCCAGCTCCGAGAAGCAATCAACAGGGTGGTGATGTTTTCTCTGTCATGTCTGAGGTAAAGTTCGATAAGTGATTCGATTGGATTAGGTTAGATGTTGAGTGTGAGTGACTTCGCTCTTTTATCTATTTGATTGTGTTCATTTCTCTTTACTCGTTTATGCAAAAAGGGTCTAGGAAGATTGTCTCTTGTTGCCGCTTCTGCTGCGAATGTTGTTCAGAGCGGAACCATGGAGTTCACTTCCAAGGTACTTCTTTTATCGTTATGCTCTATCCTGTGCTTGATTAGCTTTGGTTATGATCATTATAACTTGCGAAACCCACCATTTGATTTGAAGTCAAAAGGCACACTTCTTGGTTACAATTCTGATCTCATCATATCCATCTTAATTCATATAGAGATTATGACTTAGTGATTTTAGGATTCTCCTATACTATACATTGTTATGTAACAAAAAGTTAAGAGTCTTGTCTAGCTGCAGAATCTTCTTTGATTGAGGCTCATTGCGTTTTGCCTTCATACCGGATCCAGTAAAGCTCTGATTTAGAGTATAATGCCTGATGCTCTCTACAGAGAGAAGTCAATTGAAATAAGAAACCTTTGCTCATTTGCAGGTCAAAGAAGGAGGCTTAGATCAAACGGTGAGTGAGACTGTTAACGTTGTTGCGAGTAAGACAACAGAGATAGGACAGAGGACATGGGGGATCATGAAAGGAGTGATGGCAATTGCTTCACAAAAGGTTGAAGAGTTCACTAAAGAAGAAACAGCAACCTGGAATCAACAGAATAAAAACGAAGGCAACGGTTACTACCAGAACAACAACGCAGCAAATTCGTCTCTTGGAGGTTCACGTTCACAGTCGTCATCGAGTGGCCACCACAACAGTTATCAAAACTCGAGTTCTTGGGATGACTGGGGAGAAGATAACAACAATACCAAAAAGGAAGTAGCACCGAAGGTGTCGACTTCTAATGATGATGATGATGGTTGGGCTGGTTGGGATGATAACGATGGCAAAGACGATGATGGTTATTATCAGAGTGCAGGGGATAAGAAATCTGTAGGTCACAATGGGAAATCAGACACTGCTTGGACTGGTGGAGGTTTTCTCTAGCGGTAAGCACGAATCAATTAGAAAACTAGTCGAAGAACATTTTTACTATCGATACAACTAATATTTGAATCCACAGGTGTTTCAGGTCAATGGTGAGTGAAGTTGTACAATTTAAGGAAAAGCAAAGCCTCTGTGTTCTTCGTGCTCTGTCACAAAGAGATAGAGCAAGAGAGCGGAGGTCTGTTTTTTGTTTGTTTTCACATTATCGATTGCTTGGCGATCAATTCATCGATCGTCATTATTTGTTCTTCAACAATATAGTTTCTTTTCTATATCGTCATTATAATTGTACAAGCTTTATAGGGGACTGCTTGCTAATCTATTGGGGTTAGTCTTCAGCTCTTTTTTTGAGATGCAAAACTTTTATTTACTTGGAAATTTATTTGTAATGACCACAAAAAAAAACACACCTTTTTATTGTCTTCTTTTTCAATTATAATTTTTTTTTGAAAGAAATTCATAATAATGACTTTGGACAATGAAGACTGTCATGGACCAGATCAGTTCACGCTTCAATTTGATAATCTTCCATAATAATGGCATTCTGAACCGAGTCTGTCAATAAATAAAGCTTTGTAGTTAAAAAGTGCGTTGCAAATCTAAATCAGTTTTCTCAATCATTAACTCATGCAAACACATATCAACGTCGCAGTAAATGGATGGACGTTACACCTTATCAAGATCAATTACTCTTCCACTAGCTACTTGCTTCATGAATTGATGTTTCTAGGAGTAGAACTAGCACATTTAAAATGTGTGACCATCCCACGATAAAGTTATACAAGGATGCAATTAGAATTAGGCATATTAAAATACAGACATTTATATTGTTAACTGTAGTATAAGCCTTTTCTTTAAAACGATCATAATGTGATACCAAAGTAGAAAAGAAAAATTTATATATAAAATTTCGAAAACATTAGAAGTTTGTAATAATAAAAGTTGTAAAAAGATCAGTATTCACCAACAGTTTGTAAAATGAAATGGAATGTGATAATACTGTATAGTAATATAAGATTTATTTGGATTAGCTACTAGATTCGTAATTACATCCTTTGAAAATGATTCAACAAAATCTTAGCAATAAAAATATTGATTAGCTGTATCAGCTAAAAATGTTATGGACCACCTGTCAACAGCAACTCTTGTATCTCTCCTCTACTCACGCGTGAGACTATTTAAAGCCAAACAGACTCTTCTCTGTTCCTGACCATCCACCTGTTTCTCTTCTTCTCCATTATATTCTTCTTCTCAATCTTGCAACATCTTTAAGGGTTTATAAGCTTCGAGAGAGAGAGAAAAATCATGGGAATATATGGAATGGTGACAGGAAAAGCTGGAAAGAGTGGATTTGGATCAGCTTCAACAGCTGAAGATGTCACTCTCTCCATTGACGCCAATCATCTCACTGCCATCGTCACAGGTTTTTCTATTTACATATTTTGCTATTTTCCAAATTGTCAAAGAAAACAAAAAATCCGCTATTGCCAAACAAAATTAGCTTACGTTTTGGACCTTCTTTCTGTGTCGTGCAAGACTTTTTGCAATTTCAATTATTTTTAGTGGTGGAAGAAACGTCAAACTTTTTTAGATTCAGGTTCGGATTTCAAGCAAATAGAAAGTTATTCTTTCCCAAATTGTAACAGCCATACAAACGCCAAAGATTTTATTTCCTTTTTGACGTGACCGATTCTTTAACAAGAACCACAATGTTATATCATTCGTAATTTTGGGATCTTCTCTCTAATCTTAATTAAGATTGTAGATACAATTTTCGAACACCAGCCTATTAGATATGACTATTCTAACTAGTATTTTATAAAAATCGCAAGTTTATTTTGTGGTAAATAGCAATATTAAGCTAATACATTTTGTAAAGCACATTAAGCTAATAAAATAGTAGAATACTAAAAAAATACATATGACATAAATCTGATTTCACAAATATTTTTTGGTCAGCATATGATGTTATGTAATTACATTGTTTAGCTACTTTATATTTATATATGCATGCGTACTAAATTCATAAAGACGAGAAATACAAATGTTATTTGTACGATTATGCTTTTTGCCTGCAATATTATTCTTATACATGAATATGAACAAAAAAAGGTGGAACAAGTGGAATTGGTTTGGAGGCAGCAAGAGTATTGGGAATGAGAGGAGCTCGTGTCATCATTGCCGCAAGAAACACAAAAGCTGCTAATGAATCGAAAGAGATGATTCTTCAGATGAACCCTAATGCTCGCATCGATTATCTTCAGCTTGATCTCTCTTCCGTAAAATCCGTCAGATCCTTCGTCCATCAATTTCTTGCCCTTAACCTCCCTCTCAACATACTCATGTACGTAATATACATTCTTCTTCTTCTTCTTCTTCTTCTCTTGCAGGGATAAAGATAATATAATCTGAGGTTTGTTGTGTCTATGAAATGTTAGAAACAATGCAGGTGTTATGTTTTGTCCTTTCCAGCTCACTGAAGATGGGATTGAATCACAATTCGCAACAAACCACATTGGTAAGGTTTCATTTTCTTTGTTTCCTTTTTAAGTAAACTATATTTAAAAAATACACGATATTTATAACCTGTCCCAAAAAAATCATATGATTATATGCCGCGAATTAATTATATATCACACAAGTGTCACCAATTGGTCCCCACGTGATGTAGAGAAATAAATTTCGAAAAAAAAAAAATTATATTATCAAAACATCATGTTACAACATGATTACTTAAGAAATAGTATATGCTAGAGTGTAGGCGATATATAAGCACTTTTTATTACTATAATTAAGCTATTAATATGTGTATATTAATTATAATGGAATATTCCAGGTCATTTTCTGTTGACGAATCTGCTTCTGGACAAAATGAAGAGTAGCGCAAAAGAAAGTGGAGTTGAAGGAAGGATTGTGAATTTGTCATCTGTTGCTCATACTTATACTTACTCTGGAGGTATCAAGTTCAATAGCATCAACGACCCTAATGTGTAAGTTTTTAATTGAGTTTACTCTGAAATGAGATGATTAACTAAAAATTTTCAATTAGTGTAAAAACATATTCTAAATGTTTGTCATTATTTAGATATTCGGAGAAAAAGGCTTATGGACAGTCCAAACTGGCAAACTTGTTGCACTCCAATGCACTCTCCCGTAAACTACAGGTAACAAAATTCATAGTTAATGTAAGCAAAACTAAATTGCTATATATATACATATCAATATAACTAATAAAGTTAATATGATTTTTGGCTGTAGGAAGAAGGTGTGAATATCACAGTGAATTCGGTTCACCCTGGACTTGTCACCACTAATCTCTTTCGTCACTCCGGTTTAGCAATGAGTACGTACCGGTTTTCTAATTTTCTAATCCAACATTTTCGTTACACAGTATTATTATTATTATTATTATTATTATTTTTTTAATTTTTAAAATCGACCTTTTACGTACTCAGAGGTCTTCAAGGCAATGAGTTTCTTCTTGTGGAAAGAAATACCTCAGGTGAATTAAATTCTCTCTCAAATTCCAACAATTTTTTTTGTTTTTATTGGATTTTTCTTATGTAATTTTAATATTTACTAAAAAGTTGTTATTTTATGGCGGCATTGTCAGGGAGCAGCAACAACATGCTACGTGGCACTTCATCCCAGTCTCAAAGGCGTCACCGGAAATTACTTCGCCGACTGTAACGTCACCACTCCGAGCAAATTTGCTCTCGACGATTCTCTCGCCGATAAACTTTGGGATTTCAGTATCAAACTCATCGATTCTCTCCCTTAATTTAATATCTAAGCCAAAATTGGTTTCTCTTTTTCTTTTATCATCGTCAGCCAAAATTGGTTTCTATTTTTTTTATTGTCGTCAGCAAAAGTTTGTTATACACATTCAAAAGTTCGTTATAAATTCAAAATTTCTCATTCATAAAATTTACGTTAATCTTTTATGATTTAATCTATCACCGCATAAATTTTACATTAGAACTAAAAGAATACTGTGTAAAAACAGATTAAAAGCGCAAAATCTCATATGTAATAATTATCCCTAATATATTTATTATCAGTTGTTTATCCAAAAGAAATTAAGAGCCTACATTGCAAGGTTATACACATAACCCAAAACATTAGAATGGTCTATGCAATGTTTAATAATAAGTATAGTGGGCCTAAATTATTGGGCTTCCTCTTCCTCCCAAAGGCCCATTGTTCGTACAACGACGGCAGAGACAGCGACCACAATGGCTGCAAAAACCGGCGGCACAACGAGGTCCATCTTCGACCGCCGGAATAGATTCGCCGGTAAACAGAACACCTCCGTAGGAAGATCCAACGGAACTAAAACGGCAGCGTCGGATCCGCACCGCCGCGAGAACTCCACCGAAGAAGACGACGGATAAATCGCCGACACGAAGGCGAACTCTGGTGCGAGCGAGATAATCGCCACCGTGATGGTCAGAAACGCCGTCCAAGTAGCGCCGTAGACGAAAAGCGGAATCCGCCACCGGAATCGGTTAGTCAGAGACGAGAATAGATGGCGAATCATCATCGATTGAAGTGTAAACGCTTACCCTCTTAACGCATAATCGTTATCTCAATTTCAATATCTGTATCGCTTTATAGTTCCGCCGATTGCAATTACTTCCGCCATACAAATGGAGTAGAAGGAGAGAAGTAGAAGAGAGGATAACCTAATCTCACCTGCTCTTGATTTTCTAACGACGAATGAGGAAAATTTAAAACGACCAGTTTTTTTGCCGTTTAACTTGCCGCTTGATGTCGTCATCCACTTTTTTTTCACTTTCTTTCGTTGTATTTCAAAATAAATGGGATTCATGATTCTTACAGTGACTGCTCGGAATTTTCTTACAGTTGTTCATAACATTTTATAGCTTTTTGTGGGAAATTTCCGATATCTCGTCGTTGAATGAACCGGGGGAGAAGCTCTCTGCAATTAAGCAGTTCAGTCACTCTGCAATCGTATTGAAGGCTAGTAGCCTAGTGTTCATTTCTCGCGGTACTTTCCGGATAAATCATTGAATAAACATGCACCTTTAGGACAGAAGTACTTGTCGGAGTTAAGAGATACAGCTACCACATTTTTCATACAGTTTAACTTGATGTCTCCACGACGAGTCAAATAATAAAACAGTACGTCTGATATGCTCTGAAAATTAAGATACTGAGAAATTTGGATAGCGAATTTCGAATCTGTCGATATTGAAACCGAATCCATTAAATATATTAGTTAAAATGTATATACTTTCATGTATTATATGAATTTTTATGTAAAAAGAATTCTATTAACTAATCAAAAAAATTTCTATAATTTTTTTCCAAGAATTTATCTATTATTCAATTTTTTTTTGTATTTTTTCTCAATTTTTTACACATTTAAGTTTTAAAAGAATATCAATATTAGAAAACTATATATTTAAACCAAGATAATCATGGCACAAATTTAAAATACGAACAAAACATTTTCTAAAAAAATAACATATATAATGTTAAAAAAATAATAATAATAACATATACACGATGTTAAATAAAATCACACACACACGTTAGTAGATTCACCAAAGTAAAAACAAAAGCGCACTGAAATTAGTTGTTCTCGTACCTTCTTCCAACTTCCAAGATGTAATCAGCAACTGCCACGATTTTCTTTCCTTTTACTGTCCTTTTTTTCTTTTCATTTGCATAAAGTCACCCCAGAAGTTTCACTTCTTAAACACACCCCACAATTTTAATAAATTTTTATGACCCACACATTTTAAATTTTGTAAATTATTGAAAAAATGTCAATATTTTGGTAATTCTATATATAATTTTCTTAAATGTTTATCGCAAAAATCTTGAATTATCATATAATTTTATATGCAATTGGACAAAGGGTAAAGTAAATCAGGTACAACATGATAGCGTAAACTGTAAGGGACTATTTGGCAATTAACTAGTTTTTTTGTCAATTAAGATTATTGTTTTTCTTCTTTTGACGCTCTAATTTAAATAAAATATTCTAAAATTACAAATATAAAAATATCAGTTGTTTTTCTGTTTTTTTTTTTCTTTTTCTTTTCTCGCTCTCTCTGCTTTGAAAAGTAATCTGGACCGCGAACAAAGCTTTTCGTTTCTGGTTCGTTGCCGCCTTGCACGTTCCTTCTACTTGCTTCTCGCTGTCTCTCTCCCTCCCATCTTATCCCATAGCCGTAACCCTAAACCTAAATTTATCTCTCTTCCTCTTATCTCCGTCGAATTTCGCTCCGAATTCGATTTTCGTAGCATCACCTGCAGAGATCTTTTAGATCCGTAATATTGGAAACCCGACCTTTGATTCCGAAGTTAGTGCTCTCTTCTTCGTTTGATTCTTATGATTCCTCGTATGAATTGGTTCTCTTGTAGCTTCGTTATTCGTGGGTTGAATTAGATTTACTAAATCCATCTCTTCGGGGTTGTTATTCCTCGTCGGAAAATTCGTAATCACCTGAAAGTTTCTTCCCAAAATTGGATTGGAATCAGAATTCGAGTTTTTACGGATTGGATACGCAATTCCAGTGGAACCGTGCTTGGATTTGGAACTGTTCAACGCTTATCGAATTCAAATTCCAAGGCTCAGATCTAACTTTTCCTAGTCTCAGTGATGTTCTATTGAATGCAATCGTGTGATACTGAGCATTTCCGAAGATTGATTCTCGAATGGAGGAAGAAGGAACAGTTTGTTTGCAGATGCCAGTGGAAGGAGTCATGGCGGAAGAAGAGAACTCATCAACGGGGGAACTGAAGAGAGAGCGTCTTTGTACCGGAGAATCCATCGAAGGAGAAGATTTTCCCAATAAGAAACAAGCGAAAGAAGCTTCCACGGATGATATCGTATCGGAGATTTCAAATCCCGTCGCTTCTCCGGTAGAAAGCACATCCCGATTTCGCGATGTCTCCAGCCAGCCGGCTAAATCTGGTTCAGGCGATCCGGTCGAGTGCGGCGAGGTCACTGGCACTTGCTCCGGCAGTGATTTCGGCTCCGAGGAGACTATAAGCGGCGGAGAACGCAGCGGAAACGACGCCTCCGTAGCAGGTAGCCCTCCAACTGAGCACTCGAGTGGTGTGTTAGCATCTAGCTTTGTGCTGGAGATTCCGAAGCATCTTAGCTCCACCGGAATCAGGAAAATCACGTTTAAGTTGAGTAAACAAAAGAAGGATTTTGACGATTTGCCCGTGACAAAGGACGGTGCGTGGGACGGTGTCGAAGCTCCCGGCGTGTGGGATTTGAAGTTGCCGAAGAAGTTTGTTTCTAGCAGCTACCCATCGAATGTGAAGAAGCTATTGGCGACGGGTATTCTCGACGGTGCTCGGGTGAAGTATATATCAACCTCGCCGGTGGTAAATACCGACTCTCTGTTTTTTTTTTTTTGGTCACTATGGGTTTCAATATTTTTTATATACAGTACGCTAATTTGTAGGCAATTTGTATAACTTTTAATTGGCAATCAGAGAGAGCTTCAAGGGATAATCCACTCGGGTGGGTATTTGTGTGGCTGTGCGACTTGCAATTTCTCGAAAGTGAGTTTTTTTTTTTCTTCTCTTATTATGGTTTTCTTTGTTTCTATGGTTAGCTATTCTGTATGATTTAACGACTTTTATACTTTGTTATGCAAAAAAAGGTGTTAAGTCCGTATGAGTTTGAGAAGCATGCTGGTGCAAAAACCAGGCATCCTAATAATCACATATATTTGGAGAATGGAAGGGCGGTGTATAATATAGTTCAAGAACTGAAGACTGCTCCTCGCGATCTTCTCGAGGAAGTGATAAGGAATGTAGCTGGTTCTGCGTTGTGCGAGGAGGGCTTACAAGCTTGGAAAGGTGATGGCCAGGTGTTTAGATTGTGTTGGTGCATCTTCCCCAGCATTTTAAAAGCGCATCTCCACTGATTTTTCTTTTGCAAATCATTTGCTTTTTTGAATACTAGTGCTGAGCCTGATATGTTCTTCTTTCTTGCAGCAAGTTTACAGCAGAGTAATAGCATGTATGACAGGAGCCATATCGTGGAGGATTCCTATGCCAGGTACTATCATTTTCTATTTGTGGTGTATTGCTTGATCTGTATTATGTAAATTTTGGTTTATGTATATCTACGTTACCATTTTGTGTTACTATCTGAGAGTGATTCCTGTGAAAGCTGCAGTTATCTTGGTCCTGATCCTGGTCAATCCCTTGTTGAAAGTCAGAGCCTTACTCCATGCTCTCTGGAGAACCATTATTTTCGAGAGAAAACATATGCAACGGACACATTTGATGAGCCGAAGCGGGTAGCAAAGAAGAAGTATGCGTCTTTGATATTTTCATTTACAAGTTAATTAATGTAGTTATCTGTCCTTAGGACAGTTATCTAAGGAGGTATGGAAATTGATTTGGTCGCTAATACTGTAGGCTTACTTCTCATGCATCTGGTACGGGTTGCCATAAGAAAGTTACTGAAGGAAGCAATAGAAAAAGGTCTGTGTTGCTTTTCTATCATCGTCATCAATTTGTGTGTTTTCTGTTAGCATTTGAATCTTTAAATGCAGTTTCGATGTTGATGAAAAAGATACAATCCTATCTTTCTAGGGACAATGATTTACATCGGTTGCTTTTTATGCCTAATGGGCTTCCGGATGGGACTGAATTGGCTTACTATGTGAAATCACAGGTTTGTTGTTGCAGACAGATGACTTGTTCTGTTTATATTCACTGAAATTTGAATTAAGTTTAGTTAACATTATCTTTCCCAACAGAAACTACTACAGGGTTACAAGCAAGGAAGTGGGATAGTTTGTAGTTGCTGCAGCAGAGAGGTAAATGGTGGATCCAGTGGCTATGTGGATTGTTCATCGGACTCAGTTTGAGCTTTGGAGATAGTTTTACTTATTCTGTGTGTCTATGTGCAACAGATTAGTCCTTCGCAATTCGAAGCGCATGCTGGAATGGCTGGTAGACGACAACCGTGAGTTATCACTATATATGTTATTTTTTACCTAATGTTGGAATGTGTATCTGAATTTTTTTTTTGTTATCTTTTTCAGCTATCGTCATATCTATATCTCTTCCGGATTGTCATTGCATGATATAGCCTTGTCATTGGCGAGTGGACATGTCATTACAACTGGTGACAGTGATGACATGTGTTCTATTTGTGGCGATGGTGGAGATTTGCTGCTTTGTGCTGGATGCCCACAAGCATTCCATACAGGTATAGGATACTGCTGGAGTATAGTACTCTTGCTCGTGTACTCTACTATGTTGAACACGTAATTTCTAGGTTTCAAACTGAAAGTTGCTAAAGCATATACTTTAAAATGGTTTACATAATGAAGAAGCCTATGGAATTTTAAATTCGCTCTCTTAAACTATTTTCTTTTGAGTTTTGATTGTAATTTACTATAAAGATTTCAGGAACAACATTGCTTTGATACCAACTCTCGTATTATTCTCTGGTTCTGATCCTTCATTGTCTCTTTTCATATGCAGTTTGTTTGAAATTTCAGTCTATGCCTGAAGGTACATGGTACTGTTCGAGCTGCAACGATGGACCTATCTCTAGTAAAAAGGCTACTGCTACTGATCCTTTTGGCAACTCTAAGCCTATAGTTATAAGACTGTCAAGAGTCGTTAAAGCTCCAGAAAGCGAAATTGGTGGCTGTGTGTTCTGCAGGTTGGTTGCATACCTTTAGTCAACTTTCTCGTATGCATTTTAACGGCTGTGAAAATGTAAACCACTGCGATAGGCACTTTTGATTACTGTTCATGTTGTGGAATATACATGTGGATATTTTGTGAGGACTATGGTGGCTCATGCTATAATATATATATTGTGCCTTTGTGGTGCCTATTGCTTACTGTGTTTCACTCCCGTTTTATTGTTGATAGGTCCCATGATTTTAGCATCGGAAAATTTGATGATAGGACTGTTATTCTGTGTGACCAGGTACTCTCTTGATTCCCTGAATCTCGTTTATTCAACTCTTACCATTACCAGTTCAGCCTTTTCTGATAGTGCTCTTCTTATTTTCTTTTGAAGTGTGAGAAAGAGTACCATGTTGGTTGCCTGAGAGAGAATGGCCTATGTGATTTGAAAGTAAGTTTTTAAGGCTGTCTCCTTCTGGATTGTGTTCGCGAGATCGTTCAACTTTTCTCATCTTCTCTTCCCTGAATGCTGTAGGAAATTCCGCAGGAGAAATGGTTCTGCTGTAACGACTGCAGCAGGATTCACACGGCACTTCAGAATTCTGTTTCATGTGGGCCACAAACGATTCCTACGCTTTTGTCAGACATAATATGCAGAAAAGACAGAGAAAATGGAATATTTACCGAGAATGGGGATACAGTGCAATGGAGGATACTTAGTGGGAAAAGTCGATACCCAGAGCATCTGCCTTTGCTTGGACGAGCGGCTGTTATCTTCAGGGTATGTCTTGACTTCAGATGTTTTCTACTTATCTTTCGGTTTTATCACCTTTTAGAGTTGTGCTCTCGGTCAATATGTTTGATTTCTGGCTGCATAATTTTGATCTTCAAATGCGTATAACAAACATGCAGCCTGATGCTCGTCTGTCTAATCTTGTAGGAGTGTTTTGATCCCATTGTTGCGAAGTCTGGTCGTGATCTCATTCCTGTCATGGTGTATGGGTAAGTAATGACGTGATAAACTCAGTTACAATAGGCTATGTTTTGACAGTTGTTGATTTATATTGTAATTCTTATGACATATCTGCAGGAGAAATATATCAGGCCAGGAGTTTGGAGGAATGTACTGTTTGGTCCTGATTGTAAAGTAAGTTTGCTGCTGTTGATGCATGTTCTCTTTCTGCTAATTTCTGATTTTTTCGTTACAACTTCTCTGCTAATTGGTTTTTTCCTCCTGATGGGCGTGTAGTTCTCTGGTTGTTTCTGCTGCGCTGCTGAGAATTTTTGGTCAGCAAGTTGCTGAACTTCCTATTGTAGCCACAAGCCGAGAGTACCAAGGAAGGGTAAAGCTTCTGTTCATCCCATATTTGTTTATCTTCTTTTTTTCTTTTTTTACCTATGGATTAAATTACTCTACTGTGTAAATGGTCTCTAGGGTTACTTCCAAGGGCTGTTTGCGTGTGTGGAGAATCTTCTTTCTTCTCTAAATGTTGAGAACCTGGTCCTTCCAGCGGCTGAAGAAGCCGAGTCCATATGGACTAATAAGTTTGGCTTTACAAAGATGACTGAGCAGCAAGTAAGTGAAGAAACTGTATTTATTGGATCATCGTTATATTAGGTTATGATTTGCTATGGAGTTGTGTTTTGTTAGATTTTTAGTAATCATTCACACAAGTGGGAAAATCAAAATGGTTTCAAGAGATTCATGCATATATGTTCATATATTTGGTTTAGTAAGTATTGATATCTTATTTGGTAGCAACAGATGGTAACAGCCAATTCTACAATGGTGTTTTGCAGCTGCAGAATTACCAGAAGGAAGTGCAGCTCACAATCTTCAAAGGAACCTCAATGCTGGAGAAGAAAGTAGCAAAGAGTTTATCAGCTCCCATCTAATTTTCGAAAAGATTCGTCTGGATTTTGTTTTTTTTTTTTTTTTAAATAGATGGTAGGTTGACAAAGGAATCCCAGAACAATTCCATGTTTGTAAAGACGAAAGAGAAGATAAAAATAAATAAATATAGAACAGTCAAAAGGATTTGTAGCCGCTTTAATCCGAGAAATCTTTTTTTGAGCGGTTAAAAAGTGGATGGTGAGTCTGAGGTGGCGTGATGGCCAAATTTTGTTACGGATGCCGAATTTGAATAAAACACTAAATCCTCCTAATTTTGAAAGTAAGGTTCGTGTATCAGTTTGTGAATCAATTCCCGTTTCGTTTAGTCCCTCCCAGCAAAGACGAAATAGAAAACGCAGCGAAACCAACAGAGAAACTTGCGCTAGTCAAGATATGTTCCAATCTGTAAATTGTTGAGATATCTAATATCGGATTCTATATGAATTAGTGTTAAATTGTTAAGAATCATGGTCGATCTTATTGGATTCTATCTGGATTAGTGTTAAATTATTGAGAATCATGGTCGATCATATCGGATTCTATCTGAATTAGTGTTAACTTGTTGAGAAGTCGATCTGATATCGGATTCTATCTGGATTATTAGTCGATCTGATTTCGTGTTTTCCAACTAAATGCGTATCTCTTTCGTGTTTCGTGTTTCATATATGTCGTTTATAATATGGATTACACTGTAAATTGTTTAGAATCGTAATTTCGGATTTAAAATCGTCGTTCATTGTGATGATGAGTTTTTTGGTTCAGATGAAGACTACGGAAGAGATAATAAACGACATCTATGATTTGTTTAATATACAGAGGTCCTCACAAAAAAAAAAAAGTAGATGATATGCTGATATACGAGGAAATCTGTCCGAATTTCCGTAACTCAATGAAGATACTTTGGGATACGATCAAGGATAACCCACGTCTATTTTATAACAAGGCTATGTCTATGAAACAGAAGTCCTAGAAAAGTTTTATGCTCTGAGTTTCTTCGGTAAAACATTTGTGGAAGCAACCATGAAATATGCAGGTTGGACAGAGAAAATGCGTGTCCACATGGTGAAGGGAAGGGGAAAGCCGCTTCACTTACTAGAACACCTAAAAGTTTAGAGCATGAGAAGGATAAGGAGAAGAAGCTCGCTTACCACTATCACTATGACATGAAGTGTAGGCAACAACTTAGTGATCTTGACTATTCTTTGATTTTTTATGGGTCTAAACTAGATTTAGATATAGAATGGTTATTTTAAATTTTTTTGATATTTGTGGTTTACCAAAAAAAGTAGATATTCAATTTTATTATTTGATTTGTTTCTAAAATGTACATATATCTAAAATTTGATCCGTTTAATTCAAACAAAAAATTAAATATGCATAAAATTTTATAAAAAGATACTTTTATTTAAATTATTAAGTAAAAATAAATAGTTAAACTTTTTTACAAAAAAAGTTATATATAAAAGTCAAACCTATAAAATTAAAATGGTAAAAAGAAGAAACGATACTCTATATTTCAAAAAAAAAATTAATTACTTAAGTTAAAACTCTATTAATTCTCATTTTTAATACAATCTTTTTAATTAATGATAAATTCGTACAAAGAGTTGAATTAAGAGTCTTTTATGCTAATAACCATATTAAAACCCATAATTTGAAAAATTATGAATCTTTATACTTATAAACCACAAATCAGTTGGTAATTGTGGTATTGACAAGTGTCCTTTTATGTTTTAAAGTAATTTACCTTTTACTTTTTTATTACAAAAATTGTGTCTTTTAAATTTTTTTTTTTTTTTAAAACAATCTCATAACTACCCATGATCTTTTTAACTTCCCAAGATAAAACAACTACCAGAAATACAACATTACAAAGATGGTAAGACATAAAGGTGTCTTCCGTGAAAAGTCAGGCCCTATCCATTTAATAATGATAACATTTGTGAATTAAAGATATTAGGATGATATTTTTTTGTTTTTTGTCCTATGATTTATCTTTCTGGATTTGAGAAACATAAAAAAACGGCAAAGTGATGTGCAAAGTAAACATTTATTTTTAATTTTTAAATATTTATTTTTAATTTTTTACTTATTACATTTTTAATAAATATTTTCTCGTGACAAAATTAATTAACAAAATAAATCATTTTATACATATTTAATTATCTATATCAAACACTAAAAGGTATTATTTTATAATTTTGTATAATTATAAAATACATCTACATACTACTATATAAATATCTTAGATAAGTATGTTTACTTTCTTTTTTTATTATCCAATTCTCAAAATTAAAGTATTTCAATAGTAAAAATGTTAAACTGTTTTAATTTCAAACATGTTATCTTTTATCAATTTTATATTTTTTTATTTAAATATTATATTAAACTGTTTAATTTAAACATATGATCTCTTATATTAATTTTATCTAAAATTTTATTAATTAAATATCAATCCCCCTGCATAGCAGGGGGCAAAATACTAGTTAATCCATAATTTTGTTCAATCGGAAAAATCTGATGGAGATTTTTGTTACTGTTTGTTTCCATGGGAAACGACGACGTTTAAATGATAAGGGATGATTTGGGCTTCGTTTCGATTAAAATGAATCCATTGGGTTTGGTTGTTTTTAGTTAAAAGTAAAAACCCTTGATAAGCCCTAAATTGTCTCTTTAGTCCCTCTGTTTTTCCTCAAATCTGATTTCCTCTCTCACTTGCTACAATGGCGTTCGTCTCCACCTTTCGCCGCAACTTTGCCGGATCCTACAGCCTCTCGTCTTCGCCATCCTCCTGGGTTCGCCACTGCTCTACTCTTACGTCTTCCAAGCTCTTCGTCAGCGGTAATCTCTTTCTCTAATCGTTTTTTTTTTCAGCTTTAGGAACGAAATTTAGAGATGAAATGGTTTTGAGACAGATGATATCCGTGATGAGATATGGAAGCTTGGATGGTATTTGTACATCTTCTCTGATAGATGATAGGTGTTTTGCTTATGTGTATCAGTGTGGAATATTTTGGGAAATGATCAATCAGAAGCTTATCTCCTACTTCTCTAATATAATTTCTCTTAACAAGTGTAGCATTTACAAATTTATCATTTTTCTGATAGTGAGTTTTGTAGTTATTGAGTGCCTTGGAGGTTTGTGGTGAATGTGCTAATCGTCTCTATGTTAAGCATTCCGCTTTCGTTACCATGGAAAGTCTAAAAATTTGCAACTCATAAAGAACAAGAAAAAGGACGTTTCTGAGTTATTGGCTATAATTTGTTTCTTTATAAGAATGACTCTTTAAGGCCCTTCAAGATAAGCAATTTGGTGTTCGATATATGAAACTCACTCTTGCATCTTTGTGCCTTGAATAGGTCTCTCTAGACTAACAACAAATGAAAAGCTTGAGGATGCATTTGCTCCTTTTGGGGAGCTCGTGGATGGTAACGCTACTATGCTCTCTCATTCTTAATAATCAGCTCTTGGATTCCTAATCAAACATATATACATAATTTAAATCACTCAGTAATAGATTTGCTATGATTTGGTGTTGTTGCAGCTAGAGTGATCACAGACAGGGAGACCGGGAGATCAAAGGGGTTCGGTTTTGTGACGTATGCAACAGTAGAAGACGCAGAGAAGGCCAAGGAAGGAATGAATGCAAAGTTCTTGGACGGTTGGGTTATATTTGTGGATCCTGCAAGACCTCAAGAACCAAGACGGTCTCTTCAGCAGGAAGAGCATCAAGCTTCCTCTGGTTCCGGTTTCACAACCAACAAAACCATTGGGTGGTGTAAATGAACATAAACCAAAACACTTTGGAATTATTTTTTTTTGTATGAAATAAATCCTTTTTGGTCCTTAACTTATGTGTTTGAGACATCATATGATGCAGTGTTCACAAACTATAATAACGAACCAACTACAAATTATTCTGTTTTCACTAACAATTGTACAGAGGCACATATTGAAATCAACAAAAACGAATGAAATTCATAACAAACACAATAAATAATAACAGAAACTGGATGAGGCAAAACGGCGTTTGGTCTCTAGGGTTTAAGGTTTGATTTTCAGACCAAACAAAAAAAAGGTACAAAAAGGACAGTTAATCAAAATCTGCAGCTTCCTAATCTCGAATTCGGCGATAGTTCGAAAACGATGATGCATTCCTGTTATCATACTCAATTCTCCTCCCTCAAGCTTCCCCATTTCTTCGCGCCTAAGGTCTCTTTTCTCATTCTCCGTCCCTTTACTCCCTCTGTGTGGTTTGGTCTCCGATTAAAGAAGAAAAGTTTCAAACTTTCTTGTTTTCATGCCTCAGAGTTTCGTGGCGTCTTCGCGGAGGGAATTAAGAGTGTTCGCAGTGGCGACCAGTGTGGACATACCAGCGGCTCCGATTTCTCTACCTGAAGGCTCATGGAAACAGGTTTTTGATCTTTGCATCTATAATTAGGATCTCTTATGAGTTTAATTCAAAATCGAATCTTGTTTGTTTAGATAGCTGGTGGAGTTACAGCTGCTAAAGGGTTTAAAGCTGCTGGTATGTATGCTGGGTTACGAGCTTCAGGGAAGAAGCCTGATCTCGCTCTCGTAACTTGTGATGTCGACGCTGTCGCTGCAGGTCCGATGATTGTTTCTTTTGTGTGTCTATAATATGTATTCAGAGGCAAAAAGTTTCTGACTTTTTCTTTCTTGTGAATCTATTCAGGAGTGTTTACTGTGAATGTGGTTGCTGCTGCTCCTGTGGTTTACTGCAAAAAGGTTCTTGAGACTTCGAAAACGGTAATTTTCTCAAACCTCGTTGTTTGGATTTCGGACTTTGACCAGAGCATTTTTTGTGAATCAGTAAGTTTTGAAATTCTTTCAGGCGCGTGCAGTGTTGATCAATGCCGGTCAAGCTAATGCAGCTACGGTAAGATAGATATCTCAGATGTAGTCTGATGCTTTATGCATCACTCATTATTGTTATCGGCTTTTACGGTTTTGCGATCATTTTCATTGTTTCAGGGTGACGCTGGTTACCAAGATATGTTAGATTGTGTTGCTTCTCTTGCGACGGTATGCTTCTTGGTCTCTTTTGTTCTCGTTTTTCCTGCAAAACCTCGTATCTTTCAACATTGTGTTCTTTATTGTTGCAGCTACTTAAAATGAATCCAGAGGAAGTGCTTATCGAGTCAACTGGGGTTATTGGTCAGAGGATCAAAAAGGTACACAAACAAACAGGTTTCTCATTCGTTTTTCAGTGTAAGTGCTGCGATGAAATTGCGTAACTCCGTGAATGTTTTGCAGAAAGAGCTTCTCCAAGCACTTCCAACACTAGTCAACTCGATGTCAGACTCTGTTCAAGAGTATAGTCTTCTTGCCTTTCTCTCTTTCTCTCTCTCTCGTCTCCTTACGTCACAATCTTGGCTTTATATATATCCTCCTCTCAACCAAATCAAATCGATTTACAGGGCAGATTCTGCTGCTATAGCCATCACGACAACGGATCTTGTAAGCAAGAGCGTGGCAGTTGAATCACAGGTAGGTTCACTTGTGCGCTGTTTTGTTGCAGTTTTTCAAATTCATCTTACAAATGACTATGACATTGTTCAGGTGGGAGGAACCACAGTTCGAGTTGGGGGTATGGCAAAAGGCTCAGGGATGATTCATCCAAATATGGCAACTATGTTAGGTGTATGTTCTTCAGCTATTACTTTCCTTTTGGCCACAAATTACTTAGTCGTTGATGCTAAAAAAATGTGAAACTGGTATTTGTATTTCACAGGTGATCACAACGGACGCGCTTGTTGAAAGCGAGATCTGGAGAAAGATGGTAAAGGTTGCAGTAAACCGAAGTTTCAACCAGATCACTGTAAGTTACGCATTATTTCTAGTGATTGGATTATATTTCATTTCCAGGCTCTGATTAATGAAAGCATGGTTCTATAGGTAGATGGGGACACGAGTACTAACGACACAGTCATTGCTTTGGCGAGCGGGCTCTCTGGATCACCTTTTATATCTTCTTTGAACTCTAAGGAAGCTGCACAGCTTCAGGCATGCCTTGATGCGGTATGTATGTGTGTTTTTTGCCATCTTCATAACACACTTGTTCGCAAGCTGGTCTTAACAAAAAATATTATATATCAGGTGATGCAAGGACTCGCTAAATCAATAGCTTGGGATGGCGAAGGCGCAACATGTCTCATAGAGGTTCACAAATTTTTCTTAGTGCAAAAACGTTTTCTCCCAACCGCTCTAACTGAAAAAACAAGGCTTAACGGATAACACAAAATGATCAGGTAACAGTTAAAGGGACAGAAACTGAAGCAGAAGCAGCGAAAATTGCACGCTCGGTGGCTTCCTCTTCACTAGTCAAAGTATGAGATCGGAGATAAGACATACACATGAATGATCCAAGTGAGCTTTTCTTGTTTTCCTAACTAAATAGTAAACGTCTGTGGTTGCTGGTATGTGACAGGCAGCTGTTTATGGGAGGGATCCGAACTGGGGACGCATAGCTGCAGCTGCTGGCTACGCCGGAGTTTCTTTCCAGATGGATAAGCTTAGGATCTCACTCGGCGATTTTTCACTCATGGAGAGTGGTCAACCTCTTCCTTTTGACAGGTTTATCTCGCAACTGGTTTTGTCTTGTCTCAAATGGCAACATGAAGCTTGATCATCATGTTCTCACACAAACGTGTTTATACTCAGGGATGGAGCCAGTGACTACCTCAAGAAAGCCGGCGAGGTTCACGGAACTGTTACAATCGATTTATCCGTAGGTAAGAGCTTCGTGTTTTAGTAGCCACTTAGACGAAACATGTACAGTACTGTGGACCTGAGAGCAGTTTTGTCTGGCGAACAGGTGAAGGTGCAGCCACAGGAAAGGCTTGGGGTTGCGATCTTAGCTATGACTATGTCAAGATCAACGCCGAGTATACCTCCTGAGACTGAGACTATGGCCGAGAGACAGAGTTTCGTCTACTGTTGTGTTATGACTTATGATATCAACTTATTTTGCTTCAAATAAGATAACACATCAATTCAATAATAAAGTTCCATTGAGTTCTTCTACAAACGTGAAACTGAATCCCAAAAAAGAAAAATAAAGAAAAAAGCAGGCAACAAACTTCAACAAAATCTTCACAATAGTGTTTAAGGATTTTATCCATTACTCATAAGAAAAGCTGTTGTGGAAAGGAAACACACACACACACACACACGAAGTGATTTGATTATTTATTCGACAATAGGGAGCCAAGCACAGATATGTGCTTTGTTATTAGTAGCCAATGCCATTCAAGAAGAAGCTGCAACTATGGGCAACTGAGTTACCCAATCGAACTTCTCGCGACTGTGTTTGCGAGAAGCTTGCTTCTTGTCCTTGCCACTACGAGAGGAAGAGTTGTCTTTGCTCTTCTGTCCTTTCTTTCCAGTCTTCTTGTGGTTGTCTTTGCTCTTGGATTTCTGCTGCTGCTTTTTGCTTCTTGTGTGCGAGGCTATGGAGGGAGGAGGATCGTACACGTCATCCGCCCATGAAACACTCGACTTCCTCAGTGACAAGCCATGCTTCTCCCGACTGCCTTTTATGGCCGGGATGAGAACAACCGGTGTCTGTAGCAATTCAACAACAGACAACAAACATGTGAGAAACAACAAAGCACAGAATACACAGGCCTTAGCTTGAGAGATGTGATAAGAGTTAACACAACGAAATCAATCTCACTGAGCAATTGAGAGAAATCCCAGCTTATACTAAACTAAATGTTTCTCCTTGCTTATAAAATATATATATGGAGATCATTGTAGACTTATCTTATACTGATAATAGCACACAAATCCAATAGACGGATAAGAAATGAAAAAATACATTGTTTAAGTTACATATGGTTGACTTACATTCGTGACGTTCTCTTCCTTCTCTTCATCATCTGAAGGTTGGGGAGGTAAAGAACTTAGGGTGGATTTGCCAAAATCCTTCTCAGCGGAATCTTCATTAGCAGTTTGGTCTATATAACCAGTTTCATCTCCATCAGACTCCTGAGAATCTTCAGATCCGGCATGCGAGGAATGCTTCGAGCCACTAGAACATTGTGTGGGACTCGAAGTCGAGATCTCAAAGTCTGCATCTTTGAAATCGAGCTTATCACAAACAGAGCTCATATCCAAAATATAGCAGGAGATAGTCACAGTAGTAGTACCTGCCACAAAACAAGATCAAGTTATCATGAGTAAATGATGATCTTCACAGCACGAAACGAAAACAAAATAGTCGTGAACAACCTAATCTATGTAATTAGAATGGCACAAGATTTGAATTGCATTTCATACCTCGGTGGGTTGAAAATCGAGCACCGCCGATAGCAAAAAGAAGCAACGATTGAGTCAGAGATTGTGTTTCCGGAGATTTTGATTTCACAAACTGTTCTTTTTCGTGAAGGTTAAACCGAGCTAAGAAAATCTCTAGGACCAGACGAGGACGAGAGAAGAAGAAGAAGAGAAGAAGAAAATCGAAATGTTAACTAAGATTACCACGCCAATCACACTTTTCAAGAGGTTTCAGACGATGCGAACTCAAACCAGAATGATAAGGAGTCAACGAAGGAATCAAGGAGAGGAGGAGGAGAACGAGTAGCTTAGAGGGCACCGAAGGCATTATATCTATGCTCTTCAAACCCTGGAACCCAACGGAAAAGCCCTAATTCTCGAATCTCGATTCAAAAATCGCAGAGATCTCAGAAACTTCGATGCGGAAAGAAAACACCAAGGAAGAGAGGGATAATCCTCCGAGCAGCAAGATATATACAGACGAGCCGAGAAACCCTAAGATCGGATCATGGGGACAACCCAAAAAGAAAAATCAACGAGAACTATATCCACAACGAATTTGCGCGTGATGAGGAAGAAGCAGAATAAAAGAAGCTAATTTGGGAGGAAGATGAAAGAAATAATACGACGTTTTAAATAGAAAATAGAACTCTTAGAATCAACGGCGATAGATGTGGCGGCCTGGTTTAGAGACATTCACGACTGTACACGTGTCCCTTACGTCAGGCTTTTTCTTTCTGGGCCTTTATATTTTTTTTATTACGGATCCTTAAGGCAAGTTTTGATATAATGGGCCGAAAATAATAAATTGCTATTTGAGGAAATATAAATATCACCAAACTACCTAATTACGCTGTGTGTTAGGTCGAACGCAGCTATAAGGGTACCATGATTCAATTCAACGGCCTATCGGTTGCATTATTATTTTTTGACAAATCGGTAAAATGTTTCTAGGTTATTAAAAAAAGAAAAGAATCATAAAATGTAATTGACGATATCACAAGCTTGGTAAGAATTAGAAATTACCCAAATAATCGTTTTACACGTTTATGATAAATTGCGTTTACCATCTCCTTTCTTTGTACCAAAACATCACCCATTTCACCCGGGAATATCTTAGTCTCAAACGCAAAAGTCGTGCACAAACGTAAAATTCGCATTCTAAAAGGGTAGCTGTTAAAGATTTTAAATCTCAACCATGAAGGATATAATATATCTTTTTAAACAAATAATATTTCGAAAAAAAAGAAGGATATAATATAAATTAATTTAGTCTCTTCACATTTCGGTAGTGTATATCAAGCGTAGCTGTGAACAACTTTATTAATCAAGAAAAGTGGATGGTTTAAAATTTTAAATAATTTAGCCTCACCGGGAAATTGAAACGATTAAATAAACAAGTTTGGGGATTTTGAAAATTGATGGCGCACTTTGGAATTATCCAGTTTTGGGGGACTCAGACTATAAATAATGATGGATTAAAGGAGAGCAAGATCAAAGAAATACCAAAAGGATAATAAGACTATTCATTCATAAATCTCGGAAACCGAATTTTTCGAAGCATTAGATTTGATTAACCAAGCAAGGAACCCTAAGGGAATCTAAAGAAAAGAGAGATGAATCCAAAACATTCAACGGAAAATTTACAGAAACCATCTCAAGAGCTAGTGAATTTGGTAACCGCCTTAGTGCCTTCAGAGACGGCGTGCTTAGCGAGCTCTCCAGGCAACACCAATCTCACGGCGGTCTGGATCTCCCGGGAGGTGATGGTGGGCTTCTTGTTGTACCTGGCGAGTTTGGACGATTCGTGAGCGAGTTTCTCGAATATGTCGTTGATGAAACTGTTCATGATCCCCATCGCTTTCCCAGAGATTCCGATGTCTGGGTGAACCTGTTTCAGGACCTTGAAGATGTAGATCTTGTAGGTCTCGACGCTCTTCTTCGACTTCTTCTTCTTCTTGTCGCTTCCTCCTTCCTTGCCGATCTTCTTCTCCGCCTTGGGACGTTTCTCGGCCGGAGCTTTCTCCGCTGGTTTCTTCTCCGCCGGTTTCTTCTCCGCTGCCTTGGGCGCCATTAGAGATGATTGGAATTGAGTGGATTGAGAGAAAGTGTTGTTTGTACGAGAATTTCGCTGGTCAAATCAAAGAGACGCGTTTGATGTTGATGAATTGAAGGATTGAGATTGGGATTTGTTTATATAGAGATATACGCTTGGCTGTTATTGGATAGCTGTACTTCACGGGGATTGATGACGTGGTAGAATTTGATGAACGGTCAAGATTATTTAGGATCTCTTCATATACTGGGTTGGGCCTATGTGTCTACTCTATCTCAAGGCCCGTAACTTGTTATTTTAATTAATTGAGTTGGTTGTGTGACGTTGTTCGACATGGGTTAAAATTTCTCGAGCGACGTTCGATTCCTAGGTTTTTGCTTCCTACGTTGAATGCTTAATGCATGTAAATTTAATTCAACAAATTTATTTTCACACTAAAATTCATAAATACTATCCAGATCTGGTACTTATGAACAGATTTGTATGTTTAACCTCTTAAAAAAAAAACAGATTTGTTTGTTGAATTCAGATATACTATAAATTAATAAATGAAAATAATTAATGGTAACGGGTAAACCACGCAATTTGTCTACTACAGTACCATGTTTTTAATTAAAAAAAATATATATAATTGATGTAATAAAAAGAGGGTTCACATGCACGTTGTTGCATTCGATTTCATGCTTTATGCATGGTTCCACGGCTGTGTAATTTTGCTGATTGTAAGTAGAGTTGTTGCGGTAGTTGTGGAAGATATATGTGTTTTTGTGCTAGTTTAGGATATTTTTCTGGTTAAACAAAAAATGCATATCTGACGTTATAATTTATAAAAAGAGTGTTCCACAACCACCGAGATCCACTTACCAAGTTTCAATATATAAGTAATTCCAAGTTCTAACTCTAGAGTCCAACTCACGAATTCGTTTGGTTCAGAACAAAAAAAAAAAAAACTCACGATTTCGATTTGAAAACATTTTGAACAGTCGAAGAAGTCAACAACCTTAGAAGAAACGAAGCAAATAGTCAACAAACCTCGACTTTAGGGGTAAACCACCGGAGACGGAAGCGAGCATCGAGACCAGTGATCTGAGTCAGAAAACAAGTTTCGGAGAAGTTACATATACAAACCACAAAATGTAATTACTTTACGTACAGCCACAGGCTTTTCAGTCTCTGGCTGCCGAAATCAACTCCCTGAAACATGTCTTTTGACTGCGATCACTGCCGTTGATGTGCTCGCTTCCGTCCGGTGGATTACACCTGTGGTCCAGGTTAACTCTTATTAACTTCGTTTCTTTTGAGGTTTGTTGACTTGCAACTGTTAAATGTTTGATAGAAGCTCGCCTCGAATTCCTGAACTTGATAGAAACTATTCAATGTAACCAAAATTAACAAAATATGCCTACTTTTTTTTGTTGTTAGAGTTCATAAAAATCTGAATTTATCTGTGATCATGCTCATTTCACTCTGAGTAACTTGCATTTTGTTGATTTAATTTGGAGAAAAAGAAGGAGTCATGTTGATATGTAACATGTGTTTTGTTCTTCGAAATTCTATTCGTTTTTATACATCCGTCATAATAAGTCATTTGATTTGAATTTTATTGTCCTAAATCATCGATGTAGGTTTTGCTTAAAGCTCATAGACTCAAAGTAAGCTGTCTCCGGTCAGAAACTTTGATTTTGTTGCCAAGAAATATTCTGATCCATCTGATTACATGTTATGATTCCATCTTTAAGTCAAAATTAGGCTAGAGCCTTGCATCACAAGTTAAAGCTTTGCCAGTGAGCAAAACTCTCTGTTTTTCATTATCATAGTGGACCTCTATTGTTATACTCCTACGTGAAGCCTGAAATACTCTTATGAAAGCATAAACTGTCATCAGATGGATAGGAGTGGAACACTGAAAATTCATTATAATAAATAGAACCAAAAAATGTTCAGCTTTCGACATCTGGAAGCAAAATTGAATCAAGTTGTCCGTAAAATGTTAGAAATAGTAATAAAAAAATGTTTGTTAAAGGTAAGGAACACTCTTGCGCCATGTCATTGTTTTGATCAGACCAGAACAATTGCTGTTATCTACCGAATTTTAAAAGAGTTAAGGTTCTCTGCACGTGTTTATTTAATTTCAACTGTGGAGTAAGCAGGGCACTATAAGTTTATTTGAAGCTTGTGACAAAGCTGCTTATCCCTTGATTTCCGGATACTTCCGTATGTATTTGAAGTCGTCAGTTGTGAATCTCTCAGCATGACTGCATGAGAATATTGACATTCCTCATATATAGATTTTTGAAGATTAGCATGAAAATATTGACCATTTCATAAAATTCTACAACCACATCGATTCAATTAAAAATTCTATTAATATAAATATTTTTTTCCGCAACATATATATATATATATTGATATTACAATTATTTATTATGTATATTAAATTTTATATTTAAGAAAGTATTATTCTCCATTTTCATCAAATATGATATTCTACATTAAAAAAATATTGTCAAGTGTGGTAGAGGTTGAGTTCGAGTTGTAAACGAACACTCTTTTATGGATTTCAAACGAGTAACACATTACGGCTATCTACCAAATTTCAACTTTTTTCTTTTTCTTTTTTTTCTTTTTGGGGCAACCCGCTTCCACATTTTGTATTCCATTATTTTAATAAACGGATAATGGTTCCACGGCTGCGTTTTTTTGCATAATATATAAATTCAACACTGAGAGACGTAAAATTTCAAACAAGAAAAAAGAAAAAAAAAAGATATGGGCATGATCATGAAGAAGCCTGTGAAATACTTTCTGGTAATCGTATCTTATAATGTACTTTTATAACTTCCTTCACTTCTTCTTTTTCAGCTTATCAAGATTGATAAAATGTTGCTAAAAACAGGTTGATGCATTCACTGAGTCAGCCTTTAAAGGGAACCAAGCAGCAGTGTGCATTCTTAAAGAGGAGCACGAAAGAGATGACGCATGGCTTCAGTCTCTAGCCGCCGAATTTAACGTCTCCGAAACTTGTTTTCTGACTCCGATCACTGGTCTCGATGCTCGCTTCCGTCTCCGTTGGTTTACTCCTTCAGTCGAGGTTTGGTGACCTTTGACTTTGTTTCTTTTAAGGTTGTTTGACTTCTTTGACTGTTCAAAATGTTTTGAAATCGAATTCGCGAGTTGCACTCTGGACTCTAGAGTTAGAGTTACTCTTAATAAAATAAGCCATATTTTATACTAAAATTTGACAAAATATATATACCATATTTTATACGAGAGCCATGTTGATATGAACATGCATCATCATGCATGTGTTTGTTCTTTGGGAACTAAAGCTCGTCCTTTAATTTGTAGGTGGATCTTTGTGGTCATGGAACTTTGGCATCTGCTCATAGTCTCTTCTCAAATGGTTTGGTTGATTCAGATAAGGTCGAGTTTGTAACACGATCAGGGATTCTTACAGCCGAGCGTGTTCAAGATAATAGTAAAGTGAGAGTGAAAGGAGGATCCTTCTTCATCGAATTGGATTTCCCTGTGATTCCAACTTGTGAGTACAGCTCCATTTATGACATTGACACCTCCATGTTTTCCAAAGCCTTAAACGGAGCAACCGTTGTTGATGTCCGACGAACCACGACTAATAATAAAGTTATCTCAGAAGACTTTTTTAATGGATCTGCAAAAGCAAGTTCAACCGATAAAATCATTGTATGCCGAAACTTTCTATGTATTCTCATATCGAAAACCGATGGTTGAGTTTGAAAATTTTGAAGAAATAATTCTTATTCTGATTACAGGTTGTGCTTCAATCTTGGGAAGCTGTCACTGAACTGCAACCAAGAATGGATGAAATCTCGAAATGTCCCGGAAAATTGATAATTGTTACAGCTGCTGCTCCTGAAGGATCTGTCTATGATTTCTGCAGTCGTTTCTTTTCTCCCAAGTTAGGGGTCGACGAGGTTAAAAATCAATCATTTTCTTGGGGAAAAAGCAATAAACAAATCACCAAAAATCTTTACCTTTTACAAGTTTTTCTTTGGCTCTTTGTGTTCTTCAGGATCCCGTATGTGGAAGTGCACATTGTTCATTAGCTCATTACTGGAGTCTCAAGATTAACAAGTGTGATTTCGTCGCTTACTCGGTGAATGATTCCTCTCTCTCTGCATGTGTACAACTTAATAACGTTTGAAGATTAGAAGGAACAAAACATTTTACACAAATCAAATAAATTTTGTTTTCAGGCTTCGCGTAGGAGTGGAACACTCAAGGTTCATTACGATAGGGAGAAGCAAAGAGTGTTTCTCACTGGAAAAGCTGTGACTGTGATGAAAGGCTCCGTTTTAGCGTAATCTTGACTTCAAGATTTCTACATATGGAAGCAAAAAAGTTTATCAAGTCGTCAATAAATGATTAAAAAATCAAATGTATGATCATCTTCTTCTTTATAATAAATGGAATGTATGCATGAAATTTTTAGGTTCATCGTATCAACGTACTTATAATAAAGTGGAATGTATGCATGTGTTTTCTTGAATTTTAAGAAAAATCTACTTTTCCTTACTTGGAATATTAATTATGGGCTTAGTTGAAAGTCAGCCCAAGGCCCAATCTTAGAAATTAGTACTATCGTTTGCACTATCGACAACTAAACGGCACCGTTTATCGATTAAATTATAACCGGAAATCACGCATGAACAAGATCCAACGGTCCAGATCTATCCTCTCTCTTCACAGGAAAAAATCTCTGAATCTTCGAATTTTTCGATCGGAGAGAAAAACACTTTTCCACGGCCGATAGGTTTCTGACGATACTCCGTTTCTCAATCTCCTCCGAGCAGATCTCGTACATCTCTCTCACTCGATTTTAGTGTTTTATTTCTTTGATTTCCGATTACAAATTTGTTTACGCCGCTCATTTTCAGTGAAAAAAAAATTCGAAGTCGTTTCGTCATTTGAGTGATTTTGTTTTGCCTCCCAGAAGAAGAAGATCGCTTGATTTGTGTTTACGAGATGGCTTCTCCTCCTGCTAGAGCTCGAGCTGATTACGATTACCTCATAAAGCTTCTCTTAATTGGAGACAGCGGTAATTTCCTCACTCGAATCATCATCATCATTACTACTTTTGTTGTTCCGGCGAGGTTTATGCAGTTTATAGGATCTATTTCTTCTCTTAGGTTTCGTTTGATGCTTGTGGCTTTTGCAATCAATCAAGTGTGATTTGAGTTTCTGAAAATTTCCCATTTTTCTTATCAAGATATGAAATTTTTCTGAGCTTAATTCTGATGAGTTCTTTAGAGGATTCTTGAGCCATTCGGGTTTAGTGTTGGCCTACGATCGTAGTTTCTGCTCCATTTTTGTTTGTAACTATTTCGTTGTTTCTCAATTATATTGGATTCTTCTAAAAAAGTTTCAAACTTTCTCATTATGATATGAAATGTACCAGGTGTAGGAAAGAGTTGTCTCCTCTTGCGTTTCTCAGATGGCTCGTTTACCACCAGCTTCATTACGACCATCGGGTATGTCTTTATTTGCATATCCCGGTCTTCCTGCTAGTTTTGTCTGTTTTTCTTCACTCAAGGTTCGAATTGTGGATTCCACAGTATTGATTTCAAGATAAGGACCATTGAGTTGGACGGGAAGAGGATTAAGCTGCAAATTTGGGATACTGCAGGACAGGAGCGGTTCCGTACAATCACAACAGGTTTTGTTTTCTCATATTCTCTTCTCTGAGAATCTGTCCTCTTTTTGTCTAAGTGGTTTTGATCTTATTGCAGCATACTACAGGGGAGCTATGGGAATTTTACTTGTGTATGATGTTACAGATGAATCATCTTTCAACAGTAACTATTTTTCTTCACTCTTAGATCGCAGTTGTGATTACAGTTCAATTTCAGGCCTAAACTTTTTCGTTGCTTGCATTAGTTTGCAACTATTGTCTACTAACTAATATGATTCACCCTGTGTAGACATCAGGAATTGGATCCGTAACATTGAGCAGCACGCCTCTGACAATGTCAACAAGATTCTAGTGGGGAACAAGGCTGATATGGATGAAAGCAAAAGAGTATCTCTCTACCTTCTCCCTCCATAGTAGTGATTTCTCCTTTTTATATATTTCACATTGAATTTTTGTTTTCTCACTTCCAGGCTGTGCCAAAATCCAAGGGCCAAGCTCTTGCAGATGAATATGGAATCAAGTTTTTTGAGACCGTATGTCATGGCCCTTGGGTGGTGTTATTGTTTTTTCAAATATATAAGCAAACGTTGGTTCATTTCATTGGCTGACGTTGATGGGTTCGTTTCTTACAGAGTGCCAAGACGAATTTGAATGTGGAGGAAGTTTTCTTTTCAGTTGCTAAAGATATTAAGCAAAGACTTGCAGATACTGATGCCAGAGCTGAGGTTTGTATCAATGAAGCTCCTTTAACTTAATACTTTTACTTTATCATGCGCTACACTTAGGCTCAGTCGGGTATAGATAGGGGCTTCTACTTCAAAGTTGAGTGTAGTATATAACCTAGTCAATAGAAATGTATTAGGATTCCTTTCGAACATCCGAGCAAGATTAGTCATGCATTGAGCATTTGTTGATTTCTACAACAATCAGTGATCAAATAATTCAGTGTGGTAACATGATTTATCATTCTGAATCTTCTGTCTTGCTCTTTGCAGCCACAAACAATCAAGATCAACCAAGCTGACCAGTCTGCTGGAACGTCCCAAACTACGCAAAAGTCAGCGTGTTGCGGTTCTTAACATACTGAACGTAAAGGAGAAAGAAAAAGAAAAAAAACAACAACAACGAAGGAAAAAAGGCGAAATTTATTGTTTCTTTGGTTATTTTCGTCCCTACCTAACACTCTTATTAAATGTGACTGACACATATATTTCAAAAGTGCTTCTCGAGAGACACAATTCAGCTTTTTCAGTGAAAAAGAAATTATTTTATTAATACAGATCACTTATAATTACTATGTTAAAGCAAATGCAAACAATGTCTTTCCCTTTTTTTTAATAAACATGTAAATCAATATTACATCATCCCTACCATCACAGTCAGCCAAATCTGCAGTCGCTTGTCAAAAGGATACAATCAGATAACTTTTTAAAGTATCAAACAGAACAGTGCAGCTGGAATTCAGTCAATAATTGTAGCTAAATAGGAGCCGGGTCCATTTTTGTAAGCTAAAAGTGTCGCTTATTATTATTTTTTGTTCAAAAGCTATATCATCGTCGTTTATTCTTACTTTTAATTGGCTGTATACACACAATCACTACCTATTTTCTACGAAGTTAATATAAATTGAATACTTACGTGGAGAAAGTCTTTGCCGTCTCTGTTACGGCGTAGCAAAAAGTATTATAACTTTGAAAGAATTTTTTTTAATATAGGAAAATAGGAATCCATGGATAAAAATAAATTTTGAAGATCCGAGTTTAATCATCAGCGATAGAGAGGAACTAATTATCAAACGGATTTTACACTTACATGCGTTGATCAGATCACGCGGATACAGTCTATGGATAGATACTATGATAATAGATTATGGGTGAATGGTTGATAATAGATAAGGCACATAAGTTTATAATAAGGTTAAGTAAATCTGATGAGGAACGCACCGAAAAAATATAGCGATAAGTGGCGGCGATAAGACTGGTGTTTAAGTTAGCGTCAGTCAAGTGTCAACACACTCTAAAAGTTATGTAATCACCAAGACACCAACTACTTCACTAGATCTGTTCTCCACATCTGATAGACTCACACTGTCACACACATCTTCTCGTTCTCGCATCTTTCTTATTATTTGATAGTTTAATACTTACGTACATGAGATTAATTATGTATTTAACATGAGTAATGTATTCTTTTTTTCCAGCACATTTAACACTATCTTTATTTGTTGTAATCGTTTGTAAGTCATGAGTTCGAATACCGGCGGCAGGAAAAAAATAGTAATTTAACATGATCTTTTTTTTGTCGGAAGAGATTATGCATATGTGTCTAAGACACTTATCTTTTTCGATCCCAATTTTTTTTTTAATAAGACCTTGTTAATATTTTTTTTTTTTAACAAAACGTTATGTTAGTAAAAAAAGTAATTTCGTTTTTAGTATTTTAAAAACATATTTGAAAATTTTAAGGATGATTTTAATCTATAGATCCAAATAACGAATAAATAAAGAATATGGAGCAAAATAATTAAAAATTAAATCAATACATATTATGTTTGTATATTATTCTATATTTACCCCTATAGAAGCAGATGACCGATGACTTGTTTTATCTCATATAGTTTAAAGAATAACTATTTGATTATTATGCTAACAAATATGACATCGTGATAACTGTTGAATAACATGCTAACTAATATAATGCTCAATCATCATATTATATAAATATCGAGTTAACCAGTTATCATATAATAAAAAATGAAATTATCATGTTAACAATGTAATCATATAAAAAAATTATCTTATTAACCTTGTGAGCATGATAACTATTGTGCTAATGTTGTTATCATTTGATGAAAATATAAGATATAAGTTAATGAAATTATGTTATCGTCTTTCACCACAACCATATCTTTTCCACTATCGTTGTCATGTTTTGTAAAAATAAGAAAAGAAAAATTTAAAGGTTATAAGTGTAATTTAAAGTTTAATAGTAGTTGTCAGAAAATTTGCTTTTATGTCTGTTAATTTCTTTATTATCTAAGTCTAGATGTTGCAATTACTCAAATTTTAATCAAACATTGGTTTTAAATTCATATACATACTGATTTTAGCCTTATTGACACAAAGTAAGTAATTCGGAATTATTGAGAAGAAGAAAAAGTACGCACTATAAAGGTTTGATGTTGTTCACAAACAAAATTAATTGATATTTGTGTCAAATATACACTTTTTCATATGACACTTTTTTTTTTATATTACCTTGCAAATATTCATCAGATTTGTGTCAAGTATGTGGATGTCTTACAGATTTCAAAAATATAAACAGCAAGTTTATAATTAATTTGCAGATATTTAACACACTTGCATCAAGTTTCTGCGTTATATATAGACAGATTTCAAAAATGTAACTAGTAAAAGTTATGTAAAGTCGGCAACACAATTGCGTTAAATTTAGTTTGCATAGACTAACATTAACACTCATTAGTTTGCATTAAATTTACGTGTCATAGATAAATTTTAAAATGTTTATTCAATTTATGTTTAATGTTCTGAAATTAATTTATGTTTATTGTTGCCAAAAGAAATAAATAAAACTTTATGTTTAGTTTGCATACACACTCGTCAAACTTATAAAAGTTTCTATGTTTTAGACAGATTTCAAAAATATATTTAGCAGTTATAATTTTGAAAATATTTTTGTTATATATTTAGATAATATTAATTAAAGTAATTGTTTTACCTTTTTGGTCAAAACAATTTTGTAGTAAAAAGATAAGTTATTTTACTCTTTTTAAAAAATCTAAAACTAAAATAGAAAATGGATAAATTACAGAAAGCATAATTTCTATATATATATATATATCACATAAATTTATTTCGTCATTCTGCAAGTGTGAAAGACACTATTGTTTCTTTTGTCCCTTTACAAATATGAAGCGACACCATTGTTGACTCGTAATTATTAGAAATTAGGAAATATGAAAATGAAGGGGAGAAGGAATGGGGAACGTTGGATAGTGATGCCCCAAAAAAGTTTCTGAAAAAAATATTTTTTAGCATCAAATGCTGCCCTAATTAACTTTGAGATTCGCTTTGAAATTTGAATAGAATAGAAAAAATAATACTTTTTATAGACCCTGCTTTTAAATATTCTGACTTTATTTGTTTTGAAGCCCATTATCTAGAAAGATGCAAATTTTTAAATTGTATATAAAAACAAATGCCATGATTATGCCTAGTTATATATATATATATAATAAAGTATATTACAAATTTTTAAAAAATATATAAAATAATTTAGAAAATATTATATTAAAAATTAGTTAATTTATTTGAAAATTTATGTATTGTTAACATACTAATTGTCTCAGTCGGTTATTATATAAATAACTAAATTTGATCAAAATTATTCATAGCAAATAAGAAATTACAAGTACTGTAAGTTTCTATTACGTATTATTTTAAAAAATATTAAAATAAAATAAAAATTTAGTGGCTTAGTATATCTCATAACCGATATTGCATACTGCATGTATAAGAGAGAAGCATGTTCACGTCATATCTTTATCCCTATATAAAGTGAGACAATCATAACAATTCATTCAAAAATATATCTGTTGCTCCTAATTTCAAATATAACAAAACAAGAGAGAGACTGCATTTTTTTTTTTTTTGATGGAGGAAGTAAAGAAGATGGATTGTATAAAGAAGGCAATGCCATTCATCTTAGTGATATTGTTACAAGTAGGGTTAGCAGGAATGGACATTCTCACAAAAGCTGTGCTAAATGAAGGCATGAGCAATTACGTCCTTGTCGTCTACCGTCATGGCATTGCTGCCATCGTTATGGCCCCATTCGCCTTCTATTTCGACAAGTACTCTCTCTATATTCCCTTCTTCACAAAACATAGTTTAATGTTTGGTTAAGTTTTTTTTTTTTGATAAATGTTTGGTTAAGTTTTTTTTTTTTTGATAAATGTTTGGTTAAGTTTAAAGACGGGATAATTGTTTCTTTATTTTATTGTAACATTTAAATGCAAACAAAAAAAGTAAATGTGGTTTTTGTCGTTGTTGTTGTAAACTTTGTTTTTACGTGTAAGGGTTTCATAGATTGATTTTCTGTAGCTACTCTCTATGAGACTATGTCATGCATTAAATTACCAGAAGTAAAAACGTTGTTTTACGTGAGAGTTTAAGATACGTAGGAAGACAAAAATTTACTTCTTTATTGAACTTTCCACAAGACCTATTTTTTTTTTTTTTTTGTTAAACGGCCTATTTTCCATAAGTTACCAGAAGAATGTTTTATTTAATTTGTTTTGGATTCTCAGTAATTTTGACCTACATTGCATGGAAATTCCGTCTGAAGTACGTTTCCCGTTTCCGAAACGTTTCGGAAACCGAAACTCTCGGAAATTCGTCGGAAACACAAAAAATCACGTTTTCTAAAAATTCTAATTTGGAAACATTTTGGAAACATGTTTCCATTTTAGAAACATGCGTTTCTATTTTAGAAATACATGTTTCTATTTTGGAAAGAAGATATAAACTAATTTTTTATTTTTATGGAACAAATAGATAATTATAAAAATTAAATTAAATGATCAATTTAATTATTTATAATAAATAATAAATATTTTAATTAGGTAATTAAGATTAATTTTGATATTATTAAATTTGAAAATTATTCTCACGATGAATTAGAATTAGAGATAGTTTGGCTAATAAAACTAATAAAATTGACAATAAAGAAAATCTTCTAAATTTTTGACTTTATATATTTTAATTTTTGTAGTTCACTAATTATGTAAAAATTATATATTAGATTTTGTTGATTTAAAATATTCTACTTATAATATAATTAGATCTTTAATACTTAATATAATATATATATATACACGTTTCTAAAACGTTTCCACTTCTATATTTTTTAAAAATTACGTTTCCACATTTCGAAACGTTCCGCTTTCACGTACTCGTTTCCGTTTCCATGCAACATATATTTTGACACAGATTTTGACACAGATTATGAACAGGAGCGTAATTTAATATTTTATAATTCATAAAAAAAGAAAAAAATAGATTATTTATAAAAATAAAAAATAATATTTATAATGTAATGTTTTTACCTTTTTAGTTTCTCATCATTATTATTTTTTATTAGTCACAAGTACAATTTTTTTTTCCTTTTAATGTCGTTTATCTATTTTATTATTCAATTACGCTTATATTTTGTTTCATCTGTATACACGAAGATAGTAACTAATTACACGATTTCTTAATTAATCGTAAATTTGGTAACAGATTGGTGAGACCGAAGATGACACCGATGATATTCTTCAAGATAACACTCCTTGGTTTATTCGAGTAATATTTTATTTTTCTTCCATTTCTTTTGTTCTTTTTTTTTCCCCTAACCCTCCTCTTTTACATGAATCTATTTTTTTTAAAAAAAAAAATCATTATGTCTTTTTTTGTGAATATAATAGACCAGTGATCGACCAGAACTTGTTTTGTTTGGGGATGAAATACACCACGGCTACATTTGCAACCGCCTTATACAACACTTTACCCGCAGTTACTTTTATCCTCGCCTTAATAGCCAGACTCGAAAAAGTAAAACTTCGAAGTATCAGAAGTGCAAGTAAGGTGGTTGGGACAGTGGCTTCAGTTGGAGGAACCACGCTTATGACACTTGTCAAAGGTCCACCTCTCGACCTCTTCTGGACCAAAGGACCCTCTGCGCAGAACACATCCGGGACTGATATTCACAGCTCCATCAAAGGCGCAGTTTTGGTTACAATTGGTTGTTTCAGCTATGCATGTTTCTTTATCCTCTTTGTAAGACGAACTTTTTATATGCATATTTATATATTAAAACAATATATATATATATATATTTTCAAAAAACAAATATACTTATTGATCAATTCTGATGATGAACCAATTCTTTTATAGGCGATCACGTTGAAAACTTATCCAGCCGAGCTCTCACTCACAGCATGGATATGCTTAATGGGAACAATAGAGGGAGCTGTTGTGGCACTAGTCATGGAAAGGGGAAATCCTGGCGCATGGGCCATTGGTTGGGACAACAAACTTCTCACAGTCACATACAGTGTAAGATATTCTCTCGGCTATTTAATATAAAATGTTTTAAGTCTATTTTTTGTTTGAAAATATATACAAATGTTCTCATAAATCACAATACAAAATTTATCAATAAATGACTTTTTTTTTTGGTTCAAATCAATAAATGACTTGTTTACCTTAATGGAAGGGGTATAAAACATGTCTTAATTAATAAAATATTTATTCGGCGGTGGATTGATTTATAGGTTATTTTTTCAAGAAATTAAACTATTTGTAACGTTAAATGCATGTAGGGGATAGTGTGCTCAGCGCTTGGTTACTACATTGGAGGACTGGTGATGAAAACCAGAGGTCCTGTGTTTGTAACAGCTTTTAGTCCTCTTTGCATGATCGCAGTAGCGTTTATGTCGAGCATTATCTTTGCTGAGCAGATGTATCTCGGAAGGTAAGTAAAGCTACACCAAAGTCAACCACACTTTAAATTAATCAAGATCGAAATGAGTGTAATGAAACGATCTTGTTCTTTGGCAGGGCTCTTGGTGCGGCGGTTATATGTGCAGGATTATACCTTGTGATATGGGGCAAAGGCAAAGATTACAAATATGCTTCTTCCGAGCCAGCACAAACAAAACTAGAACTGAGCGGAAACGAGAAAGATAGTGTTGATCATGAAATCATTATTATCAACAAGTAACACAGGAAAAAAATGGTTAGCTTGTGTCTAACTCAATAGTATCTACACAAATGTTTGGCATGAAAGAGTCCAAATATCAGTTTCTTTGCTGCCCAGTGTGCCCACTATGTTTAAAAGCAATTGTAGAATAGAATTGCTAACTACCATGTGGTGAAAATAGCTATCCAATAGAAATATAAATAATAAATATGATCATTATAGTATATTGAGTACACCAAGATTGTTTCCATACGTGTATCATCATAGATTGAAGTTGCCCCTTCTTTTTGAAAATTAAATGATAAGTTTCTTTGGTGTTAAAGTTCAAAAGAGATTGCATTGGGCCTAAGATGATTGACTGCAGTAGCATTTAAACCAAATTTTATTAATCATACTAATAATGATTTTCACTATATTAATGACCCATGACATAGTCAACAGGCCGCGGCCCAGGAACAAGGTCTATCAAGACCCAACTGGATCGTATAGCACGTATACACTCTTTAGTGGATGAGTTATATAGTTTTTGCAATTGGTCCTTGTTGATATATGTATCGCTTTCCATTGACGATTCTAATGAGTTCTTATAGAGGATCCTGAGCCCTTGTTCAACAAAAGAAACCTTTCCCACGAATTGTTTTTGCCTTACTTCCATTATGATTCATACTTTCTATGTTTTGTTTACTTCCATTATGATTAGTTAGCATCTATTATCTACTAACTATGATTTATTATTTTCCATCGTTTTACTATGAATAGACATCAAGAATTGGATCCGTAAAACTGAGCAGCACGCTTCTCGGCTTCTGGCAATGTCAACAAGATTCTAGTGGGGAACAAGGCTGAAATGGACGAAAGCGAAAGAGTATCTCTACCTTCTCCCTCCATGTGTGGTATTTTCCTGCTTATTTCTCCACGTGGGTTTTTTTTTAAGACGTCACTTTGTTTCTCATTTCTAGGCTGTACCAAAATCCAAAGGCCAAGCTCCTGCAGGTGAATATGGTATCAAGTTATTTGAGACCGCGTGTCATGGATCTGAGTACTGTTATTGTTTTGGAATATACGCAAAAGTTGATGGATTGCTCATACAGAGTGCCAAGACGAATTTGAATGTGGAGTGTGGAGGAAGTTTTATTTTCAATTGCTGAAGATATTAAACAAAGACTCGCAGATACGGGTGCTTGTATCAATGAGCTCTTTATCTTTCGACTTTACTTCCACTGTCTTATCATGCGGTACACTTAGGCTCAGTAAGCTTTTATAGCAAACAAACTTGTAGAGGACGTTAACTTTTACTCAAGATAAGTCTTGGAATATCAACTATGCTTACTGTGTCTTAAAAATATTAATTATTATGGTAAAGAAAATGATCTATCTTTTGATACATTTTACCTGTAATATCGGTTTAAAACTATACGGGTCTCTCTAATCTTCGCTGATGACCAAAAGTATAAACAGTCAGTGTACAGGAAACAAACACAAATGCATTTCTAAGAAAATTGTTTCACATAAGTATTATATATTTATGTGTTTGAGTGTAGTAAGTAACATAGTCAATAGATATTAGGATTACTTTCTTTAATGGTGTTAGTTGACATCAGAGCAAAATCAATTAGTCCACAAATCACCCTTATGTCAACTTACTTAGCTAGATCCATTGTAGATAGCGATAACAATTACTGATTGACAATTCATTGTGGTCTTGCTCTTTGCAGCCACAAACAATCAATATCTCCATATCTATACTATTCAGTAACAATAATTAAAGAGAAGACAGGTTAGGATTGTTGAAATTTCTTTTCATATGTGATTGGGAATGATTTGCACGTCTTCAGGTATGTAAATGGGTTCACCTTTTTACTTTTTTGGTCACAATGCATTTATAAGTGATGCCTATTCTCTGCTTTTATAGTTTCCAGATCAAAGACTTAAGACTTACAGTACTTGCATATCTTCTAATTGCTGTCCTTTATTTTCGCTGCTTCCATATATATTAATAAAGCAAAGCCAAATCTTTATTAGCATTTAGATGGGGATAACTTACTTTTAAACAATTCCTTTTATTTTATTCTTGTTTATCAAAATGTAAATACAATACTCAACACGAATAAACCTATATATGAAGAATCTCTTGTGTAAAAATATTCTTGAAGAATTCCTTTTTTTTTATTCTTGTTGGAATCTATATATGTTTCTTAAAAAAGTTTGATAAAAATATGAATGAGCTTTTCTCATGATTGGGTGTTAGTGTGTTACAACATAATCTATGAAGAATCTCTTGTGTCATGATTAGAACTACTAATTATTTATCAAATTTTTTGAGTGGTGATGATAATAGATAGGGCAAAGAAGCACGGAGGTTAATTAAATCTGATGAAGAACGCACCGAAGAAATAAAGCTGCAAGTGGTGATAAGACTTGATGTCTGAGTCGACTTACACCATTTTTATATCGACATAGACACACTCCAAAGTAATGTTTCCACCAATCACCAACTACTTCACTTAGATCTGTTCTCCATATCTTACACATCTTCGTCTTCTCTCATCTTTCTGAAAATATTGCTTTTTCTACCTACATATTTTAGTTACTAACTTCATTTAAACTAGTCCTTTTTTTTTAAACTACTATTACGCAAGTTCATTTTTAGGAAAATTAGTTTCTTGGGGGGGTTTTATGAAGAATTATAACTAGGAAAAATATCGCAGATCAATATTTTAGAAATTCTCTTTATATTGTAAAAAGAAGTCTCGAGTAAAAACAATTTCAAAAAAAAAAAAATGTCTTGAGTAAAAATTAGAGGCCATCTCGATCTCATGTCTTTATATATGTTACTTTACATCTTATGTAGTTGACAAAAAAAAAAAAAAAAACATCTTATGTATTATATATTAGATGTGATATTCCTAAGACGCATTTTTGTGGGGAAGATAGATCTTACGGGTACATATCGACAGGATCCCATTATTGTCTATTGGACAAACAATACCATCTCATGCAACATACGTACTAAATCAAGTAGTTTCTGATATCATGTCAATGTACATAATTTTCAATTCAAAATAAATTGGAAATGCGTGAAGTAGCCTATAATCATGTTTATGTTACAATTACATCAGATGTAAAATTACTTACAATTGCAAGAATACGAAAAAACAAGAAAACGAAACAGAATTTATATATAGATCACACTTTGAAAATGTAAAATGAAAATAAGTGGTGTGTAAATGTTCATGTATGTTTCAGTTTTCAAACAAGCTAAGAAGATTAGGATGAATAATTGTAGATTAATATCTTTAAATATACCTACCTAAGGAAAAGGCTAATAAAGAAAAGGTTACTTAAAAAAAAAGGCTAATCGTTACACTCGCACTCGTGACCGCTATTAGAGAGTATTTTATTCTGCTACTCTCTAATAACAACAAATGTAATCACACTAAAGCATGTCCCTCCATATACAATCATGCCCATTATATTCATGATGCCTATACAATGTAAGTTACTTTGGGAAATTGTAGCGTATTAGATATTAGATAGTGAGATGAGAACAATTGAAATGTGATGTAGAATGAAAATAAATGGTGCGTAAATGTTCATGTATGTTTCAATTTTCAAACAAGCTAAGCAGATTAGGATGAATAATTGTAGATTAATATCTTTATATATACCTATCTAAGGAAAAGGCTAATAAAGAAAAGGTTACTAAAAAAAAAGGCTAATCGTTACACTCGCACTCGTGACCGCTATTAGAGCGTATTATATTCTAATACTCTCTAATAACAACATATATAATCACACTAAAGCATGTCGCTCCATATACAATCATGCCCATTATATTCATGATGCCTATACTATGTAGGTTACTTTGGGAAATTGTAGCGTACTAGATATTAGATCGTGAGATGAGAACAATTGAAATGTGATGTAGAAATCCATAATGTTTGGAAGTACGAGAACGGAGGCCTGTTTAACGTAATCATGCATACAGGTAAAATGAGATCTTAAAAAATAATTAAAAAATCGGAGATCTACGAGCAAATGCATTTTTTTTATCTTCTACTGATATTTAAGAATAGATATTATAACTCCACTATAAATAGATGTTCATAAACTTCTTTTAAGTTAAATCTTCTAATATCTGATAAGAGAAAGAAAGTATTAAAAGAAAAGACAATGCCCATATGTATTAAAAATGAGGACCGCCCAAAGCATTAGCACACAATAATGCAAGAAAAAAAAAGCATTAATAGACAATAATGAGAAAGAAAGCATTACATAACAAGTTAAAAGAAAAGGAGCAACTGGGAAACTTGATCAGAAGAAAACGATCCGTCTTTTCGTTTGGTTGTATCTTTGACCATATATATTAATGGATCCCATTCTTCACCTTTTTCTTTCGATGCCTATACATTCAATATATGCAGCTTTCAAAACATCCTCAAATATGTGGTTTCATATATCTAGTAGATATTATAGGTCATTGTAGATTTTATACATGTTTACTTAGGTGGTTTCATATAATTTGTAGATTGTAAATTTTATAGGTCATTTGTAGATTGTAGATTGTAGATTTTATAGGTCATTTGTAGATTGTAGATTGTAGATTGTAGATTGTAGATTTTATGGTTTCATATAATTCGTATTTTAGGTCATTGTAGATTTTAGACATGTTTACTTAGGTGGTTTCATATTATAGGTCATTGTAGATTTTACACATGTAATTGTTTATTTCTTTCTAAGTAAACCATTGGGTGACATGTGTATATAATTTGTATTTATTTATTTCTCCATATCTCTCATAATTGGTAAAATAGAAAAGCATAAAACTAATATCAACTCTAAATCATAATCAAACCTAAAATAGACTGATTCAACTAATCGATGTAACCCACTATAAAATATACCAACCCAACAATAAAATGACCTGACTATCCAATATACTTCGAAAAAGTAAATTTATTTAAACCATATTAACATATTTATTTGTGAACGTAACGCTAATAGTTACTTCATTGTTACAAAGATCTGATACAGAGTGAGTTTGTTGTTGGGCATTAGTATAAAATGGTTATAAATGAGAGTTTCATCAAAATCATACCTAAAATTTTTTTTTTGAAGTAATCGCAGTTTAATTATTCATTCCCAATCTCTTATCTTTTTTTTATAAAAAAAAATCTGGTGCACCACACGGAATCTTACTTTTGTCAGCCCAAAAGGGAAAGAAGATGTATATTTCGAATCCCCAATGTTATCTTGCACGTCTCCTATTGGCTCTTAAAAGCACGTTTAAGGTTTTTGTCAAATTGAAATTATATTTATGTGAATAAGATTTCTTCCATATGCATGCGTCATATAAATATTACGTATATATTAACGTATATATATACATATGCATATACAAGCATGGATATTAATATTTTACCATAATTATATGTATGTGTGTATGTATTGTGTGTATATGTGTAGCTTACTGGCTTCACTCAACTTTAAGTATGAAATTTCACATCCGTTTCGAGGTTTGGATGGCTTCTTGTTGTTCATTGCCCGTTTGAAGCCAGAAAAATTATGACGAAAAATGATAATGAAATACTCAAATTTAGTGTATATCAGTTTTGCGATCCGATGAAAAAAAAACAAATGATATGCAACGTGCAGAACGTATATGAATCAAAACATTCTATTGATTGGGAACCGATTCCTATTTTAGAAAACAAAATTACATACAAAGAAAATAATGAAAGTGATTCCACCAGAAATTAAGTGGCAAAATGGGAACAGTGCAAATGACCCAAAATATTGGCAATTATACGCACTTACGTCAATAAATATTCCATGAACTAAAATAAAATAGAAAATAAGTTAATAAAAAAGCAAAAAGCAAAATCTAACCAATTATCACTCTACCCAACAGTGTCGGTATATCGTGACTCATAAATCATTTAAATTGTTTATACTTTAAATTGGAAAGAACTTGATGCATCTCTCCGGGAGTTAGGCAACCATGGGAACATTTATGAAAAAAAATATACAACTGATGAAGAAAATATACAACTATAACTCATAATTCTGAGTATATCATAGCAGCTCTTAATTTCACAAAAGCTAGCGGCTAGAATTTTCTTGTGACGATATTTTAATGGTGAAATTTTTTGCACCATCGAAACTTCGTCCAAATTTTCGTAATTTTTAAGAATGGTTTTTTTTTTGGGATTAGAGATCTAATTCGTGTTATATTGTTGTTTATAACATTTTCTTCAAAACTATGCCCTCTGATTCACAAAATGATGGTAGATTCTTGATTTTGTGAAATTAGATAAGTAGATTTCACATATACTAGAAGAGTACATACCACAGTAAGTCAGTAGCCAACTACAATTAGAAGAGTAGATATCAAAGTATACTTTTTAGTTAAATAAAAGACGTAAACATTAATATTTGGTATATGATGAAAAAATTTCTATGTAGCAATACATTTCTACATGCGGAAAACATGTATGGTATTGGTAATTGACATGACTATTATATAGTTAAGAACGGACGGTTTACTTCCATAAATACGTTGTTGGAATCAAGAGAATGCATCAAATGAGAGGATATTGATACAAAGTAAGTTAGAGTTCAATCAAATATGGAGGTACCCACAGCTAAATATTTTGATTCTTTAGTTAGGTTATGTGAATCAAATACAAATTTTGAACGTCCTTTTTGATTTTAGTTGATAAGGTAAAGAAATTGGGCCCATAATTTCAGGGTAGGGTATGACAACTTGCCTCGTAATATATAACAATCAAAAACAATACATTACACATTTTTTATAATATCTATTTACAATTACATACACGTATAAGTTTCCGTGGAGAAAAGAATGTTCACATCACATCATTTTATCTTTTTTTCCCTATATAAAGAGAGAACCACGACAATCATGACAAACCATTCAATTAAAACTAAGTAAATAACCTCCCTATATCTCTATTGCTACTACTTTTAAATATAATCAAAACAGAGATAGAGGGAGATTGTTGATTTAGGATGGAGGAAGTAAAGAAGAGGGACTGTATGGAGAAGGCAAGGCCGTTCATTGCAGTGGTATTATTGCAAGTAGGATTAGCGGGAATGGATATTCTCTCAAAAGCTGTCCTAGACAAAGGGATGAGTAATTACGTTCTTGTTGTTTACCGTCACGCTGTTGCTACCGTCGTTATGGCACCGTTCGCCTTCTATTTCGATAAGTACGTACTCTCTCTACTTTCCCTTCTTCATATCATCATAATTCAACCTTTGGTTTGTTCTTTGTAGTTTAAATAGTTTGATCTAAATGGGAAATTGGGATATGCATTTCTATTAAATATAACGTTTGTGTTTCCATGTTATATATTAAACATTATAAGCGAGATAACGCACACGCAAATGTGAAGAAACAATTGTGACCCTATTCAACAAAACTAACTTTATTGTAAAGATGAAGGGAAGATAATAAATTGAGTTTTTTTTTTTTTTTTTTAATTTGTGTTGGGTTGTGCATGGATTTTTAGTGTGTTGAAAGGATAAAAGTAGCAAAAAGAAAGAATGAGGGTTGTGACGTAGTTAAACGATAAAGAAGCGTCAGTCACACGTTAAAAAGACAAAAACACTTGTAACGGTTTATCTTTGGTTTTCTGTGGCTTTTGTCATTGTCATGCATTGAATGCGGGTGCTTCACATTTTTTTTAGTGTTTCTATTTAACGTGTAATGCTTAATTAAAAAGTGGTTATGCTCATTATTATGATTGTAATCCAGTGATTTTGACACAGATTAAGAATCAATTTGAATAAGCTCTCTTTTTTTTTGTCATTTTGGACAACGACCTTAAATAAGCATAAGCGCTTAAAAAAATAAAAATAATGATACAGAGTATGAAAGTATGTTCAAATTGTTGAGAGGATTTGTCTAAAATATTTTATAGTTGAAAACATAATTGTACAACGTTCTAATGTAATGTATTGATTATGTTGTAAAAAAAAAAAAACAGGAAGGTGAGGCCAAAGATGACGATGATGATATTCTTCAAGATAACACTTCTTGGTTTGCTCGAGTAATATTTTATTTCGTTTCCATCTTAATTCCTGCCACAAATCTCTCTTCTTAGTTTTAAACTTAAACCTGATTTATATTCTACTTTTATGTGTGTTTTGTTAATATAATAGGCCAGTGATCGATCAGAACCTATACTATCTAGGGATGAAATATACAACGGCTACATTTGCAACCGCCATGTACAATGTGTTACCCGCAATCACATTCGTCCTTGCCTATATATTCGGGCTCGAAAGAGTGAAGCTACGGTCCATCAGGAGCGCAGGTAAAGTGATTGGGACATTGGCTACAGTTGGAGGAGCCATGATCATGACTCTTGTAAAAGGTCCAGTTCTCGACCTCTTCTGGACCAAAGGAGCATCCGCACATAACACAGCTGGGACTGATATTCACAGTGCCATCAAAGGCGCAGTTTTGGTCACAATCGGTTGTTTCAGCTATGCATGTTTCATGATTCTCCAAGTAAAGACAAACACACAAATTTAAGAAAAAAAAATATAAATATTTTGTTTGATCGATTTTGACGATGAATCATTGGTTTTTTTTAGGCTGTCACGTTGAGAACTTACCCAGCCGAGCTCTCACTCACGGCGTGGATATGTCTAATGGGGACAATAGAAGGAACTGCTTTGGCATTAGTGATGGAGAAAGGAAACCCTAGCGCGTGGGTCATTGGTTGGGACACTAAGCTTCTTACAGCTACATACAGTGTAAGATTCATACATGGTTCATGCCTTCATGGACTGTCTTGTGGGCCAATTATGTTAATTAAGTCAAAAACGTAAAATACATATGCAGGGGATAGTGTGCTCAGCACTTGCTTACTACATTGGAGGAGTGGTGATGAAAACAAGAGGTCCTGTGTTTGTTACAGCTTTCAGTCCTCTTTGCATGATCATTGTAGCAATTATGTCTACTGTCATTTTCGCTGAGCAGATGTATTTGGGAAGGTAAGCAAAGAGACCAAACAAAATCAGACATGATGATCAAGATTGAACAAAAATTAATCAAAAGATTTTCTTCTTTGGCAGGGTTCTTGGTGCGGCAGTTATATGTGCTGGATTGTATCTTGTGATATGGGGCAAAGGCAAAGATTACATGTATGATTCCACACCACAAATAAAGGATGAATCAACACAGCCAAAGTTGGAACTAAGCAGAAACGGGAAGGATAATGTTGATCATGAAGTTATCACTATCAGCAGGCAAGGAGAACAAAGAAGAACAGTTGAAGAAACAGTCTAATTGTACAGGATGATGGGGCACAAATGTTTTGCTTGGAGGATTCAAGATGTGTATCAGTTTCATATGTTGCCCACTATGTTTCAGAGCAACCGTAGGATAGATTTGCTAACTATCATGGGAGGAGGAAAATAATTGTCCAAGAGGAATAGAGATTCAAAAAAAAAAAAATAATGATGAAAAACTATTGGATTCAGACAATAAATATGATTATTAATACACTGTACTCACAACTCCAAGACCGTTTCCATACCTATACAGCAGAGTATATCTCGAAAATGAATTGTTAACATTCTCTTAGAAATGAATTGTTTTTAACATACTGCTTCAATATTTCACTAAAGAGAATAACAATAGCAGAAACACATTGAACAAACCAAGAAGCAATTACTCTAGAATTCTCAATGTGAGAACACTTCATTTGTATGGAAAGTAGAGAGTAGAAGAATGGTTAGTTGTGAATATATACAGATTATTCATTCATCTTTAGTTTATGATGAATGAAGTATACAATGTAAAATATTATTTCTCACTGGTTGAATTCACCAACAATGAGATACGTCAGAGTACCTTTCCATCTTCCTTCCCGTAAATACGCTGAAGTTCCCGTATAGCGGCTAAATAGGACTCTGAAAATACAGAGAACATAAAAGTTACAATAAAGACCATCTTGTTTAAGTAATTGAAAGTATCTTGTCAAAAATAGCATGAACTATTCACCTTTCCATAGACGGAAAGACTTTTGGTTGATGGTCGAGCCAGTCATCGTTGGGATAACATTGAAGAGCATATCTTGTGGTGTGTTCCTGAGCTCTTGAACTATCCCGTATATGGTTTTCCCATTCTCAAAGTATATATGATTATTCGGATGCTTCGTCTTGCAACCAGCGTGCCGTTCAAATTCATATGCATTCACCACCTGCAGAAAAGATCTCTGTCAAGAGGCAGGATCCATTTTTGTGATATGCATCGTTCAATAAATGTTGCTTACCTTAGAGGAGTTACATGAGTCGCATCCACATTGATATCCAGAACCCTTGATCACTCCACGAAGCTCCTTCTGATAAACAGCAGAGAAAAAGGGAAAACAAAAAATTATAAAACCAATGCTCTTGATTGCAATCTTTGGGAGATAAGAGCGCAAGAAGATTAGCTATATACCTCTCGTGACCAAGCAATATATTTCACTGGAACTCCATCGAGCATACCAGTAGATAGCAAACTCCTTACATTAGAAGGAAAACTATTGCTCTGAACTTTTTTTGATACTCTTGACTCTTCTTTCTTTGTGGAAACATCAATGCTAGAGAACGTAGCATCGCAACCAAGCACGTTGGTTCTAGTTCCAACCAAATCTTTTCTAGTTGGAGTTTCAGATAACTGAGGTGTGGATTTAGCCATCAAGAATCTATACCTTCCAGAGTTATTATCATCATCATCATCATTGGAACCACCAAAAGATATGATTGTGCTCTGTCCCTTGACAAAAGACTCTTGCACGACGTTACTGTTCCTGTTATATACACCATCCCTACATACAGGCGTGCTCTCTTTGTGAAAGTTGCTACCTTTCGATGAAGCCCTCTCGTCAACATGGTTGTATGATTGACCCATGGATATTAAATTACTGTCAACCTTGTTGAAAGCAAGTTCCGAAGCAAAACTGTTATCATATATAGTTTCATCGCCCTTACAATATGGCTGTCCCACTGATATAAAGACGCCATTGTCCCTCTCGTAACTTTCGCCGATAACATGCTCCTCTTCCTTACCAAACGCAAGACCCACGCACATGGAACTCTCATCAACCCTAGTTGCCGACACAGATCTGTTCTCCACCCTGTCGTAGCTTTGTGCGTTTGGAGACGATACAAAACTTTCAGTATCTTTCACCTGGCTAACTTTAACTTTTCTGATTCCACCATAGCTAACTGCAGACTGTGGATCCTCAAGCGTCTGTGACATTGATAAACCAAACGAGTGATCACTGTAAGACTCACTACTCCTTCCAAGAACGGCCTTCTCAGTGTTAGTCAAACGAACGCTCTTGTCATGAATATTATCACCGGGCCTGGTGGTTTCGACGTCGAACAACCGTTCTGTAAACTGACCAGGACAAGACTCGAAAGAGAAAGTGTTGCCCCAAGAAGTGACATTCGAGTTTATCACTCCGGAAAACAACAAGTTGCTTGTAGGACTTTCAGACGCATGTTTCTTGTTCGGAAGTAACTCTGTCTCGGAGCCATCCAAAAGCCACTGATGAGGACGCTTAGAAGAATTTTCGTAACCCATCTCACCATCAGAACACTTAGCCATCCAGAAACTTTGGTTTGGAAATGACTGCAAACACAGATAAACAAGAGCTGATACTTTATCATCACATATCATCATCACTACATCACATACAATTCCTACTAGTAAAACTCCATAAACAATTACGAATTGTGGACCCCCGGTTAAATTCTGCTACACACATGTTTCAATGGCCAATCATAAAGCTTTTGTACCCCTCCCCCCCCAAAAAAAAACAGAGCCTTCCACATATATTACTTCATTTGCAGTAAAGTTTCTGCCCCCACTGAAGTTAATATCTTAATGAGAAACTCCAAAATTTGAATACAAAAAAGCCATACCATATTTTCTCAATTGTACTCCAAAGTTTCTTCGTAGGGCACCTCAAGTCTAGTCCTTGAGCTTGAGAACTGAAACTGGAGTATAGATTCAACTTTAAGAAGAGCAAAAACAAAACAGAAAAGCAAAACCATATAGCCTATCGTAGCTCAATATGATCATCAACAGTTCAACATTCAACACAAACGCTATATACAAACAAACTTAGCGAATTAGCTCCACTAAATTAGCGTGCGGCTACATAGACTTCAATCAAATCCAGATTTTCCACATAAGAAGACATAGCCGAACATTAGAAGCTTCCAAAACAACTCATCAAACTCTCTAAACTCCAAAAATCGAGAAGATAGTGATATATACAGTTTTCAGAACCCTGTAGCCAGAATAGAAGAAACCAAGAACACAAAGACGAACACATAGAGCGATATCGAGACACCTGCGATTCAGTGAGACTAACCAAATGTCGTCCCGTAAGTGTTCACTGGAGAATATCGCCGGCGAAGTGCCACCACCACTGCGATTTTATGAAATTTTAAATGTTCTTTTCCGATGCGTTGTTTCGGAATAATAACTTTTTCTTTTGACTTTTTTCTTCTCTGAGACTTTATTAGGAAGCCGTAAGGCCTCTTTAGCTAACTGCTCTGCACGACGATTGGAGAAGCTAAAGAGAGAGGAGCTCGATCTATTTGGGCTTTCATGCTTGGGCCCATCATAAAGTTTGAACACCAAAATAATAAGCAGATTTTTCATTTTTATTTTACTTTTATGAACAAAAGCGTATTTTTCACTTTATAAACAAAACTACTAAACTCTACAATTGTATACCAAATATTCTTTTCCAAAATTTAGCTAATATAGGGGAAACAAGAAAAAAAAAAACAAAAGTTAACCCAATATTAAGATTAATTTAACAATCTTGCTTTTGCCAATTTGAAAGCTCCACTGTCCAGTCCTGTGAATCCATGTGTCATCTCTTCTTTGGCAACATGAAAACATCTAAAAAGTATATCGAAGAAAAAACAAAGAAACTAATAAATCAGGAAGCAGACGATATAAGTCTAGGTTGTGTGTCTATACAACTTTGTGCGCGTGTGAGCAACAAGATCTCTTCAGCTTGGACTTTCCCATGGCACGTGTAAGGTAAGACCGGGTTAGGACGATGGTTTTGGCTAATCGGTTTAGTTTTCCGGTTTGATTGATTCTGAGTCAAATCAATATGAACCGAAAATAGAGATTGAACCGGTCTGTGGTCCGAGAATCTCGACTCTCCTCTGACGTACCAAATTTGTTTCAACCCGTCACCTTTCCATAATATTCGATCACACCTGAAACATATGATTGAGAATAACGTTAGAAAAGTAAAAAAAAAAACAAAAAAAAGTCACATCCATGAATGTTTAATCAAAAATTTCCAAATTTATGTAATTAAGCTTACCAAGCTGGTGTTCTCCGCTTTTCCTTTGATTTTTCGGTTTGGACAACGTAATTATCCGAGTTAATTAGATATTTATACGTTGGTGCGAAATAAATCTTTCCTTCTTCCCATCCCTGAAAAATTCTACCAGCTCTTTGTTCTATCTTAAGCTGCAAAGTAAAAACGAAAGAAATAAGTTTTAGTTTAAGTGTACTCTTCAATAAGTACTTATACAAATTAACAACCAATAAACTTTTAAAATAAAGTTATTTTAACCTGATCTTTCTCTAGAAGTGCTTCCCAATCATTATTCCTAAGCTGTTCATGCACGTCACTGCTCGCTCTTAGTCGATAATTCAAATCTCCGAGCCATATTACTTTACTGTAACACAACGACAAAAGAAAACGATTAGTAAATGAAACTTAAAATATTTAAAAATCTGATATTCGATTTCTGACGTAACATTGTTCGTAGACTTACTCGTGGTCCATTATCGTTTCGGGGAGAGAATCTTTAGAAGAACGCGAAAATCTTGTCCTCTTTAATATTTCCGTCACATCTAAGTTCCTTCGGATCTCGTCGCCTTCTTTTTCTCCAGACGTAAGATGGGTACAAACAAAGCATAGGCTCGTCTCATGCAATGACATGCTGATCGATATTGAGCCCTGTGTGGAATAAAAAAGGTTGCATCGTTATTCGTTAGTAATCAAGCCTTAGAATATCAGCGTTACAAAAGCGAATGATTTTTTCTTAATTATATGCAAATCTTGCACTAACCTTGTTTCCAAGATATCCCATGATGCCACGACCAACGCATGAAACCTTGAGGTTGGTAATACGTTTTCGGAGATCATCTCTTACCCACACACACAAAAAGATCCCCACCATCTGTTTACTCGCTGCAAGGGAATAGCCTCGCGGAGGGGTCGAATTGCATGCAACTGGTTTATCCTCCGGGAGATTGGTGAAGCTGAGACGGGGCTGTTGTGATGATTTCGTAATTTCGAAGGAGCTTCTGTGATTCTTAGAAAGTTCGAGGTCATTTTGTGATAAGTTGTTGTTGTTGTTGTTCAAGGCTTCTCGGATAAGAGACAACCACTTAGCCGCAGGGCCACTGTCCTCTGCTCCAAGTACGTTTCCGGCATTTAACGGCACGATTTCTTGAAACCTAAGCAAAACAAAATAATGATAAGATAAATATAATTATAGTACAAACAATATATTAAAAAGTAAGAGAACGTTAATTCTGCATACCCTAGCACGTAAATGTCGGCATCGGCAGGAGATTTAACCCAATCTTTTAAGTCTAATCCTTCATGTGGCGACTTCCCTCCCACGTTCCATGTCCCCACGAACATTCTAATCATCAACAGTTAGGAAAAAAAACAAAAAGTTAATAACCATAGCTAATTATAAATAAACCAAATATAGTAGTTATACACACACATATATATATATGAATTAGTTATGAAAATTATTTATTACTTGAGATCAAGTTTCTCATCAACACGTGTCACATGTTGTTCACCGGTTGGTTGTTTTAAATCCCCATTTGCTTGGCCCAACCATCCTATTTCAACCACAGAATATAGACAAAAAAAAACAATTAATTACGTATTTAGTCTTTACAAAATTATAATCAGACAAAAGATCAAACAAAAACTGGTGAATTGAGAATAGCAAGTACACCTAAACTGAAGACTTTTTTGACTTACAGCCTAGAACCTAATCTCTCACCCTACACGTGGAGTCGTGGAGAAAGATGTTACAACTAATCTCATTTTATTACTTACTTTATAACACGATTTTCAAGAGAAAATCAAGGTTCCTTTCACGTTTTGCCGTCGTTTTTTAACACAGATGTCTAATCCTACGGCTACTAATGGACCCAAAAGCCTTTGTACGGATATTGTCCCAATTCAAGTACGGTTACGGACAATAGACACGACGCCGTTTTCGACTCCCCCTAAAAACTATATGATAAAAATAAAAATTATTTTCTCATGAGCTGTCTATTATTTATCAATAATTATTTTTACCTGGAAACTTTTCCGGCACGATCATGTAATAATCACCGTCGGAGCAACTTTTTCTCCTCGCCTGAGTCGGCTCCATCTTCCCTGGAAAAGAAAAAAAAAGAAATGGAAAATAAAAACCTCCGTTAAGTCGACGATAAATGAAGAAAACTCCGAAACAAAGATCCAAAACGGCGCGAAGTCCAGAGACGAAGAGCCAAAACGACACGAGCTTAATCTCCTACCTTTGAGTGGGTAATCAGAGTTAAACTCGGAAGCGCTGCTACGTAAGTTTAGCCACTTCCTCACGACGGTTCTTGGCCAAGAAGACTGTAGAAAAACGCAGCCGTTTTTAGCAACGAGATATACTCCAAGAAGAGTGAAAACGGCGGTACTTTAAGAGCGTACCTTAGATTTCAAGATCTTCCCCATGTTTCTCTAATTGAACGCTCTGCCGTTTTTTCCGCCACCGTTTTTTTGTACAAAGTCAGAAACCAGAATCTGAGGATGATATAGGATGAGGATCTGGTAATTAAGAGACAAGCAAGATATTAATACGCGTAAGAGAAAGCGAAACTAATGAAAAATAATGACGATAACAATAAGAATATTATTTATTGAGCAATTTGGGTCCAATCAAAGAGCAAGAAAGACAGAAATTAAAATCTAGAATAAGAAAACGCAGACAAAATTTGAACCAAAAATAATACTAGTAGCTAAGAAGTTCAACGGGAAATAGAAAAAAACCTAGTTGCAGGAGAATCTGAGACAGATATTTTAAAAACTAGAAAAATAATCAATTCCAAGGTCTTAATTAAAGAGAATTATATAAAGGCATGTTGGGAAATTTAATTAACACATGTCATGAAGAGGAAGAAGCCATGTTCTTCCTTTTTCGATGGAAACGCTTTCGGTTTAAGCTTCGTCTTTACAGAGAGGAAAAATATGGAAACAGAGACTAAGATTTTGTAAATATGGAAGCTTTGTTTTTGCTTTTTCTTTATCCATTCATCTCAAAGCCGTATCGAGATTTGGATTCCAAAAATTGCAAATTTTAACTATTCATTTTCTCAAAATAACAAGAGAAACGGGGATTAATGTAAAGATCATAATTAGAAAATATGAGTGTACCTATGTATGATTTGAAGAACGCATCTTTGCAATAGCGAGATCGATGTGATGATTTTGATAAATGTGAGGAAGGGTAATAAAATGAAATATATATATATATATATATATATATATATATATATATATATATATATAAGAACGGATTTATTTCTGTGGTATGGTGTTGAAGGAGAAAATAAGGAAACAGAGCTGTCATGAAGAGAAAAAAAGCAGAGCAAGTAAAGAAGACGAAAGGGCGTGGAAAATTCAAGCAACGACATTCGTGAGTCCCGACAAATAAACAGTTTGTCCAGAAAACGACTTCGTCAACGAGCAAATCGGAAATTACATAAGAGTTATAGCAGCAGTAAATAATAGTTGCATACTAAAAGGAAGAGCTATACTTACATGAGTATAAGCTATACAAAGCGAGATTTTGTGAGCGAAAATGGAGAAGGGCCAGTTTAAATTTGGGTGATTTATCTTTGGTTTTCTTGATTTTGTTTTTTTTTTCTTGGTTTTGAGGAGAGAAAGTTGTCAGAGAATTGAGGGAGAGAGAAAAGCTGTGGAGGATGAAGAGAGACGTTGTGCACTTATACGGCGACGTTTAGAGGGGCCTGTGGAAAAGATCGAGTGAAAATGGCTTGCCTGTAAATGGAATTTATAAAAGTTGTGTTATGTGTGAGGTGGACTGATTGGACCAATATAGTCAATATTTAATGTGTGATATTTTATTAGTTAATGATACTTTACATTACCTAGGCTAGGTTATAGAAAGTGAATAAGGAGGGAAGATTTGAAGAAGGTTATGGTAATCTTGTTAACTACTAACAAGGTTGCAGAAAAGACACTTGTGCTTGTGCAGTTTTATAGTATTGTTTTTAAAATTAAAATTCTCTTATATGATTTGGATATCCATGTAGAATTAACTGATTTTACTTGTCCAAAATATGGATTTTGTTACATTACCTAAGCAATTTTATATAGGATTTGGAAAAAGGTTATAGTTTTGGGATTATTGATTATGATTCAAATCTTTCATATCTTTTAACTACCCTTCCTCACATTTTATTATTGTTTATGATATATATTTCTTTTTCTCCCTGCAGAACTGTAAAGTTTGGAAAAGAAACATATCTTTATATATTTGGAATTATTGATTATGATACAAAACTTTCATATCTTCTTTCTAATTTCTCTGATCAATTTGTGGAGATCTCAATAAGTTTACCAATACTAAAAGTAACTGAGCGCGTTTTTTTTGGATTATCATAACTTTTGTTTACGTCAATATGCATAATCTGGTTTAGAAGCAATTACGTATAGTAGTATATCACCAGTGTGAAACTGGAAACATTTATAAAAAAAATTACATATTCATAAGACTACAACAATATTTATCTATCAATTCAATCTTAAAAGCTTATCCTCTACTCGTAGATTTATACTAGATAAAAAAGTTTTATTCGATAAAGTTGGTTGTAGTTGAGTCAAAAATGTTTTCGAAAAACTTACCATTTCAAATTTTAGATAGTATATCATGTGTATTAGATCTAATAGTTGTTTGTTCTCAAATATAAAATATTAATTAAATACTGGTAAGGAAATCTAGCTATATATATATATTCAAAATTGTCAAAATTGACTGTTTACCAACAAAATGATAAGAAACAATTTCCACAAATTAAACAGGCTATGATTAAGAAAGATAACTAAGCTGGCTGGAAAAAAGTAAACTACACTAGCTCCATTTATTTACCCCCAATTATTTAACCATAAGCCTTGTTATTATTATAGATATAGTTTTTTTCTTAAAGCTTGTAGGCTTTTGTGTGTAATGCTTATTGAGTTTTCGCAAAGTATTAGTAGTATGAGTCTGGATATAAAGTCTTGACGTAATATTTGAATCATCCAGGATTCCAAAATGTTACTAATTTTAAGTGAGAGCTCATTAGTAAGTTCAATTATATATTAATCAAAAATGAAAAATTCATGATTGGGACTCGCCTTAATTAAACCACATAAACATAAGGTATTTCTGGAGTACATAAATTGAATTTTCTAAGGTATTATAAATTCCGGTCAACTCCTTCGCATCTCTCTCGCATGAATCTCCTATTCTCCTTGTATGGTTGACTTCTTGGAACAAGTTTTCACATTAAGCCCACGGTTTTGTCTAAACATAGAAATCATGAATATAATAAAAACAATATTTTTCTTACAATAAGAAAATAAACTAATCTTGATTATGAGCTCAACTATTCAGTCGTCAGTATTTGTTTATAAAACTATACATTTCTTTCGAAGATAGAGATCAAAATTAACCTGTTCAGCACAGTGTTAACTATAGCACGTGGTATTTTGAGTCTCATAAAAAGTTTGGAGCTCCAAACACTATCAAATTTTTATTTGAAATATTAATTATTTATTTTTTGTCATGCAAAACTAATTTGTTTTAATCACCCCTTTTTAATTTTTTTCCTCAAAAAGAAAACAAGATGCTTTTTTTCTGACGTGGTAGATGGCAGTGTTGACACACACCGTACAAATGTCTTTGGTCAAATCAGTTAAGTTCTTCTGAAAATGTGTACTGTTCTGCTTCTATCTTCAAAACTTACTATTTTTCAATAAAAATAAAACCACTTTTGCTACACAGCTTTTCTTTTAAGAAGCCCTTTAACTTACCAGTCATACATTAACATTACATTATTCACATATATACTGACATGACTAAAATGTTAAGCGGTACTGTGGTAAAGTGGGATATTTAGTAAAATTTGAACCATAATTAGTTGAGGATTAAAACAAAGAAGCTGCGTTGATTATGTATAAACGAAAATATAATTAAGATCTCACATTATGAGATTGTTTTCATTACACTTCAAATCTTACGGAATTGTTGGTTTAAGCCGAGATTATTTATTTTTCCGCGCCCAACATGCATGCGATTGGGACTGTGTTCCATGAATATATATACTTCTGCACCATTAACAATGAAAAATTATACTATTAATCCCTTAAACGTTTTAAACATTTTATTGTTTTTTTAAAAGAGCCACGTATATGCATATATACTCATACACAGCTTTATATAGAGCTCCTATATATATTTGTGTGTAGAGAATTAAAAAAAAAAAAACTTGGAAAAAATTTGAACTTTTGAAGGCCCTTTTTTGACTAACCCATAAAAAACCTACGAATCGTCATCGTGCTTTACACTCGGACATCTGTTCCAACTCCCTTATTATTATAGTCTCGTACAAATCAGAATCCCACAAACCAGCATTTAAATATCATTAAGGACCAACTAATCACATAATCTCGGACGACACGTCCTGATTTATCTACGGTCCGAATACTAACGCATAATATAGATCAGGTAGGTTAAATTCTCGCATTTATTGATCTCATGTCTCTTTCACCATTGATATGATCTTATCGATCCATTTATAAGTAAAAATAAAAAAAAATATGTTCCCCAATGTATTCACAACTACTACTAATCTCTCCTCCATTGCTAATTAGTATCTTATTAATCTTTTTTGTTCTTTCGGAGTTTAGATGTTTGACTGGTCGAAGAAGCTTCTAAAGTGACTAAATTTTTATCGCTATATTATTAACCTTTTGCAATTGTGGCTTATTTCTACGGGTCTACGTAGATTAATGTAATAATGCGGGCGACCCAACATGTACGTACGTCGGAGTATGACTCAAAAACAACAAGTAATGTATGATTATCTTAAACCTCTTATTTGTCGTTTAACCGAATTTTAGATAATCAGACATTACTTGTCGTTATTGCCTTATTGGATCACAATCCCTCAGCCTGTTTAACCGAATTTTACGTTCAAATTTTTACCATAAGATAGAAAACAAACATTATGTAACGTAATTTTAAATTGCATAGATACTTTTTACATCCTAATTAACAAGTAAACAATATTGGAGATCATATTACTTTTTCGTACAAATATCTTCTAGAAGAACACATTATTTTTTACAAAATATAATGTCTACGTTAGTGTTAGGCTAATTAAGGGATTATAAGCTCTTATACTAAGTATCTTCATGTATATAGCAGACCAAAGCTCAAAGGTTATATGGACTAAAAGGACTAACACTTTAAAAAAATTATATAAAAAAATTATCAATTTCAAGAACTATAATGATTTAAATAGGATTTATTTGAATATGTTACGTATTAATTATTACTATACAGTATATATCTGATTTTCTAAAAGCTACATAAACGTCTTTTTTCAAGTTTTGACAAACAAGCAAGTAGTTCTACGGGTTTTACGAATTACCGTGTACTTTTTTTCTTTTTTGAGCATTTTATTTTTCTACTTTACTGTTGAGATTTTTTTTATCACAGTTTAATTCATATAAAAACTGACTCAAAACATTATTTACGTGCAAAAATGATATATAATACAAATTTATGTTATTTTAGAAGTTAATAGCTTTCTTAATGTATACTTTTTCATTTACAACCATAGAATACGCAAATAGTAGTTTCATACTTCGGAGAATCCATAAAGAGTCGGTCGTGATCTCATCTGATATGGATTAATTTAGCTGTCCTTAACGTACATAGTGTACATGAAATTTGACAACATAAATATTTCGAATACTATAATATGTACGCGCGCTTAGTAATATATAACAGTGAAATTATTGATTACATGTGTCATTAAAGTCAGACTTTCAGCCATCAAGTAATATATATATAACAAAGTGGTTATTGTCAGGAAAAAGAAAAGGGACTAAAACAGGTAAAGTTCATAAAAAGACAAATACTATAAGCTAAGTTGCGAATACTGAAGTTTACAGTTTAAGAAAGATATTGTCAAGTGATCACAATTTTTTACTAGGTGTCGCCTCATCTAGTTATTTTATCCGAGTAACAACAAGAGTATAAAGCCATTGATATTATAAGCACACGAAAACAGGGTGAACAAAATATTAGATATAAGGTGAACTTCTATATATATGCTTAGATCAGGAAAGAATCCCTTGTTTGAAATTAACTAAAATTCTAAAACATAATTTATCAGATATTTCAAAAGTATCACGTATACATTTATCCCCCCTCCAAAAGTTTTAACGGTACGTAATAATATGAGTTTTTATTTGATTAATAATCATCTAAAAAGTAGTGTTAGTTATGATTAAAAAACAAAAAGAGAGAGAGAGAGAGAGAGAGAGAGAGAGAGAGAGAGAGAGGATCAGATAAAATATTACAAGATCCGCTCAGTAATCTTACCAAGACCACCAGCTTGTTTGAGACAATTAGGCTTATACACAAGAAACCAAGTTCTTTATGGTAGCAGCGGAAACCGTAAGATTACTACGTGCTGATAAGAAGTATGTGAGCTTGATTGTACTCTCCTTCTTAGGCGATAGTAATTAAGATCTTTAACCCTTAAAATCAATGTTATATGTACTTACTATCAGAGCCACTATTATTAGAGTTGAAATTGATATACATATGTAAACTCGTATATGAGTTCGATTCAAATTTGCAATGATCAATAAATTTGAGGGAATCCTCATCCTCTATTTTATCTTTTGTATTTTTTCATTGAACAGATGATATTAGTATACTTA